AAAAAAGTTCTTATGTCGAAATGAATGTCGTAGATATGAAAATGCAGAAAACTATTTAAATTGTCATTTGTGTTTCACAGAAATCTGGGTTTTATGAAGTTGAGTTTTGACAGGAAAAGAGATGTTGTATATGAACGGTGCCATGAAAAAGTTTAGTTTACCTCGTGTGTTCTGTTTGTTTGTTCATTTGTGTCGGTTTTGTTTGCTTTTTGTATATGTTTTGCTGTCATTCATGTTAATCTGGAAGGAATGGGGGGGGGGTGGGGGGTGGCTGTCTGGTTATCACGCTCCTGTGGAAATTCCTATTCAAAGTGGGGTGAACAGCAACAAGAGTGCATCAGGACTAACTCTACATTTCTCGAGCTGGTAACATAGGGTGCTCTTGCATAGTTTTGTACTGTACATAGTTAACTCTTTTTCACTTCACCGCACACACTGTAGTCTCATGTGATTCCAATATCCTCCGTTCAGAATTAGATGTACTTCGAGAGCTCTCCAGCTAGAGAAAGTCTTTGGATCATTAGGTACGCGTTCACTTTGGGTTTGCTTATTGTAGGTGTACACAACCAGTTCCCTCATTAGTGATTTCAGTATTTCTGCACTGCTGACCCAAACACTCTGTTCCATACAGTCAGAGGGATGCCCTTTTTCTAAAAGACACATTTTGTACTAATGGTAAGGGGTGAAGAGGGACTTTTGATGTTGCTGTGGGGGAAAAAACAAATGTTCAATCCAATAAAAACAACTAGATTAACTCAAACCAATTCGGCTTTGTGATTGATTTACACCTACTGCTCATTAATACCTACTCTGCAGACTTCATGTAGATGTGGATATTATAGCTGAAGAAGACTTTGTGTAAGAGATGGCATAAATCTGTACATTATACTCCAATGAGGAAACTGTGTAGCAAGTAGTTAAAGCCAAGTCAGCCATGGGTTTATGACAAATGATCCTGATCAGAAGACATTTGAAAATTAATTAAATTCTAAAATAAAATTAAATTATATATATACAGTACATATATATGAATATCTGTTTTATCGGATTACACATCTGGACACAGTCTTTATTTTGCAGCATGTTGTATAACCTGTTAAGTCTTGTTTGGCAATGATTTGTTAATGATAGCAAGACCTTCTCTGACAAAGATCAGCAGAGATGGCAAGCATGTGTTTCTCCCAAACAAAAACTCAATAACTGGTAATAACAGTGCTCTCACAAAGGTGTAGGTTAGCTATAATGGTGGTGCATTAATCCACTAATGCACTTCCACTCCATCCTGGATAGTGGATCTTAAACCGTGCACTGATCACAAATGGATGCTCCCTCACTGGAGGATGTCACATGCACGGTTTTCAAAAAGGTTTTCAATTCTTGGCTAGGGTGTGAAGTTATGAAGAACATGTAATCAGTTCTCACAATCCTTTCCTCTTTCATTTTGCTTTTCAGATATTTTGACGAGGTAACTGTTTAGTTTTACGCAATGGATTTGTAACAGCTGTGGTGAAATGAAACTGAATAAATAATTACATAAATCAACTGAATAATAAATACATATGCAGACATTGGTAGCCTGTGTACGTGTTCTGAATATCTAAAAGTATCTGCAAAACCGTAGAAGGCTTCTAAACTTTTGGGATGTAAATACCATTTCCATCCTTGCTTTATAATTGTTTTTATTGTTGTGATTTGTATGCAACTTGATATTTAAAGGAAATGTGATGTGTTCCTATCGATTCCTGCAGTTTAGAGGCACCCCGGGTTCCCCAGCGCCCTCTATCTGTGGCTGGCAGTAGCGCAGCGTGAAAGCGGTGGGAAACAGAAACACTATGGCTGCCACTCTGTCTCTTACTCAGGTAACACTGTCTTACAACTCACATTTAACGCCAGCAACGGCTGCTGGCTTCTCTCTGCTTGACTTGGAAAACGTCCCAGAAGCGTTGGTGGGATTAGGCCGGCGGCGAGGCGAGCTTCCCTCGATGGTCGTCCTTCTTTTAGGAAGTTGAGTCCGGCTGTGACTGGGAAAAGTTTCTATCTAATCTCTTTGGGGACTGCGTAAGGGCGTAGCTAGCTGGCTAGCCCACTAGCTAACAGCTAGTTTGTGAGCAGTGTTGGGCTGTTAAAGGGCTGCTTTGTCAAACTTGAGATGTAGCTAACGTTAATTAGCTTTGTCTGCCGGGGCTGTGTTTGTATAATAAATTTGTGTTGCCTCGTTTTTCTGCAGGCTAGTCGGTCCCGGCCAGAGAAACGATAATACGTGATACTCATGTGTGGCTCTGTTGTGCCTTTAATAGTGACATTTTTCAAAGTTCAGCCTCCGCTAAAACAATCAGCAAGTACCTGTCATCAATTGTTATGACCCGTATTTAGGATGACATTCCTGTTTGGGTGGCTTTCTATATTGTTTTGACTCCATGTGCAACCTGGGTTCGGCTAATATTAGAAGTAAACACGCTTCGTTGACTGAGTTGGTGGCTTTCCCTTTGACCTTTCTGAGCCGGTCAGCGTCCACCGTTAGCCTTTTAGCTCCCGCGGCAATTTCATTATCATGCAGCTTGCATAAAAACTTAAAATAACCTTAACAACTGTTTCGTAACCATTAAGAGGAAGCGAAATATTAGCAACTAGCTTCCAGTGCTGTCAGAAAAGATCCGCCTGTTGCTAGTTGAATGGAGCAGTGGACTTTTTGTGGCCGGTGTTTGGGTCAGTTAGCCTGGTCTAACGGGTGTGATACCTGAGGCAAAGACAGGCAGAAGCTGTCTGCCAAAGGCAGCTGACTCTCACATGGAGCTTAAAAAGCTGTTATCTCTGTGTTTTGAGTTCATTCTCCCAGCCAGATCTTTGTTGTAAGTAGTCTCACAGCTAGCCACACAACCTGGTTATCCTCATGCCTCCCTTATGTTTGGTTCTGCATTAGGAAGTTGAACTTTCTAAAACAAGACGAGCCTGGCTTGTCACCTCTTCATCTACGTGTTTTTGCTGTATTCTGCAGTTTTGTGTGAGTCTAAGCTTGGGGGATGATTGAGGGGGGAGTGTGTTTTTTCAGTGTTCATTAAAAGAGTTGGTGGTACAAAGACCACAGTGTCACCAGCACCAGCACCTCCAGGCACAACTAGTGTGTAACACAAAAAGTTCCACTGCCCAGAGACTGGTGTGTGCCAGTGTGTGTGCCAGTGTGTGTACCAGTGTGTGTGCATGCCAACAATCACCTCTGCAAACTGGCAGTTAAAGGATATCTCCTGGTGACATGGTGTGCATCGTGCCTTGGCAAAAGGCCGATACAAGACACGCTTCCCAACAGATATTATTATCTATTATTTCACATGTTCTTACTGTGGAGTCATTCTTTAACATCGACTAGCTACCCAGTAGTAAAGCCCTCAAAGCTTTTAAAGGCCTCCCAGGAGTTGAACTGCCGAATAATAACTACTGTCCTCTTGTTTCCTCCTCGCCTGCACCTGTGAATTTCAACCCTCAGCAGCCATTTGTCAGTTCTGGCAAAAAGAAAAGGGAAGTGCTGGTTTGTTTCCTGTTCAGCCCATCAGAGAACAGACAGAGGAAGGAGGGGGTTTGGAAGGTCACGACTGAAGGCCAGATTATCTTTCGCATGTGGAGTTACAAATAAAGTTTCAAAAGCTGACCGTCCATGTTCATTCAGTAGGTTCACTGACAAAAAAAAAAGATAACTGATCTTTGATAGATGACAATGGGCTTTGCTGGCTTCACAGGATCAGTGCCTGTCTATTTAGTTGTTTGTCAGCTGTAACACCCGAACAGAGAACTGTCTCAATGATTCACGCTAATGTTTTTATTTTAAGAATAGTACTTTCTCCATAGTTGATTTGGCAATAATGGAATAAGGAAAGTAACTGTCTTAGATGCGGACTGCCCATTCTGACGTGCGGTGTACACAGTAGGTTGTAAACTGTGCTTTAGAACGGCTACATTGTGGTCGCCTATATTGTAAAAAGGCTTTAAGAGGACGGTTTGTCACCACAGCTGACAGTAACAGAGATGGCTTCTCTGGCCTCAGCACTTTCTGAAACATTTATCTCCTGGTGGAGCAGCATAACCGCTGTCTATGTGGCAAATGTATGTGGGCATTATGTTGAACTACAATGTGTCATCTTGCTTTTTTGGTTTTCTTCCTTCATTTGTATTGCACACGGTAATTTGGTGACAGATACTTAAAGGCTTGATGTTTGATTAATGAAAATAAACCAATGACTAAACAAATAAGGTTTAAAATTTGTAAATAGGTGATTCTAAATGTAGACTGACTCTTTTTTTTCCTTTTTTTATAGCTTTCCAGTGGAAATCCCATCTATGACAAATACTATCGACAGGTAGGAAATATTCTGTATCTTCCCAAAGGTTGATCATTGCAATGCAGTACAAGAAAATGTATTTTGATTTTTTAAAATCTGTTATTCTTTCACCACTTTGTCGGTCACTTTTGGGCAAAAGTTTGCATATAATTTGTTTAGCGGTCAGTATACTGTTCCTGCCTTATGTTTTTTTTCTCTGCTCTGGATGAGAAGAGAAATAAAGGAACTGTAATTTCTTTCAAATTCAATGGCATTTACTGTTTAAACTACAGCTTACTGTTTTATTTAGCAGCAGTGGTGGAGCTAGCAGTGATATCTTTTCCCTAATTTCTTCTACTCTTCGTGTCCAATGAAGGAAGTAGTTCAATGAATTAATAATGTTTCCCTGCGTCAACAAGTCAGTAAAGCTCCCTCTGAGCCTAATGAAGGACTTTGAAGCTAATAGACTGCAGAGAAAATAGCGTTGCTTTTGTATCAGTATTGATTTTAGGTAATTCAGAGACTCCTTTCTTAGAGGGCAGTGCTCACAGTTCAGTTCCTTTCTTGAATTGTAAGCCCAAGCATAGTTTCTTTCATATGTTGGGATGCAGTATTTGATGCCGTTAACACTGTTGCCTCATTGAGGGTAAAAAGCTAAACCTAAGTGTGTTTGCAGGTGGATCCCACTGGCAGTGGACGGGTGGCGGCAGCAGATGCAGCTCAGTTTCTGAAGCGGTCAGGCTTGGCCGACCTGGTCCTGGGAAGGGTGAGCAGAGATTTAAAATACCAGAGAACCAACAACTCCCACTTTGCTTCATTACTCACAGCGATAGAAATCCATGTGTTGACTGTGAATGTCTCCACAGATCTGGGATTTGGCAGACTCTGAAAGAAAAGGTTCTCTTAACAAACAGGTAGAACTGCAGCATAAAGAGTTTTATTTAAAAAAAATCTTCTTAAGTCTGTGATCGCCATTAGGTTTACATCACTACACGTCATCTCCCCTCAGCAATTCTTCATAGCCTTGAGGTTGGTGGCATGTGCTCAGAATGGCCTGGAGGTGGCACTCAAGAGTCTTAACGTGGCTGTCCCCCCTCCCAAATTTGTAAGTTTCAGAATGTACCTGCACTGAAAATGTGTGGTTTGTTATACAGATCAACTCTACATTCAACAGGATGCTTAGAATTAGTTTTGTTTCTCTTTTACCCTCTCAGTAGTCTATATATGACTCTGTTTTCTATGTATTCAAACATATTTGTGGTCGTTTGTTTGTGTGTATCGGTAGCATGACACGAGTAGCCCGCTGTTGTCGGGAAGAGTGGCCACAGACATTCCCTGGGTCGTCAAGGTGGGAATCTTTCTTTTTATTATCTCAGTGTGCACCATTATGTTCAGTTGAGAGTTCGTTTTTTTTTCTTTCTTTTTTTTCTTTTAAATAATCACAAAATGAAATGTGGAGATTTGCTATTGTAGCAATAAGTAGGTCAATATAAGACCTTTAACTAACAGTTCTGTTTGTAAATGCAAGTTTCAGTTGGACCTACTGCAGCGTGTGTATATACATGTATATGTGTTACCCATCCGATTTGATTTTAAGTGAACATTGCTCTCTGAATAATCAAGTACGGATCCGTTGTCTTTAATCTTTGTATTATTGTGTGGATTTTCTCTCAGCCTGAGGAGAAGATGAAGTTTGACTCCATCTTTGAGAGCCTGGGTCCAGTAGGAGGGATGCTGTCAGGAGACAAGGTCAAGCCCGTCCTGCTCAACTCCAAACTGCCCGTGGATATCCTTGGCAGGGTATGACGCACCAAGACCACTCTGCAATGTTAGCTTGAATTGTTGACAAGTAATTATGATTTTGAAAAGGGGGGGGACTGGTTACTCATTTGCTAAAGTACCTTTAAAAACAACCTGCACATCAAAGACTTTAGGCACATTTATGTCAGTTTTTTACTGGCTGACATTTGTTTGGGATTATTTGGTTGTTGGTTTTTGTAGAGGCCTGTCATATTTCTGAAGGGATTTTATTATTTTGCTCTATATAAGCTTCACAACCCTGTGTAAAAAGCAAATTAACGCCAGACTTTGCTCCTTCTCACTGATGACTGCACAGAAAGTAGTGCTGTAAAACGGACCCAGGGATGCTTTTTGCTGACATGAAGCTTTGACACGTGAACAACAAGCCATCGTTTTTCAGGAGGAAATCGATCACGGGAACATTTTGATCCAGACATTTTCCGATGTTGCTGTTCATACATGCATTTATTGGTGATGCGCTCTCCTAAAAATACAAGGGATGTGGTGTTGGTGTGCAGGGGGGGGGGCACATGTTAGAGAGATTATGCTGGGGAAGGGGCAGTTTCCTCCTCACTGTCTTTGGGACGTCCCATTCCAGCTTTTTGCACTTCCGATCCGATCCCGGCCTATCAGAGCATGTATTAAAGTTTAGAGTTATTTAGCCTACTTACTTAGTTGTCAGACTCATGTTGAACAGGGATTTACTCTGATAACAACTTAATGGTTAGGACCCCATACCTGTGGGTTAGGAGATGCTAATGCTAATGGTGATGCTCGTGTGCTTAAGGGTGTGCTTGAAAATGACCGGATATTAGAGAACAACACAGCAAAGTGGAATGGATTATTTTAATGTAATAATAGAAATTGGATTGGACTTTGAAAAAAAAAAAAGGATCTGGAGTCTGGATTGGCATTCTCACATGCCGGCCGATAAGCATTTTTTTGCAAATATTGGCATCCGATCCTAATATCGGATCGGGACAAGCCTAGTCTTAATGTTCCCCATGCAAACGTATTTGTCCATGAGCATGCAGCAAGAACATAAATATGTGGCTGTAATCGTCCATTTTTTAAAGGAAAGTAACTCCTTCCTGTCTGGGAAAGAGCCTGTAGATGAATACCTACGGTTCACCAATTCCCTAACCACCTATAAAGCTTCAGAAGAAAAGGTTTTATGAGCACTGCTGTATAAATTATATGGACTGAGATGTGCATATTCATTTTAAGCTATATTTTTATTCTTAATTTGACTTTAAAAAACCTTTCCACCATAAAGACATGGCTTCAGATCGACCCTGTGATCACTAAACAATGTCAGCTCACACTGCCCTCGGTGGTGAGGCCTACAGAGTCATACTTTACTACTTGATGGTAGAGGTGACAAAAAGGATGAAAATGAGTTGGGTAAAATATTAGATGAGAAAGGATGTGAAAGTCTATGGTGAATGAACTCTCCCTGAGACGTAATGATGTGTCAGATTTCTGCAGTGACTAATTCCCTTCAGTCTTGTCTCCGTTTTAAAGGTGTGGGAGCTCAGTGACATCGACAGGGACGGCATGCTGGATAAAGATGAGTTTTCTGTGGTAAGAGGAGAAAAAGAAATTCACACAGAAACATACATTATAGTTGAGTAGTTAGTATCTTAGTGGATGTCATATTCATGTCTCTGGATCCAAGTTGTCAAGGTTTTGTCTAACATGTCTAAAAAATTGACTATTTCTCATCTCTACTCCATTCTTTTCCTCTAAGGTTATCTTAAAGTTTAAGAACCCATTATCATATTTTTGTGTCCATTTTTGTATATATAACAGGTACGTCTGAAACCGTTACAGGCTTTTGAGCTCAATGGAACAATATGTGGAAGAACTGAGAGGATCAAATGACAATAACTGTTCGGTAATCATCTTTTATTATTGATTTTGTTATGCTTTTTTCCACCCCCTCATACTGTCCTTTCCCAGGCTATGTATCTGGTGTATAGAGCTCTGGAGGGGGAGCCTGTTCCCATGTCCTTACCGCCTCCCCTGGTTCCACCCTCTAAGAGGAAAAAACCCGCAGTGCCTCCCGTGATGCCCCTGTTACCCTCGCCCCCCTCTGTCAAAGACACTCGCCCCTCCCACGCTGGTTCTAAGGCCATGCCCCACCCTCCTAAACCCACTCCAACTCCCATCCCAACACCAGCAGCCTCCCCTGTGAGTACAGGATCTGTGTGTCCTCTGCATGCAGAAGCAGAAAAGTTTGGGAATGTTTTGTTTTCCTGTAGCGTAACTTCAGCAGCTAACAGTTAAGATGATTTCAAACTGGCTAGCTCAGTGTGTTTTTCAAAAGAAAAAGGCAAAAGGGAATGTGGAGGTGAGTGGATTTTGATGTGTTCAGTTGCTTATCACTGACTTCTACCTCTTGTTCTGGGTTATATGTCTTTTGTTGCCCGTACAGTGGGTGGTGTCGGCAGCAGACAAAGCCAAATACGATGAACTCTTCAACAAGACAGATGGGGATATGGATGGTTTGGTGTCTGGACCAGAAGTCAGAGATATTTTCCTCAAAACTGGGCTCCCTTCTGCCACGCTTGCACGTATTTGGTAAGCAAAAAAAAAGCATGGTCAGACATAATATAGCACAAATTGAGAAAGTAGCCTCATTTCATGTTTCTTTCTTTCCACCTGTGATCACACATTGTGACTTCATGTTTTTTTGTTGGATAAGAGTAGCCCAACATTATAAAACATCATTTTATCTATTTTTATTACATTATTGATTGATTATTTTCCACCCTGCTCTGGACATCCTGAGTATTGACTTCCATAAAGGCTGAACATGATGACCAACCCGGCCATTGAAAAATAGTAATTGCCTGAGGTGTAAATCTTTAAACTCTTATGTAACTTTGTGTTCCCAGGGAGCTATGCGACATTGGAGACATAGGAAAACTGAGCCGTGAACAGTTTGCCTTGGCGCTGTATCTAATTAATCTGAAGCTGACAAAAGGTCTGGAGCCTCCACAGAGTCTGTCCCCAGAAATGATCCCTCCCTCCGACAGACAAAACATCAAGCAGGTGAGCCTTTCTCAGCCCTCAAATCTGTTCATCAGAGAAACAGATGTATTTCAGTCAAGTTTTTGTCTTTCTTTGTTTTTGCTTTTCGCTTTTAAACACAAACTGTGCTGATGCACATTTATGGGAAAGATCATCTAGGAGAGCGATCTTAGTGGTTTAAAGAAGTGAAGATTTGTTGTATGGACACCAAACCGTGGACTCCACATGTCTAAAAGCTATTTTTATGGTTTGGATTATGATTAGTTTATAGGAAGAAGAAGGGTTAGAAATAAGAAAGGGGGTGGGGGGTGCGTTTGGCTAATGGTGAATCAAAACTACAGAGAAAAAAAAATCACAAAAGGACTTTTCAGTGGGTGAGTGTGTGCGTTGGCGACTTTTCTTTAAAACTTGCAGCTGTGTGTTTCTCATTTCCTCTCTGCTCCTCCTTTTACACTGTGGCTTACATTTTACATTTGGGCAGTTCATGTAGTGACTAAATTACGACTCGTCTGCATCTTACTTCGCTCTACAGACGGCCTCTAAATTCTTCTTAATTTCCCCAAATTCTTCTTTTTGATGGTCCTTTTTTAAAATTCAATTTAGTTTTTGTTGCATTTGTATTGCCAAATCTGTTTTGGTGGGGGGTTTTTTCTCTTAGAGTTCAAACAGAAATGAGAATTGTATCGTAGAGCAAAGTGACTTGGTGATGTTGGAAAATCAAATCAATTTGCTTTGCTGGGACCATTCAATAACTGCTGTTTTAGCCCTCAGCCATTTGTACTCCCAGCAGTGGCTTTGTGTATATTCATTTTCATTCTTTGTGTTGTTTCCTAACTTTTTTTAAAGATGTACTTGAAATTTGGTAATTTCATCAAAACATCAGCAACATGCTCGTTCTGTGTCAACCCACAAAAAGCCTCCATGTTTCTCTTGGTGAGTTTACACCTGCCATTCTCTTCCTCTCCAGAACAACGCTGCGAACCTGGCGGCTGACTTCTCAGCTATTAAGGAGCTGGACTCTCTGAGCAACGAGATTTTTGAACTGCAAAGGTAATCTGTCACCTGCAAGCACACACGGTCCACTATGTAGCAGCTCTTCAGAGTTCTGACTCCAACAATGATCAAACTTGTTTGAGTTTGTACATCACATCTTAAAAACTGTCATTGAAGCCAAGCCCAAACACACTGTAACACTGCAGGAACATTTCAAGCCTTTCCTGAATTTCTGGCTTTTCTAATCAGGAGTTTCCTTGTTGTATCCCGCGCTGACCGGCAGGACACAGTGTTGCATAGCTGTTGGGGTAGGTGTGAGGTGCGAGTTTCAGTGTGCAAAATACAACTCTGCACCTATCCCAGACGATCTTTGAGCACTAAAAGCCACAGATTTAGCAGAAAATACGTTTTTTGGTTAAATAAATACACAACTCCAGCAGGCGGTTAGAGAGCCGTGCTGTATAGTTGTTGCTTGACTGTGAAAGCTAAGGTTTTAATTCTCATATATACTTCTCAGCAGCAGTTTTATCTTTCATACCATACGCACTTCAGGACTCCTAAAAGCTACGCTTCATGAAAACTGAGAATGAGAAGTGAGAAACGGGCCTTCCTCCCAAACTGCTCTTTTTTATCTGTTTACACTTAAAAGTGTGCAGACACTATGAGACAGCTGTTGGAGGTAGTGGAGATGGATAGAGATGAAGACGTGGATATCAGCTTTAGACACAAATCAAAACTAGGAGCCTGAAGAGATGATGTACCTGTGCGGCTGCTTAAAAAGTTGGCAGCAACCCTCTCAAAACGAGGATCCTGGTGACAAAGACTATGGGTAATTCAGGCTTCTGTGGCATTTTTGCAGGAATAATATCAGATCAGTTGTTTATTTTCTTTGGTTGTGAGCCCTGGTATGTAAAAATAGACTGCGTTTATGAAGGGATATTTTTGGCTTGAAACGGTTTGAAAGAGACAAGGACAAAGTGAAACTGTGCAGAGTGGCCTGTTTTCAAACAAGTTAGCTATTTCAAGATGGTTAAAAGAAGTAGTTTTACCGTTGAAAAATGTAAATGCAATGACCTATTAAGACCTTTTCTGCATAAGTGCTATATGTCATCATTAATGTTTCCTTTTTTAGAATCACATGGAAATGAAAATAGTACTGCTTTTTGCCTTCTTTTAATGTGTTTGTGTATATATATATATATAAATGATTAGATGTCTCCGTTGTACTCCTAATTATAATATATATAATATTTTCACTTATCTTCGAATCTAACATAGTTAAAAATATCTCCTCTTTCTAAAATCCTTCCCTCTTACTGAGTATTAATCATCAGTGTCTGTCTACCAACACAATTTTAAATCTGTTGTTGGGTGGGATCTAGAGGATGAGCACACAGGACTGCTCAAACCATAGATGTTCCAGGTTGGCTCATCATGACTCTGATCCCCCCTCTCTCTCTCCTCCTCCCTCCATCTTCCAGCAGCCATCTGCTTCGTACTCTTTATCTCCCACGCGTCAAACGGGGCAAGCAAATGCTGTCTTTCTCACACACACGCCCTAGTCGCGCTTTCAGAGCCGTACATTCAGCAAAATCTCTTTTACTTAAGATTTCTGGAGTTCCCTGCTTCAGACTGCCCTCCTGTGTGCTGTGAATTTGGGATTGAACAGCAGGATCATGGAAGCTCTGGGAGAGGAGATGGTAGTGTTTGAAGGGCAGAGTGAGGCGTCCTCAGCAAACGGCTGGTTGGGTCTGGGGGGGCTTGTAGGAGTGCCCAGTCTAACCTGCCTCTCCTTGGTGACCAAGTACTCCTGTCTCTTTTTTTGGACTCCCAGGGAGAAGAGCTCTATGGAAGAGGAGATCAAGGAGAAAGAGGAGGCTATTCAACAGCGAAGCAGTGAAGTGCAGGTAAGGTCTCAGTGCCTGGCTCCTGATCAGCCCACATGGAAACAGAAAGAATATAATATCATGCATCAGAATGAATTGTACTTACTTCCTATAATGTGTCTTATAAGCATGTGTCCCCTTTGACTAAAAATGTAGGCTAGCTAAAGCCATACTTGCTATTTTTCACTTTTGTTGAAGTGAAAACGCTGTATAAGATCAATATCACACTCAGTCTAGAGCATCAGGTACTTCCTCAGAAATAGATGCAAGCCTTGCTCAGAAAGCAAAAGGCTGCTTCCCTCCGTAGGCGTTTCAGTCTCCACTGGGCCTGAGCGACTGCCTCTATTTTGGGAGTGGAGGGTTTGAACAGCTAGTCTGCTTTGAGAATTCTGACAGACATGAGGTTGGGTCTCAAGAGAGTCTCCTGTTGATGTAGCTCAACATCTGAGCTGCACTGTAGGGTTCTGTACGCTATTTATACCTGAATGTATTCCTTTTTTCTTAGTGCACATTCAACATCAGATGCTCACTTACTTGATTTTTGTTTAAATCTAATATTCCTTTCAAAATCTTAGTCAATCTGCTGGGTCTAAACTGTATTCTGCAGTGTTTAAACATATTTTTCATATTTTCTAGAAGTCATTTGTTGTTTTGTGTTTAAGTAAACTTGTTGTTCCCACATGTTGAGGAGTCCTTAAACGTTTCAGAGATGTATAGGAGTGAAAGTGGTTCCAGCTGGTATACTGATGGGAACAGAACATGTGGGAACTACTATTTATGGAAGATTTACTGTGCCTACAAGACATTGAAAAGTTAAATAAAATAGTTTTTTTTAAAGTCCTTGTTTTTCTACAGCTAAACGACAACCAGACACAACTGCAACAATGTTAGATAGACGGAACTTTTCTTTATTTCTCAGTTTTTTATTTTTTCTTCCTTCTTTGACTTCAGGATCTCCAGGACGAGGTGGCGAGGGAGAGCGAGGAGCTACAACGCCTCCAGGCTCAACGTCAGAAAGTCCAGGAGGCTTTAGAGGAGCTGGACCATCAGAAGGGCTCTCTGGAGGAGCAGCTCGCCCACATACGACAGCAGACCAGCCAAGAGACCCAACTGGTGCGTTTTCTTCTAACACATGTAGATTTATTGAGAAATTATAAAAGCGTACAGTTTCTCTCCGGCGTCACTCATCCATGTAGCTGTGCAGCTTCAAACAGATGCCATTCAATCGTTCCAGATCTCGTCCCTGCAGTCGGAGCACGAGGAGCAGGAACAGAGGATATGCCATTTTGAGGAAGAGCTGGTCCAGGCTAGGGAGGAGCTTTTGGCTCTGCAGGAAGAGAGCATGAAGCTGCAGGAGAAGGTCCAGGCTGCTCAGGAGCAGCTCACTCCACTTCAGGAGTCTGTGCACGACTCTTTCAAACAGGTTTCACTGGTCAGTACCTCACCACTCTTTAACGGTCTTACACACAAGCCTGGGCTTGGAGGAAGTAAAGCAGCCTTACTGTCTGCTCAGGCAGTGTGTTTGTGCATGAGCATGGTCTCATTCCTTCTTACACATTTAACTGCGATGCGTTTTGTTCAGTAGCATTTTTTAAATATGAATTAATTCATTATTAAATATCACTCCACCATTAAGGTACAGCAGAAACTACAAGACCTTAAGGTGGAGGAGAGGTCGGTTACAGCCCAGCTCAGCTGGAAGCGAGCTCTTGAGGATGGTTCCCCCGTCATGGTTAACGGGGCCTCAGGCCCCCCCGCAGAGCTGCACCAGGACGATCCCTTCCAGCAGGACCTCTTCATGGAGGACCAGCCCAAAGAGCTGAGGGAAGAGCAGCCAGCCGCCGTTTGTAATCCACAGATGGAAATCTGTGACAAAAAGGAGACAGAAGGTGAAGAAGAGAAGGAGGAGGAAAGTCCAACAACCTTAGACGAGGAAAAGCTGAAGCCTGATCCCCTGGACGACCTCTACACAAGTCTAGCTTCCTCCGAGTTGTACAACAGTATGCCAAGTGCTTCTAAACCACGGGATAGCGCAGTAAGGGTAATGAATCCAAACAATTACCACCTAGAACTTTGCATTGGCTTTTTTTTTTTTGGGACTCTTATAACCTGAACATTCAATCTATGATATATTTTAGAAGAACCCAGCAGGTCTGCCAGAATAGTAGCTAATGGCATAAACATATTTCTGGAGAGATACAATTAATTGTGTTGAAAATGTGAAACCTCTTTCTTAGAGTAAAAGTGCTGTTTTCCCCCCTAACTCACCAGGAAGACAGCCCCGCACTTGAAGTCTCCTCTGACATAAATGATGATTTAGATGAATCACCCAAGGAGACTTCACTAAAGGTAAAGAAATGAAAGATCGACATTTTTCTGACTTTTTTACTCTCAACATATCTCTTTGCTGATTTATTTCTTTTTCTATTTGTTGTATCTTGCTGTCATACAAATAACATTGCTGATTCTACCCCTAACTTGCCAGGTTGATCCATGTTAAACAGAAATGAGATGTTTGCCTTTCAGTGTCTGTTTAAAAGCATGTCCTCAAACCCCTGTGGCCTCCCAACAGGTTGATTCCCCAGAGCCTGAGGACAAACCGGAGCCTGCAGACCCCACAGAAGCCTCCTCCATACCTCTCAGGGTTACCCCTCACACCCTGCCCCCGCAGACCAGCCCCCCATCCTTGCCTGAGATGGACTTCTTCCAGTCGGACCCATTTACTGACCGTAAGCACTTAAAGTACTGTTGAGGTCCTTGCTAATGACCCAGTGAAGCAGGTGTTGCTGAATGTCCAAGGGATCAAAATAGTCAGATTGAGTGTCTTTTGTTTCGTAGATGACCCGTTCAAGGATGATCCTTTTGGGAAAACAGACGTTGCGGGTAACCAGGTCTCAGTTTAGATGACGATTAATGGAGTTTAACATGTAAAGGATAACTAAGGCAGGTGTTTGTTTTTCTGTTTGAACTCAGATCCGTTTGGAGGAGACCCCTTCAAAGACGCAGACCCCTTTGCTGCAGACTCCTTCTTTGCACAGACCTCCAGCACTGCCTTTACCTCGGATGACCCTTTCACTGCCCCAGCTGACCCCTTCGGTACTACTCCTGGCATGCCAGAACCAAACCTGTTTGCAGCCAAGTTAAACGAAACCGCAGCACCAGCAGCTGGTCCGGATCTCTTTGCCTCCAAGCCCACCATTCAAGCCCCAGCGTCCAAGGATCCTTTCAGTTCCACGGGGAACAATGAGGCTGATTCGGACCCATTCGGAGGAAAAATGAAAACTGAGGGGGAGGCGGATCCCTTTGGTCCTCCAGATGGAGGGACAGATCCTTTCAGCAGTTCCCCAGTGAGCTCGGACCTGGCTGTGGTGAGGGGATATCCTGAAAACTCTGGTTACAATGGCTCTACTTTATACTTTTGCATGTTTTAACCCCTTTAGAGAAGAGGCGGCCGGCTATTCTCTATCCCTGGCTTCGTAATTTTTTAAAAATGTTTTACCAAAGTTGAATATATTCTAATTACTGTGTTGTAACAGAAAACATTTTTTCAGCTATTTATGTTAAAGCCACGGATGTGGGTAGATTTTATGGCTCTGTAAGCTCAGTGTGGTGTTTTCTTTAGGACACTGCATCAACCAACGACCCCTTTGCTCCGGGTGGCACCACGGTGACGGCAGCGTCAGATCCAGGTAGGTGTGACAGGGCGCCATCCTGTGGAGACAGTAAACATTACAGCAAGTCAAAAATGGAATCCGTCACTAAGGCAGTGTAACATATATTTCAGATCCGTTTGCGGCCGTGTTCGGTAATGAGTCGTTTGGAGGGGGATTCGCAGACTTCAGCGCTTTGACAAAGGTAATTTTTTCAAAGTGAAAATCACATCCTGCCTTTAACAAGAACAGAAAGAGGCGGCGGACGTTGACGGTTGATCACTTTGGAGGAATCAGAAATTCTAACTTGGTGAGCTCATTTCTGGATTAAAACCAAAGCCCAAAGTGACTCAGGCTGAAAGGTCAGTAGATGAGTGTGTTGTGGTTTACGTTTCCGGCCCGTTCATGTCGTTTCCTGACTATCCGTCATCTCAGCAAACAACACTGGATGTAGAACTTTGTAAATGCAACAATTCTGTAGTTTTTCTTCTTAAACAATTCTGTCATGAGTGTAGATTGAGGACTGTACTTTCATTTAAAACAGCACGACCAAGACCCATTGGGTTTATTTATTTATTTTTATTACCCATAGTGTTTTTGATGATATGCTAAAACTTCTCAGTTACGACATTCTCATGGTGTCACTTTGTTTTTTCTTTTTTGGACATTATTGACAAAGTGCTAAACCACAGAACAGACGCGAATACCGTTTGTACACATTTAAATTCTACTTGCACCACAGTTGTTTGGTCTTTCAGAGTCTGATTTTTTTTTTTACCATTTAGCAGCATGACTATCAGATTAATTTTTCCTAACCATACTCTCTCTGCTCCAGGCAAATGGTCCCGACCAGTTCGGCATCAACAACAAGAACCTGTTCCAGGAGGAGAGCCAGCCTGTTAGCCCTGACGTGCCCCCCGCCCTGCCCCCCAAAACGGGTACGCCAACCAGACCTCCGCCTCCCCCTCCAGGTCAGTGTATAAATCATTTCCACAAAGCGTTGCAGGTGGCAGCTTAGCTGTGACACCTTTAGGGCTGATGAACTCAATCCTTCCGTGTCCGTGCGACTGTGTGTGCCTCGTCAGGTAAGAGGTCGTCCATCTCTAAGACGGAGTCCTCCGACTCCTTCCAGCGGCGAGGGCCCTTCGTCCCCCAGACAGCCGGAGATTTCCCCCCCTCCTCCTCCTCACCCTCCCTGCCTGCCAAGGATCCCGTAGCCGACCCTTTCGCCCCTTCCTCCCCTCCTCTTCAGAACGTACGGGAAGCTGACCGGTTTGCCAGCTTTGACAAAGTGAGCACCTCCCTCTCGCCATCTCCTTCCCCCCCGCCTGAATCTCAGTTGTGACACCCTCTTCTCGCCCCCCCCCTCCACCCCTATTGTTCATGAATCATATCTAGTTGTGCAGTGATAACACAACTAACAAACTAATCAGGCAAGCCTCTGACATGACTCCATCCACTGCCAGTAAAAAGCACTCAGACGCAGTCAGGATCTGATGGCACGGGCTCCTATTTATGCTTATTTAACAACCTGCCTTTAGCTGAAGAAAGGGGGATGTTTCTCTTGAATCCCACCTGCTGCTTGTGAATATTTTTAGCTCCTTGTTATAAATGCTGCTTCTTTGAGGTGCTATGGTTGCACTTTTCCCCTTTTTTTTAAAACTAATTTTGTAACGGGAGTTTCACCTAATTTAAGCCTCATGGCTATCATTGCACTGCCTTTGTGAAAGAAATGTAGCTAGAGATTTATAGATGCATTGAGATAACAAATCTACACTGAGATTCACTTCACTTGTGGAGTTGTGGGACAAATGGATTGGTTAAACTTGGTTTTGTGAGAGCGAGGCTAGTTTTTGGCAGTGAATGGGGAGGTGAGGGTTTGCCTGCGTTGAGCTTTTCTTTTTTTTTTTAAGCCATCCCAACTCTCGCTGACGTGACGTCCTGTGCATGTTCGGGCATCTCAGAGGAGAGCCACTCTCCAATAAAATGGGATCTTCAGGGGAAATTTTAACTAACTTTTAATGAATAAATTTGCTGTCTACATTTTAAATGCTGCTGTGTTGAAACTTAGTGGTTAGTCTGACCTCTTTGTCTCAGGCTGAACTCGGCGTGTGAGGAGGAAGCCTAAAATGGTGTTTAATTTCTCCTCAGCCTTTAAGCTGCAGTGTGCCGTCCCATGAAAATGGCCACACATTGGTGGCTTTTTCCAAGGTGTATTAAGATGAATAAAGATTAGGGTTTAAATATCAGCAACAGTCCGAAACACCCTCTGAGCTGTTTCCTTTAACACAGCACAGGAAGGAGCGGTCAGGCTGTGGGTTTGGGATGGTCCACGATTCCAAAGTACAGTTATTGTTTTTTTTGGTCATGCCTTTAATGTCACATGACCACACCTGCATGCCTCTCTCACTCCGGCTTGCGCGCACTAACCGTGTTTGAGTGGCTTGCTATCATTCACGTACACAACAGCCTCCTCCGTTCCTCCAATCAGCGGTTGTTATTTTTCTCCCTTCACTCATCGTTTGATCATTCATCCCTCTGTCCTTTCATCCATCTGTTTATCGGCTCATGGTTTTCTACCCATCTCAGCCCTTGTGTGTTGTGGAGAAGCAGATGGCCTGTATACTCTTTGTGTTTTTACTCCTGTGTTAAAGAAGCTGAATAAAGTGTTGAATAAAGGGCACATCTCTGGGTTCTATGTGTATCCGTGACATCTACCTTCCAGGAGAGTACAAAGCTCTTTCCTTTTTTAGTTTATTCGTCACGAGCAGTGCCCATACTTTCCATTATTTATGTTTTTTCCCCCCCTAAGTTTGAACTGAGCAATCCTCTCCAGATTTGGTTAATAGTGGTGCCACTGCAAAGAGGGATTATCTGATAAGATTAAGGCCAACAGGCTTTATTAATCAAAGAAAGCAGGACTCCATTTACTGTGTGGTGCTTTCTGTGTCTTATGAGAGGAGACCTCAGACACACTCTTAAAAACCACCACGACAATGAAAAGACGAACAGATGCAACAGGTTGTTTGTACGAGGTTTTGGAATAAAATAACAAAAAGCACCACTTCATTTGTTATTTGCTGATGTCCCATCTCCCATTATATATTTTTTTTAAAAAGGGGGAGAGTGCTTGCACAAACTTTTGTTGATCCATTACATGATCCTTATCTTTTCATCATGCATGCTCTGAATACAGGACACCACAACCATCAGTTTTAAAACGGCTGCTAGGTGGCGTTGTTGTCATTGCTTTTTTTTTTTTTTGCATGGCTGGATACACACACACGTAAATGCACTAAGTGATCCATGTGCCTTGTGTTTGTCCGTCATTAAAAGCGATGAACCTGCTGCCACAGTGCATGTCTAGTCCGTAACACCGTTAGGACCCTAACTGACGCACCATTTATTCCACAGCTCCTGCTTCCCTCTTGTTGTCCTCAGCCTATGAATGCCTGTGATGCTGATCATACGACTCTTGTTTATCCCGAGTTGAAACCCTGCCCCTTTCAGTTCCTGCTTTTATCCTGATCACATGCCCCAGTGAAATCAGCGATGACATACGCCTGCTGGACCCAAAGATGGCCACTGTTGACGTGGACAAATGGATTTTTCTGGCTGCTACCCCAGCCTTTTTCTTAATTTATTTTTTTCACAGGTTGTTATAAAAGTGGTGTATCAGAGAAATGGAGATGTGACCTTTTTCAAGATGGACATTTTGGAGTAGCAGATATTAGCCTGATAGTCTGATTGGCCGCCTGTGGCAGATCCCTTTGAGATGGATGTGCATTTAGAGGAAACTGCATCCCATGTGTGCTTGTGTTTTTATTCATTTTTTCTGTTTTCATGGAGCAGTATCCAACCGAGGAAGACATGATAGAGTGGGCAAAGCGCGAGAGCGAGCGAGAGGAAAAGGAGCGGCTAGCAAGGCTCACCCAGCAGGAGCAAGAAGACCTGGAGCTCGCCATCGCTCTCAGCAAGTCTGAGCTCTCCTGAGGGGACCCCCCCCCCTCCCCGCACAGCCGGGCCCGGCCCAGAAAGCACCAAAGCGAAAGGGGGACCGCCGAACCCCGTGTAGAGACTGAAAACTGATGTCCGAACCCTACATCAGCCCCCCTTCTCCCTCGACCGCTCACTGGCGATGCAGTATCTCGTTTTTTCATCCTTTTTTAGTCTCCGGAGAGGACCAAATAGGAGGTCCTGTTCTCAGGAGTGGATTCTTAAAATCAGTTGTAGTACAAAAAAAACACAAAAAAAAGATTTCTGAGAAACATTTTCACAATAACTCTCCAGAATGTAATTTATTAAAACATGCACTCTGAAGTCTTGGTGAGAAGTCCAGCTTTTAGCTACTAACCAAACTCTCCTCTCCTCGTGTTGTTGTGAGGATTGAATGAGATTTGTTTGACAACCAATTTTTATAGAAGGCAGAAGTTCCCAAACTCTCTCCCGGCTGATCTTTAATACCCCAGAATAACCACTTTTTAGCAGGGAAAATGTGAATGAAATGCAAAACTTTAGTATCTTTGTTGGAGAGTGACTACAATTTGCTCCAGAGAGCAGATTATATTTTTCTTTCCCCTCATCAGGGCAGCATTATTTAGCAAGTTCATTATTGACATGCAATTCAACAGTGCTTTGTCATGCATGTTAAGAAAAAAATGCTTTTCTGAAGCAGATTAAACCTACTACATTTCAACCGGAGACACTAAACTTTTTCTCATGGCTCCACATCACACAGCATTTCAGTTTGGGCTGCAGAGCTCTGGAGCTCCATCTGAGGGCCGAACCAAATACTAATACACATTAAATGGAATAAAAACTACATTGAGATGTTTTCTGACAACTTGGTGTTAATTTTTTGTAGCTTCAAAGCTAAAAAAATCATAAATGTAGACAATTGAGCTGGGTTTTGCTGGATGAATACATGGATGGAACCCACTTTAACAAGTGGGCTTGAAATTATTAACTGAAGGAAGAAAATTCTCAAACAAGCTTAGCTGACTGGCTTGACTGATTTTTAAAAGAAATCACATTAAAAATACTCAAGTTGTCGTAAGCAAATATAAATTTTACACATAACTTTGACTGTTTGCCACATCTTACACTTGCTCTATTTCAAAATTCTCCCTGAAAGGATGTTTGTTTTTTTCCAAGATGCTTTTAAGGAGATATTCTCTGGTGGATTTCAGTCTTAGAGAAATTCAGGGAATCACCTGTGTTCTGTTGGTGCTCCTTAGGCTCTGAGCAGATTTCACTTGCAAAAGGCCTCCTTCATGTTGCCTCTTCATGCCTGCTGACACCCACACAGCAGCCACTTCCGTCTCTCTTGACCGTTTCGTGTTTGTCTCTGAAAAGAACTGTGATAGAAGGTTTCTGAGGGAGGGGGGGAAGACTCAGATGAAGAGCAGGAAGCCTTTGTTTTTTTTTGTACTCACTCGTTTCTGACCAAACAGTGCACACCATTAGGGACGGCTCCTCTAGGCTCATTACCCACGTCCTCCTTTCACGTGTAACCAGCTTCCTGTTAATACAGTGCTTCCCTCTATGTGCAGTCTCATATTGAAGTTTATTGTAAATACAACAGATTTTTTTTTTTTTTTTTTTGCATGGCTACACTCTCGAGTCATGTTGTGCTCCAGTTTATAGTTTCCATCTTACAGTACGTTACTGTCATATGTACAGTCGAACCCAGAACCACTCATGTTTGTAGGCTGACTCGTAAAAGCTTTTTAAAACTCAAGCTGATTGTATCTTATTTTAGATTTTCTAACTTGTAAGAGGATCCATAACTGGGACATTTGGCAAGAATATGTAATGCATTTACCTGAAACTGAATAAATATAAAAACAGTGTAGTTTTACAGTTTGTTCTGCTTTGTTTTTGCCTCCAACAGCCAGATGTTAAGACTTTCAGATCTTCTGAGGGGACCACTGCTCAGACATACAATTTATTCATATAAACTATTCACATTTGTTTGAATGATCTAGTATTTAGCCACAATTAAAGTAAAAAAAAAGGGTTAGTACAATCCCAAAAAGATTAGATGTCTTTAGTTTATATGACTATTGACCACTGCTGTTTTTAGAGCTCTGGTTGGATGTGGGCTGCCTTTTGGTCTGTCCTCTGTCATAATGGCCTCACACTGCTTCAATAACCTTCATGCCCTGCTCTCCTGGGAGGATTCGTCCCTCCACCAGACCTCCCGAGAGTCCCTCCTCCTTGTTCCCGTTCCTCATGAGCCACCTGGTCATGAAGGCCCCTCCTGATTAGACTTTGAGGAAGAGTCGGTCAGCTGTGACGGGCTTGTCTTTTCCTGTTTCTTGTCACTTTCAGGAACAGCTTATCTACTCTCTTGATCGTTTATGATACAGAGATCTTTATTTATATATAATACAGAGATCTTTATTTTTTCCAAACACAACTAAACAAAAATGACACCAGTATTGCCCAGTGTGACAGACACATTGAACCATATATATATATATAGGTGTGTGTATGTGTGTGTGTGTGTGTGTGTGTCTTTTTCTGCTTGAATAATGTTTGCAGACAAAGGTGTGACTCATTCCTTTAAAAATAAAAGTCAGCTGGGATAAGGACAGGCCTGGAAATGGGTGTACAAATAAAAAAAACAGCCAATGTCCAATAAAAAGAACTTCTTTAAATGACACAAGCAGAGAAATGAGGAGTGGCTGCTGAACAGTCCGCACGCGGCTCACATGACAGGCCGAACCGGCGGGCTTTAGGACCCGGAAGCCACCGTCCACATTCCTGTGCATTTAAATAGGAAAGTCATTATTATGCAGATGAGACCAACACACCTTTTCTTGTCGGGGGAGGTAAGAAAGCCTCCAGCTGCCGTCCTCCGTCACTAATGTCCGTGTGAAGCCAGCGTGAGCCGCTCCGGAACCCTTCCAGGCCGCCGGTGTGAGTCCCTCCATGCCCGCCGTGTTAACCTGACCTGCCCGCAGTCTCCTGCCGTGACACCGACCCCCCTCCCCCCCGCGGTGGAATGAGTTTTATCACCAACTGGAGGCGAAGCGTGAAGAAGAATGACAGTCAAAAGTGAGTAGTGAACGAACCTGGAGGTCCGGGCCCTCCTCCAGGCCGCCGGCAGAGACCGGGTGGGGGGGGGGGGGGGGCTCTGTGAGGGGGTCACCGTGTGCCCGGGATACCCGCCGTTATCCGCTTTTAGCTGAAAGCAGCCAACGAGTCCTCAGGTGGATTTGTCTGAGGCCGAAAGAAAAGTGGTTTGACAGGAGTTTTCTCCCAAAGTTTGACTTTGAGCCAATCTGAATGAAAGCTGCCTGAACCAAAATGAAATATTACAAACTTTTATCCATGTGAATTCTTCTAAACATTGTTGAATCCAAAGGAGGTACCAAATACACAAACAAACAGTCTGTTTTTGTTGTTTAAATCTTATATTCCCAGTTTAATCTGCCACTTTCAACAAATATGTGCTGTTTGGTTGGCATAATTAAAACTCAATTGCTGATTCGGGCTTTGCAAGTTTTTCAAAAGTTCTGGTTGAACTCTGAACTACTCATACGTTTTATATAAACGACAAAGTTTGATACATCTATGTATCTTGTGTATCCCATCGTGGGCTTTCAAATTGATCTGGTGAGGATCAAGCTCTTTGGTTTTGGTTTAAATATGATCAAGTCAGTAATAATGATGTCATCTATTGTGATTTATAGAACCACAGCAGCCATAAGGGGCTCCCCCAGCTCCCCCCATCAGTACCAGGGACCTTGTAAACAGTCCCCAAAGCCCTGATGTCTCTTTGCTCAAATCTCTGAGTTTTTGCAGCCTCTCTGATTTGGTGGTTTTCACTTCTTCACAGGAGTCTGGAACAGGCCCAAGACACCCCTGTCAGCCCGGAGTCCCCGAGCCGGTATGTTCACATTGTTCATGCAGCCATTCCTCCTCACTGTCCGGAACAATAAGCAGTGAGACAAAGAAAGAAAACAAAACAAACTGAACGATCCGTCTAGTCACTTGTGGCTCCTATAATATCATTAGATATGACTTATTCTAACCTTTTCGTCTAAACTGTCAACACCTGTGGAAACTTTGACTGAACCGTGTGCATTTGTTTCCAGGTTGTCGGTCATAAACAACCCAGATCTGGATCCCATCATCACTGACTTTAAGTGAGTGTCTTTTAACTGAGAGGACCGTCAGTGAAATGGTGATTACCACTGCGTTCTCCCATTCAGCTTGTCCTCGTACATTTCCCGTAAAATGTAAAGCCCATGGCTCCAGAAATCAGTAATTGTAGGGACACAAGCAGTCTGGGAGTGTCTGCTGTCCCGGATCGCTGTCCCTGTATCTGTGACTCTCACGATCATGTTCCTCACGCAATAGGTGTGCCTCTTGCTGCTTCTTTTTTTATCCCTTGAGATTACCTTTTCTCTGACCAGCCTGGATTTTTGTTCCTGTGTTTCAGGTTACAGCTGCCTGAAAACAAAGATGCTCCAAATCCATCAAATGGGTAAGACCAGGTCTTAACTGATGGTTGAATAAGTGGTAAAAAAGTGAATGAAAACTATCCCCCATAAAGGGAGAGCAGTCCCCTGGGTGTCTGAGCTAGGCATAAGAACTCTCTCTACTTTGTAGCTGCGGAAAGGAATTACATAGCATTTTTCCCATTAGCTTTAACAGACAGTCACATGATTTCATGTTTTAAATGTGTGTGCTTGTGTCTGCAGAGTGATATGTGTGGCTAATATGAGCATTTTAAAACAATAAGACATCCTCAGCCAACTAAAGTCACATTTTACAACTTAAAGCGCCAGGGCAGAGTTGGACTGTATCTTTGAAGTCTCTGGAGATGTGATTTGATGTGATTTGATGCTACATAAAATCAAATTGAGTTGAATTAAGAGTACCCACCCCCTCGCCTGATGTCCCTTTGAAATGACAGAAAAGTTTGCTGTGGTGGTAATTTGCTTTCCTACAATATTTAGCTACTTTCATGATTTTTACCATCCTTTAGCCATTTCATAAACCCCTCCTTTCGATTGCTGTGTATAGAAGAGGTTTAACCTCTTGTTTTAGGACTGATGTCCTCATGTTATCTTCCCAGAGGCAACAAAGTAAGATCAAACCTTAAAATGTCTGCCACAGAGCTTTAAAGTTGATATTTGGACTACAGTTGTCACCTCTTTAGTTGTACCTCCTCAGAACACAATTATAGGCATTTGCTAAAAAGTCCGCTTTAGTTTAAGTTGAATGCTGTTTTGGGTGGCCCCCACCAGGCGGCTGAGTGTGAGCCTCTGTCTCCAGCGCCCCGGCGTTCTCACTTGGCGCCATGCCTGCATTTCATTCACCGTTTAGCATCAGCCGGAGCTGCTTCTGTGTCCTCTATTTCTGGGCTCTCCGCAGTGTTCGCTGTGTGCCACTGCAGCAGATCGGACCATCTGACAATGCTCTGCGCACTGCTTTCCCTCCTGTGAACCCCCTCTTCCCTCAGCTTTAACTGCAAACAGTTTTAATTGGTTTCGGGATTGCAGGCGTTTCATAATCGCCGCCCGGATTTCTCTATTTTAGCTCTCTCTTTAGCTTTCTCTTTCCTATTTAGCAGTTTCTGTTCTTATGTAAAAGTGCTCAAGCTGTGAAGAGGTGGACATTTTAGCCCCACCTCTGACTTGGCTTCAGCCAATGGGAGCAGAGACTGCAGTGAGTGTAGCGCGAGGTTGACGATCGGAAGAGGTGGGACAGGTCTTGTGTGTGTGTGTGTGTGTGTGTGTGAGGGGCAGCACAGATAGATTGTGTGGTCTTCCTTCATGTGTGATAGTCATCCCAATCTTATTAAGGGCTGTTGCCGCTGCTCCGTGCTTCTCTTGTGCCCTCCCTCTCTCATTCATTCCCCCTCCTCTCAGTCCCTCTCGCTCTGTCTCTGCCCTTATTTTGCTCCTGCTCTTGTGTCTGCAGCCACAGAAAGAGACCGATCATTACACAGCACTGCTGGTGAAGGCCCCGGGCGCACTTCTGCAATTGTCTGTACCTCTCTCTCTCGCTTTCCTCCACACACTTTTTTTGCCAAATGAAAATGTCAGGAGAGGAAGAAGCTCATTCAAACGGGTAAGACTCTCTCAGCAGGCTGGGATAATCATTAATTCATTTAGTTTTGGTCCTGTAAGATGCTTTGTGAGGGATTTTTTCTGCTTCATCACATGAGGAGAAGTGCGTGTGTTTGTGTGTGTGTGTGTGTGTGCTGAGTCGTGACACTCAGGCATGTGGACAAACTGGCTGGGCTAACTGTTGGAGCTTCTCTGTATCCCGGCCCGAGCTCCGAACGTCTTAAATCAACTGGAATGAATGTGCTGAAAGCTCTGTGAAGCCGAGCCGACAAACTAGTGCTTCGTCACTCCCGCGAGGCTGCCGGAGTGTGCAGTGACAGATCAGTTGGCAGGAGCACGTGAAGAAGTGGCTCTAGATGCGCAGTTGCCTGATAATGATCACCGTTGTGCAAATGTCTCCCTGGAGAAATTAGCTCCCAAATGCTGAGTTGGAGCTCTATTAAATTATGGGGACAATGCGTGGTATGCACATCCTGGGTCTTATGGAGGCTTCTTATTTGGGTCTTTGTTAGGACCTCTTTGCTTCACACAATGGTCAGCTGCCTAGTTTGTGAGACAGTCCTGTACTGTGTGGTCATCTTTCTGCTCACGGCCTCATTTCCCTCTCAGTTGTGCTGAAGCTGCCAAAATCTAGTTTTCCAATCAGAGCGCTTTCCAGATTTAAAGAAATGATTGAGCCCCGGGTTGTTTGTCTGTGTGTTTGCCATCGACTCTGGCAACACAGTGACCTTTGTTAGTTTGCTGATGAGATTTCAGGATTAATCGAAGCTGTTTGAATAGGAACAGTTTGAAAGCCAACAGCTTATCATCTATTAGGTTATGTTTTTAGTCTGAATTTAACAGGTGATTAGGGGCAGCGAGTGTTGGGTCTGTTTAGAAAGACTGAATAATGTCAACTCCACTGGAAACGGAGCAGTGTTCTTATTTTCGTCTTACTTGAACTAATGAGATCATGCTCTTCATGCTTTGCGCAGCTTTCTTTACTTTTTTCACTGGATTCTTGTGTCATGTAATTATATGTTCTTAATTGCTTTCAGTCGTGCCAATTCCACTCTAAACAGGGAAAACAGCTCACAGGAATCTGCGTGTTCTGGTTAGAATCATTGTGAGGGGTTTTAATCAGTTTTGCTGTGAGTTTAGTTATTGTACATATTATTTGGTGTTTTTTATTTTTATGAGGAAAAAAGGTTTGTATAAAGGTTGTTCCAAGGTACAACACTGAAGGGAGATGTGTTATTGATTCTTTATCAATGTTTTCATTCACACATCGTAGTGTATGGGTGTATGGGTCGTTTTCTACTCCATCAGAAGGACGTCGTATGAAAAAGCTCACAGTGTTACAGATGACAAAACCAGGACAGAAATGAGGTTTATTGTGGATACAATACTAAGGCAGAAACACGGCAGTCTTCTTACAAACATGGATAGATAGCTTCTAAATATAATCTGGAACCAGTCAACACAGATGTGGAGATGATGTGATCGGGGTTATCTTCTCCCTGTAGCTAAGTAGGGCCTGATCGGATTCCTCAGGTTAAAATATTGTAAATGTGCTATTTACCTTTAGAAAAGATAAGTGGCCTTATTAAAAATCTCTACTGACTTGAGTCTACATGCACTCCTCTTTACATTTCTACGTTACATTTTAAATGCTGTTGGATTTGGGCTTTTGGGGATTTTGAAAACAAAACCAACATTTAAAGTGAAGCTATTGTTGTTTCTGGTTGTTCCCAGTATCCTGCATTCAGGATTTGGTTGCATGCAGAGCAATGGATGACGGACCAAACTACTGAAAAACTATCTGAAAACCAGCAGGGATAATCTTAGAATGAAAGATTATCCTTTTCTATCCAGAAAAGAGTTCCACCCCAAGCCCTGAAACTGATCTGGCCAATGCAAAGCTAACACCTATGTTGATGAGGCATATCGATCAAAACAGAAAGTCCTGTCACACATTTTGGTTAAGTGATCAACATGATGTTGTTTTTACCTTTTTTCTCAGTTATTTTACCGATGATAAACCTTGTTAAAATGATGCTTTTATCCTCTCCCCTGGCTCAGATATAACACCGTCATACCTTTGGCAGCCTGACAAAGTATTTGTCGAGCAAGCAACGTCTGCACATTTTCAGGAAATAAAAAAAGCATCACGACCTGATGGCAAGCGGTCAACTGAACTTTTTTCACGTAAAGAGAAAGCAGTGAAATCTCATGCTGAACTGGGTGCCTGTGCATGTGGGAGGACATGTGACAGCAGATCCGTTCCAGCATTATTCATCAGATCAATGGCAGAAATGCACAAACATTACGTCGGCTTGTTTAAATCCCCCCGGGCCTACGATAACGGCTGTGTTATCGAGTCCCCTCTCAATTATATAACAGATTAGCTTCATTATTACATTTTATATTAATAACCTGACTATGTGAAATTAATTTTTTCCCCATAAACTTACAGTAGAAAGTTGTAAAAAAGTTTTCTTCTATATTTGTTCATAGATTGCCATTGAAATCTATGACCACAACTTTGCTGGCTGAGAAGATTTGGAATAGTTACAGATGCCTGGGCCCAAAACGGGCGGTGATCCTGCCTTGGCGTGTTTACCCCGGAGCAGGGGCGCTGTTATCAGGGCGCTCGGCCTGTTGGCAGTCATATGGTGACCACGGCGGTCGGTCAGCCGCATGTCATTAGCCAGAGCTGCACAGAGCCGTGTGTCCTGTGTCCTGCTGCTGGTGGTGGTGCTGTGTGCTGGTATGAGATGGGTTTGTTGTTCCCCTGTGCTGCTAATGGGTAGGAATGTGACGTTTATTAGTCACTGCTGTTCCACACATTAGTCCTAGCTGTGCGCACTGTTTCGGCTTTTGTGTTGCTCAGCAGAAGGCTCGCTGATGAGGTCAAAACCTGCTGTGTTGAACAGGTAACGACCTACTGACTGACTGTATTATGGCCATTATTTCGAAATTAGATTTACGTTTAAAAGCAAACGAGTCCCTGCCATAACGTGGACTCTGTTTGCGAGCACCAGGGACTCGTCACGTGACGATCATGTGCAAGATGTAATAAAAAGGAAGAATTGTCATCAGTTTGTGTGGCCATCTTTTCTCATGTGCAGTGTAAGGGTCCGATTTTTTTAAAATGTTAGAGCTCTGATTTATGCTGGTCCCCTGTGGGATTTGTAATTGCACATAAATAGCAACTCATTCTCCTCAAATCTGTTTGTGTTGGTTCATTTTTTTTATCTGAAGTGTTTTTTGAGTGCATGGGATTAAAGACAAGAGGAACATCCAGGGTTGCAGAACATATTCCACTGATGTCAATCTTATTTTTCTCTCAGCTCCATGTTAGGAAAAAAAAAAAAGTTTTTCGAAGTTTGCCCCTTTTCCTTCTGTTTTCCCTCTGCTTGTCCTGTTCTGGTACTGATAGTTTACTCTCATGGCCCGGTTTCTCAGGTGCTCGCGGTCCGACCTGTCTCTGGCTCTGGAGGACTGCATGGCTGCCCTGGATCTGTTCCTCAGGAATGACTTTGAGGAGGCGCAGGCACGTCTCAGATGCAGGTAAGGGCACATCCTGAGCCAGAGGTTTCCACAGCTGCGGTTCTAACCTGGCTTTGTGATCAAATAAACAAAAAAATGCATTCATTTTACAAATACAAGAAATCATTTTTTTGTGTTTTAGAGCAAAGTTTTAAAAAGGAATCAGGATTCCAACATAAAGGTATTTGGAAAACTCAGGTAATAATAATAAAAGACAGTTTAAATTCATTAACTGGGTGGAGTTTTGGGTCCCGGTAAACTAAATCTGAACATGACGCAGCACCCGTATGTACATGTGATTTGATGGGAGTCGCTCCATGCTCTGCCTGAGTATGACTCTGAATGCCGAGCTGTGCACCTTACAGGAATGCTTTTGGCACTTGTTATGTAAAAGAAAACGGGGGCGTGACATGATATACCACACTGATGTTAGAAACTTGGTTCATAGTCATGTGACTGGAACCAGACAAGGAGGAGATGTGACATGTGGACAAAATGGACAGAGCCCATAACACTCAGTCTCAGCTCCCATCACCTCTGGTAGGGACGGCGAGGTGGAAAATAGAGGCCAGATTAACTATCATGAAGCAAACTGATGATGGACAAGAGGGGGAGTAATGTTTGCCCAGCCTATTTTTATGAATAGTTATGAGTTTCTCCAGGTTAGTCTGTTTATTCCCTTTTTTTAGCTTTTGTAACCCCAGTATTACCCCACTAGTTTAGCTCCTTACTAAGAACAGCACCGACACCCTGTCAGAAAAGATAACCATCTTCATCTGACGTGTTCTTTGGTTGTACAAAGCACTGAGAATCCAGCCTCTCACAAGGTTCAGATGAGCAGGAGCACATGTTGACAAAGTTTCCTCTCACTCATGAGTCATCTGCTGTCACCTCAGGCACTTCTGTGCAGCTAATGCAGATTTCTTGAGGGGGGGACAGTGGAGCAATCCCCTAATCTACCAAACCTAAAGCCCAATGACTCCACAGGTTCTCATCTGACATTTGAAATGAAGTTTCTGCTTTCTATGCTGTGTGGTTTCTGCCTTTGTTGACTTGTGGTACTGTGAGCTCGGCGTGTAAGGGCCTGCTTCTGAGGGATCTGAGTCATTATTTAGAATAGTTTCAGAATCTCGCTAGTGATTGGAGGACATACCACTTCCTGTTTCATATCGTGCTCAAATGTGAGTCGTTCATTGTTTGATACAGAGCACGTCTTTCGTAAACCATATTATAATGCCGGGAAACATGATGAAAATCAGTGTTTTGTATAAACTGTGTACAGTGTATAGCTTGTATGCAAAGCTATTAAAAGCTGTCAAATCTTTTATTTTATTTTTTTTTATTTTTTTTTAGATAATCAGAAAAGCAAAGTAGACCAAAAACATGCTTAGTTTTTAAACTTGAAGCCGTTCAGTTTTCCACAGAAGATGGGTATAAAGTAAACACATTTCCTTTGGGTTTGTGTAGAAAAATAAAAAAAGTTAAATCTCCTCAGTGCGTTTGTCCAGGGAGAGCAAATGTCTCCCAAAATGTTCCCATCTGTCTCTGTCCTGTTTTGGAACGACTAAATCTAATTAAATTGACTGAGTTTCAAAATGCTTTAACTGTTGTTTCTATTCTTTTGAAAACCTCTGACCAACTAAACCTTAATGTTTAGCTAGTTAGGTCCCTTGATCACTTAACTCTGTTGTGTTTGTGGTGATGAGCATTACTTCAGGCACACAGGGATCTGTGTATTTGTCATTTCTGGTATTATTACTGATTTATTGGAAGTCTGTCTACCCTGAACACTCGAACTGGGGTTGACTACACGTCGGTGGCCCAGATTCTCTAGCATCCTCTCAGGTGCTGCTATTTGTCCTGCTTCTGAAGTCTCCAGTTTTAGATCAAACAGAGGAATAAATCCGTCCTGCAGACCTTTCTCCCTCAGAGCTCTGCTGCAGACGCAGAGAATCATCAGTAAATAAAGCCTGAAATGCCCTTTGTGTTGACAATAACTGACTAAAATCTTTAGTAATGCCAGCAAACCGTTTTTTAAGCAGGGCATTCATTCGAGTGACCCGTTTCCCATTATCCTCATAAATCTCATGTTACACAAAGTTTTTTCCAGCTCTAATCAGTGCTTGTTGCAGCCTCATTTCAGAATGGTTTCATTTCAAAGAGGCAGCTCTAAGAAATCTTTAGTAACTTCATTACTGACATCCTATTACTACAAAGAACACTTTTCGTTAAGTTTCTTATATCAGAGATTTTTCAAACTACTGAAACCAAAACTGAACATTATATATTAAATACAGAGAAGTATGTACTTCATATATTGTGTGGTGTTTTTTTCTTACACTATAGAATATGACTTATTGGCTTTCAGCATTATGCAATCTCTTTGTTTAAACAACCTTTTTGTAATTACTTCATGTACATTAGCCAATAACTGCTCAGTGTTGGGCCACACCACTTTTCTGTGTCTGTGGGGAGCTATTAGTGTCTCAGTGTTTTTCTTGGGCGAATCCATGAGCTGTTATGATGAAACATCATCTCAGCATCTTCCCTCTGACAAAGTGTTCTTTTTAAATGAGGATATCAGAGAAAAAATACCTGGCTTCTAGCTTCTTTGGAGTTCTGCCACTCCACATTTAAAACTCAGAGTTGATGTCTGTTTGTCGGTTTGAGTTACACTTTTTATACCAAAACAATTGCTGCCATTGGCTAAACTTGTGTACTATTTACAGCAAATGGGTGTTTACAGTTTTCTTTTTATCTCAATAACATATTTTTTTCTTGGAAAAACACCCCTGGTAAAATGAAACCAGTTGTGTAATGTTTTAGTTCACTTGGCATTAATGAGTTAAAAACTTTGTGTTTCAAAGGGCTTTTTCGGATCATTCAATTTAATTAGAGTATTTTTTTTTCTTTGTAGTGGCTCATTAACATGGAAACTTTCCAGCCTGTTGCTGATTGGTGTGTCAAATGAGAAAGAAAATCAACTCTTAATTTGTTTTTAAATCTTAAGGATTAAGATAACAAGAAACGATTACTGTATAATGGACTATATAATGTGGAATTACACCCTGCCTCAAGTTTTGTGCTCCATCATGGACATCAAGTTACTTCATTGTTCTCTTTTCTGTTATCAGAACCCGTATCTCACAGTTTCTGTTATATCATCCTCCACCTGGATGTTAGAGGGCTGGGGGCCACTCCTTCGGCCCAGTTTTTCTTTTCAGTTCTCTCTTACTGACAATAACAGTTGTTGTTACCCTGTCAGCCTGTACAGAGGTAGTTTTGTATTTGCTTTCGTCATGAGTCAAAACATGGTGCGATTTCCTCTCTATTTCTGAGCGAGGATATATATATATATATATACACAAACACACAACCGTGCTACTGTTCCATATTACTGTAATACATACTAATACATTAATAAAATAAAATTAATAGTAGTAATTTTTCAATTCAATCATGCTGTCAGAAAAAGTTGAAAAAATTAATTTGGTTTCTGCAAAGCCCAGTAACTCACTCAAATAGATTGAGTATTTTCTGGTTTGTGCTTCATTTATATGTAGGCCAATGTCCGGAGGGCTTAGACTTCTAATGCGTAATATTGCGTAATGTGTGGCATGCTTTTTGTGAGAGAGAAACATCCAAAGACTTATCAGTGGGAGCTCTCAGGATGCAAAAACACTGGCAGAAGCTTCCAGTTTTTCTCCTTTCCCCATCCAATACGGTGTTCTGACGCAGTCTAATGGAGGTCAGGGCAGACTGTATAGAGCTTTGGACTGGGAACAAAGCTTATTTTACAGTGGCTCTTACCAGTGTGTGCTTCCAGGCTCAAATCTTTCATGTTTTATCATTGAAAACAAAGGTGATGTTTCTCAGAGTCTGATGAACAGATTTCAGATTTGAGAAGTCTGATCCCTTCCCACAGAGAGACAGATGTTTCCCTCCTCCTTTGCTACTTTTTTTAATGTTGATGATCACAGGCAGTTAAACCCCTCCAAGACTGTAGGATGGACTCGGGGACAACACTTTCTTTGCTCACACATTGTTATTCGGTACACACCTGCTTTTATATGTTAGTCCCTGCGTATGTGGCAAATGATCCAGATCCGTCATGTGATTTCTCTTTTCCATGCCGCATACTTAGGGCTGAGAATTCTTTTTGATTTACTCTCAGAATAGCTTAGGTCTAAGGCTGAGTGTAAGAGGAGGGAGGTTGGAGAGGAATCTGCTTCAACAGGCCGGTGCCCACTTTAGAGACTGTGTAAGCCAAGAGACCAAATGTAAAATACAGGAAACAGAGAGGAGTAAAAATCACATAATTCTGCTTTCATACTGCTGGAAGGCAAAAGTTGTCCTTGCTGTAATTATTTAATACAACGGTTTAAGGAATTAAGCAGAACGGCACATTTGCTCCACACTGTGTTGAATCTTGGACAATATAGGAAGCTTTAAAGTGTGTCATCCTGCATATGATGGTGCACTACTGAAATTGTTGGAGTACATTTTTATAAAAGCATTCGAATATGTAGGTAAACCTTGAGTTGACTAAAATAAATCGGATAAGTTATTATCCTGCAGTGGCTGATCCAGAGGAAATAAGAAGTATTTTAAGGGTCGAACAGCTGTTAAAGGGCTCTGCATATATTTAACATATAGTGGAAGTCTTTTTCGAAATCGCTCATTTATGGAACTGCCCTATAGGTTCAGATCCAGCATTTCCTTTTCTGATTGGTTGCTGTAGACTAAAGCATTATAAGAACACTCTACGAAAGCAGTCAATCATTTTTATGGTTATTCAATCCTTCAGTCCCAAAATGTTCCAACAGCAGATTTAGATGTGTTTGAAGGCAGTTTGTTCAAGAATGCCACACCAGGCCAACGGAGACCTGATTTAGCTATTATTTTATCATTATGCAGCCCTGCTCAGTAGCGTTCAATACACATCATGTTTGATGTTCGATGTTTATGCATTTATCCAAAGCAACTTACAATGTAGATTTTAAAAAATGCAGATATAAAACACACAGAGTCTGAAGTTTTTCTTTGAGAAGTTGCTGGTTGTTTTCTGTCGTTTGTCTTGTGATTTTCTTTCATGACTATAAGTTTTTCACAAGCTAATTGTACTAAAAACGTCTGCTTTCTGAGAGACATGTTCACACTTTTCTCAGTATTTCTCCTTTTTTGGACTTGTGATAACATGTGCTGATTTGAATTTGTGTTTTGAGGACATGATATCTCTGCAACTCTATTCTAGAAAGGAAAATAGTGGTAAAAGTGACTGTAAACATTACTGATTCCCAGACACATTAAGAATGGCTGCAAGCCATATATTTTGCGTCACAGGTAAAGGTTTTCCGTCTCAGGTTTGGCTGTGTGTTACTCATGTAAGTGTGACGCAGTGGAAATGGAAGGCAGGCAAATGTCCACGTCCTCCTCCAACAGCCCGCTGTTACTTCCTGGTTTTGACTGATTGCGTTTGCGTTCAGTCATTGAGTTACAACTAATAATAAACCCATTCAGGCTGAATTAGAACATTTTCAAGTGCTTATTAGCACTTATTAACTGTAATTTTCTTCAATGACAGACTAAAAGTCACATGGGGGAGGACAAAGATGCATCCTTCAGTCTGTTCAGTGTCCAGTTTGCAACATTTATTGATAAAAGTGAAGCATGATTAATGTTGTTGACTGTGAAAAATCCATTAAAGCTAATTCAACTTCTAAAACGGTAAACAAATGACTGATTTGAGCTGGCAGATCTCACAGGCAGGTCACATGACTCGATCCCTGCAGCAAAATATTAACTGAGCTGTCTGACGGCATTCTTTGCCACACACGTATGCCCGTACATTAACAACCAATAAAAAACACATTTTTACATGTAATATACAACATGAAAGTTAACACAGTGTTACATCTTATTACACCTTAAAGTGTTGTTCTTCCAACTTGTTTTTACTTTGTTTTTGCAAGCAAATAGTTCCGCCATAGTATAAAGCTGGAGTAACAACCTTTCTCAACTAGTTTATCAAGTATACCCACTAAAGAACGTCATACAGTATTTTCTACTGTAGAGAGTTTACAGAAACCTGTTGAGCAGAAGCTATGATGTGGCTCAGCAGCAGCCACAGATATAAATAGGCACAGTTTCTTTTGTGTTAAGTTGTCGGTTTAGTCTTCCAAGTATTCGCCGGGTTACTGTTAGCAGTAACCACCGAGCTGGCCACGCATGTGTGACGTTGGTCACTTTCATTTTGACCACCTGCTCGCCTCACCATTTTGTAAATTATCTGAAACAATGCCATGCACTATGATCTTTTCATGTGTCTGCAGAACAAAAGACAGCATGTACCACGCTCTGACCTATGCCACCATCCTGGAGATGCAGGCCATGATGACCTTTGACCCTCACCACATTCTGGCGGCGGGCAGCACGATGAAGGAGGCGCAGGCTCTCTGTCAGCGGTGAGTCTCTGCCACAACGTTAGAGCCTAATCTTGGCCTTTGACGTGCAACTAAACAGTGACACGGTGGTTTTACTAGTACTTCTCTCCAACTGGACCAACAGCAGCGGTTACTATTGTCCCTTGAATACAAAAAAAGCCAAGACACAGGTCAGTTACGCAACAAGTGCAACAGTCGGATGAGACTGAGTCTTATTTTAATATACAAAAGAGATTAAAGAGAGCCCAATTAGTAATTATCAGCTACTCTGCTGAAGATTTCTACCTGCTGGTTTCTTATGAACTGTGGATCCAGTTTGTGCTGAAGCCCCAGCGAGCTCTTCTCTCTCCCTCACACCAACACTGATCTAAGCTAACACTGGCTGGTTTTTGGAAAGTAAATGCTGATGGGAAGTTTAATGCACTTTCAGCAAATTGTTCCGCAGCAGCCGGTTCACCTTGCTGGAGCTTGGCATCAGGTCTTTACCGGAATGAGGCTGAGTCACTGTTTAATGTGGAAAAGAAGATATGACAGAGTGAATTCTGAATGGTGACACTTTTGTTCTTCCTCCATCAGGCACCGAAAGAAGTCCAGCTTCTCCAAAAGCTTCACAGAAGGTCAGTAAAATCCCCCCTGACGGGACAAGTTCCTGTTGCACCCTTAGGTTAAACCTATGTCCGCATGCACGTGTGGGAGGTTTGGGTTCACATGTTGTGGGTAAAGTTCCATAAGTGCATGTGTTTGTATGTTTCTGTTACACTGCAACTTATAGACTGTCCCACTCAAGATAACTCGGCTGTAATATTTCCCCCCCAGATGAACTCCATGCTGAAGTGTGCTATGCAGAATGTCTCCTGCAGAGGGCAGCGCTCACCTTCCTTCAGGTCAGCAGGCCTCAGCCTGACCAGCCCTCAGTCTGCCACCACTCACTGCGTAACCCCGTTAAACCTTGTCTCCTCGCTCCTCTCAGGATGAAAACATGATCAGTTTCATCAAAGGCGGAATCAAAGTGAGGAACAGCTACCAAACTTACAAGTGAGGATCTCTTTCATATTCATCAGTAGATCTGGATCTCTCTGATAGTAGATTGTATTCACAGAGCTTAATCTTGCCACCTCCTTCTCCTCAACCTAACAGAGAGCTTCATGGTATCCTCCAGTCCTCTGGATACACTCATGGTGACAACCATGGTCATTTTGAGGGTGGTGTTAAGCTAGGAGTGGGAGCCTTCAACCTAGTAAGTAAAGGTCTGAATGTGAATGCCTGTGGTTGTGAGGTAATCGTCCCTGAATGCATCACAAGCATTTACCAGCAGTTTTCAGTAGGTTTTAAAGCTGGATATGTTAAAAGAATTAAACACAAGCATAGAAATAGGCAAAAACTCACATTTAACATATTTTAAACCCTGTGCCTTTCAAATAAAAATGACTTTAGAGCTTTTGAAATACAGGATCCTTCTTGGAAACCACCTTCATTGTAATGATAAAGAAATGCTGTTGTCATCCCCACGAATAACCCTGCTTTTCTTCTTCCTGTAGATGATTTCCATGTTGCCCACACGGACGCTTAAGCTTCTGGAGTTTGTGGGTTTCTCTGGTAATAAGGTAAGTCTAACAGTAGGACATTTCTTTTATTAGTTATTGATACCAAAGCAGAGGCAGAGTCTTCTGCTTTATTTGTGGAATATGATCTCCTCTGAATATACCGTCAATTTACAAACCTGTGAATTCTGGTGAGATGACTGTGGGAACATGAAACTGTCAGGGGAGGAATAAAGCAAAAGTCGAGAAATGCACAAGTCACTTTGAAGGTCTGATCATAATGACTAATCACTGTACTATCTGTTCATATGTGACTTTCAAGAATTTGTTGGATCTATAATTCTGCTGCCACTATGAAGAAAATATCCCACTATGATGTTGTATAGACCAAGAAACTACATTTGATAATACTCTTTGGACTTTGTGTGTTCTGTGTGATTTACTGAGGGTGCATTCTCAGTTTTTTTTTTTGTAATACAGATCTTCTTACTCAATCTGTTCTCACTGACTGCCTAGGAGTCATTTAGCAGACTAGCTGCCACTGTCCATCCTCCTGGACACACTGCCTGAACATTAGAACAGTGTGTTGACTGTGTCTGGTTCTGCTGCTGAGGCCGAACTGAACTGAGTTCTGTGTGCTTACCTGCAGGAGTTTGGTCTCCAGCAGCTTCAGGAGGGCTCTGCAGAGAGCACGTTCAGGTCCTTCCTGTGTAATATGCTGCTGCTCTGCTATCACACATTCATGAGCTTCATTTTAGGTGAGCTGCTCTGAACACACACGTACTCCTGCTCCTGCAGGCACCCGTAGAAGAGGCCCGGTTCAGCTGTCTAACCCGGCTGTTTTCTGATGGTGCTTTGCAGGAACTGGAGAGGGAGACGTCCAGGACGCCGAAAAACTTTTGCAGCCTTATCTGAAAAAATACCCGAAGGTTAGCTGGAGGGAGTGGCATCCATGTTTTCTTCAAATGGCTGTGGGATACTTTGCTTTACATTCCCAAACATTATCTGTTTTGCATCTTTTTAGGGATCCATCTTTTTGTTCTTTGCTGGTCGAATTGAAGAGATCAAAGGTAACCTGGATGCTGTAAGTACTCTTTTTGCATCCTGAAAATGGTTGTAACAACATCCCTTCTGCAGGACGCATGCCTTGTATAATAGGAGCACTTAAATGATATTCCTTGTGTCTTATCTTGTGAGAAGAAGAGACAGTGTTCATCATTATGTCAAACGTCCTCTCCCCTAAAGGCTTTATAGTGGATATGTCACAATCATTTCTTGTTCTTGTTCACTTTCAGCCCTGTACAATGTTATTAACAAAGCACATTTCTGTTCACTGGGCTTCGTTGTTACCAAAGTGAGTTTACTGTGGACCCACCTCTAAGATGGCTGCTGTTCTCTGTTTGTGGAAGGCTATCGAGCGCTTCGAGGAGTGCTGCGAGGCGCAGCAGCAGTGGAAGCAGTTCCACCACATGTGCTACTGGGAGCTGATGTGGTGCTTCACATACAAGAGGCACTGGAAGATGGCCTACTTCTACGCTGACCTACTAAGCAAGGAGAACTCGTGGTCCAAGGTAGGCCACTACACTCTTCAGTGTGAGCACATCTTGAAAAAAGTCGGAAAGAAACATTTGTATGAGGTTGATATCAGATTTGTGAATATTTGCCTTTCATTTTTAGCTAAAACATTATGAATCTTTTTTCCCCCACTGTCACCGCTGTTGTGAGTTTTTTAGTTGACTGTTTAAAGATAAAAAAAGGGATTGCCATCCTAAGCACCTTTTCCTTCCCTCAGGCTACCTACGCGTACATGAAAGCAGCCTACCTCAGCATGCTGACGGAGGATGATTGCCTAACATTTGGGGAGACTGCACTGACTCTGTTCAGGTATAAATTTAGATCCTTCTTGAATTACTCACAACACAGTGAAACAGATACGAATGCAGAACGTGTGAAGCTTCTCAAAACTTCAACAAGATGAAAATTCATACTGTGGCGCATTTAAGAAATACAAGAATATGGAAGGGTACATTTTTAGAAACATGAAATAAATCAAGCAGCTCTAAAAAAAGAATGACAAAATAAAGCTTTGTTACCCACTTAGGACATGGAAATCTTCCGAAAAAGTTGCAGAGCAAAAAGTTCTTATAGGGTTTGCAGGAGACTATAATATCTCTAATGTGAGATGGAGCATAGCCTTTAAGAACTTTAAATGTGGCAAGGATCCTAGGCAAGGAAGCTCATATGGGGGAAATGATAAATTGCATTCAAACTGAGATAAAGAGTCAATTTCTCAGCATCTCACTCAGATAGGATCCCTCGATTTGTGCCGTGCTGTGTAAACAAAAGAAAGGCCCCGGAAGACACCTGTTGAATATGTGCCACAAAAAAAGCCATCCAGTGTAACTTGATGCTTTCTAAAAGAAACACAGAGGTGTTTTATATCAAGAACAGAGACAATTTGTTCTGGGTTCAGCAGAATAAAACTGGTCAATTCTTTAGGAGATAAAAGAAAAGCTATAAACTGGTCTCTAATTGGCTGATATCAGGGAGAGGGACAAGAGTAGGCTTTTTTCTAAATGGTTCGATAAGAGCTGTAGTACAAGGACAGAACACAGAGGAGGGGCTGATAACAGGTGTAGCATCTGTCAAATCTGGGGTTTAATAGTAACATTTAGAGGCCCTGATTGCTGCTATAGAGAGAAATAAATTAATATCAGACTTTTTCATGTTGTCTGTAGTTGTAGAATTAAAAGATGTCTGAGCACTAACAGTGGAGAGCCCTTTTTCTTTCTACCTTAAACAACTTTAAGTGCTGATTGTTAAGGTTTAACACTCTGACACTTCGTTAACCCGACCAGGGTGCTGAAAAGAAACCTGGGCTTGTTCTTTTTCCCCCCACCTATATTTAATTATAGCCTTTCACAAAGCTCTTTTGTTATAAATTAAGCCCCCATCCAGCCTAGGCAGCATTGTTGAGATTTTCAGAGCATCGTTTTCTTTCCAGGTTTCTGGATGTTTGTTTTTAAAGTGCACAATAGTGAATTGTACCAGGGAGTGTGCCTAATCTGGATCAAAACGTTCGTGTTTTAGTGGGGCAACAGCATCAAGAGTGTAAAATCTGCTGCAGTGCTGCGTGAGAGGAACCTTTGGGAAAGTGCTTTTGCACAGTGTTCTTCTGAGGAAACTGCTGTTAACAGACGCTTGAATCTGGTTGCAGATACCCTTATGGATCTGAAATTGTTTACCAGATTCTTCATAGCCCTTGATTGTAAATTTAGAGTTGTAAAGACACAAGGTTATGACAAAAAACATATAGGCTGTATCTGCCATAGGACAAGAGAAGATAAAAAGAGTGTTTGTGGACAGAAAGAGAATCTTTCCAGTCTGGAATTAAATAAAAAATCCACCAAAATGGATTTTATTATTAATATGATTATATGAATTCAGTGTAAGGGCCAGATGGACAACACATCGACAAATGGGGAGTTTTTAGGTTTCTTTCAAATGGATAAGAGGGGCTGAGTATGAGACATTTAAGGGAGTTTAATGTTTAACTTTTCTGTGTACAGAAAGGCTTGAATATATTACATTCACCACTCTTTGCTTGTGCTGTGTGTTGTTTTAAAACTGATATAAGTAAGGTTTTTTTTACTCATTCAAAGGGACATAATTATTTTTCTATCATCGGCAATAAGACTGTTTGATAGCAAATATATATATATATATATATATATTACTTAATGTGAGGATTAACATTGGGTAGACATAGCATTTATTTTTATTACAAGAAGAGGATGGGTTTTAAAAGATTCCAAGAAAAAGCCCTAAGTGATGAGGTACATTTGTTGAAACCTACAGGAAATCTACAACCTGGTCTTAAATCTGCTAAAACCACCGGAACTCAGACCTGCTATTGTGAAAGGTCCAAAAATAAAAGAGGACATTCCAATTTTTTAGGCGTCTAAAAATAGTTTTAAAAAGACTTGGTGTTTGGTGCCAGTCTGAAATAGTTAGTTACTTGCATTCCTTAAAAGTTGAGGCAAGTAAGAGCAGTCATCCTTCCTCTTTGCGGCATCAAGGAGCTGTGGAAAATCTGATGACGTTATGGTTCAGTTGGCTGATTTCCCAGTTTGTCACATAATTAGGTGATGTCATTTTACAGGAACATTGGAGGTCATGAAAAGTTTAGCAGACTTGGATAAAACGAATTACAGAACTTTTTGAAGGACAATAAACACACATGCTTTATGATAAAATTATTACTATTAAAACACAGAACTCGGCTTTATGATTAGTTTCTTTACCGTGCAGCGGAAACATTTACACAAATATGACCATTATTGGAATGTTCAGGAAACCCTTCTTGCACCCTCACCACAAATAAAAAGCTTTTCTTTTTCCCACAACAACCACATTTCTGTTCAAATATGTTCACAAAGACCTGTCTTATTGTTTAGCACAGGGCGGCTCGTCAGTGGATTGGGTTTGTGTTCCAACCAGTGTCAAATAGAACATTTCCATTGAAAAACAAACAGTATAAACAAACATAGAAAGCTGAAGAGGGAACGTGGCTCAGTTTACACAGGATAAAGGCCTGATCATAGTTGATATCCTGAAGACATGTATGGAAATGGAAATGAGAACTTGTGTCTAGATATGAGAGACGAGCATTCAAGATCGAATTAGAATATCATAGACCAAGATTCCTTGCAAGAAGAATTTTAAAAGGTCACCCAAGTTTCAAAAGAAAGTATTGCCAAGGAATTATTCTATTCTTTTACTTGGAGTTCTTTTTTTCTTTTGTCATTTTCAACTGGGTGCAGATTAAGTAGATCAGGTTTCCCTTCATAACTAGTCGTGATAGGGTGACATTGTTAGATCTTAATACAGTAACAGGAATCTTGACCTGTTCTGCCAACCACTGTGTAGATGAAATATAATGTTCCAAGAGAAGAAAAAGGATACCACATGGGAAGATTACATTTTAACCTATGTACATAATGTTTTCTCCACGATATTTGTCTTTATGTATATGTTGTGTCATTTTTCAGGCAAGTCCCTGGGCTGAAGCAGAAAATAGCTGGGAAATCTTTACCCACTGAGAAGTTTGCCATCAGGAAGGCCCGCCGCTACTTTGCAGAAAAGCCTGTTCCTCTTCCTGCTGCTCCGCTGGTCAGTACTAAGTCATGCAACACATGGTCATTTGGGCAGCTTTAGCATTACTGAAAGTAAGAACTCCCAAGCTGTTGTGTGTAACAAGTTCAAATAATAACAATCATGAAATGGTGATAAGTGCATAAGCATTACCCAGCAGTATAATCTTTAGCCCCACCATTAACCATGCTGGAGCGTGAATATTGACAGTGTCGGCTCCTCTTATAAACATGGCAGTTATGATGGTCTAAACTATTTTCCACAAAGTCGCCAGGCAGATCCACAAAGGCGGCAACCATCCTCTGAAACATCCTCTAACTTCAATGCAATGGTCAGAGGTGGAGTCATCATTCCTGTGGCTACTGACATTGTGAACCTACATAGACATGCAGGGAAATTTGCTGGATTTAGCTGTAATGATTCTGTTTAGACAGTCATGCTTTGTGGGAGTTGGCAGAGCAAAAATGCTTTAGGAGGGACTTTAGTTAAAGGGAGATCCCTCGAGAGATCTCAAAAGTATGCTAGAGAAAAAGTACCTCTATCTTGTAAATGATCATTTCTGGTAAACTGGGACTGTCTGTTTGTGTTGTCTAGGAGATGATGTACATCTGGAATGGCTATACAGTCATCGGCAAACACAAAGACCTGACGGAGGCTATGCTGAAAACTCTGGACGAGGCGCAGGCTAAACTTGAAAGCACTCAGAGTATGTGTAACCACAGAAATCAAGTCTTTTTTTAAACAGATTAATGCCCATTCTAAATCTGTCTGACTATATAACAAATGTGTTAAACTCCTGTCCTTGAGAGCCACTGTCCTGCAGGTTTTAGGCTTTTCCCTGCTTCAACAAACCTGACTCGCGACTGTGCACCATTAGCAGATTTATGCATGGCTTAAAAACCTTTTAAATAAATCTATTTAATCAGGATCAGGTATGCTGAGGCAGGGAGACACAAAAACCTGCAGGGCAGCAACCCCAGTCGAGGACCGGAGTTTGACACCCCTAAATTATAGAAATGAATTAGATCTGACTGTTTGTCGCTATGTTTTTCAGAGACGGAGTTCTCAATAGATGATCAGTGTTTGATGAGCCTCCTGAAAGGGCTTTGTCTTAAACACCTTGGACACCACGAGGAGGCTGAACACTACTTTACGCTTGTCCTCTGCAAGTAAGCTCACTCGGCCCATCACATTCATTAAGAAATAACAGTTTCATAAAGGCTTTTTTCTTCTGTTTGCACAACCAACAAGACTGATTTATTGAATCATGAATTTTCTCACAATGACTGTTCATTCTTAAAAACAAGAAATGAAACGTATAACGGAACTCCATCCACCTTGGTGTCTGGTTGTTTTTTGCAGTGAGACTCAGATCAAATACGACCACTACTTAGTTCCTAATGCTCTTCTGGAGCACGGCCTGCTGTGTCTCGAGCAAGGGAGAAGAGATGAAGCCATTAAACTCCTAGAAGGAGCAAAGTAAGTCTTTCAACCAATAATGTTATATAAAATGAATCAATATTAACAGTAAAGTCTTTCCAATGATGAATTACACACTGCTTGTTGCATTTTAATTTAAAGGTTTTCCATGCATAATTGACTTATAATGCTTGATCAAATGTTATGATTCTCAATATTTACACATTAAGACATGATTTTATATCTAAATATCTAGGATGGGACTGTAAATGTCTCCTCTCACTCTTTTTCAGGAACAATTACAAAAACTACTCAATGGAATCAAGAACGCACTTCCGTATACAAGCTGCTTTGCACAAGGCCAAGGGAACCGGGGAGAATGGCATCCATGTGCCCTCCAGCCCATAACAGACAGCAGAAGGCACACCAGGGCTGGAAAAAAGCGTTGTTGCTTCAGCCCTACCATGCAACCTTCAATCGCTCGAGCCAAGCGGGTCATTTTTCCTTTCATCAAGGGCTTTGGGGAAGAGGGGGTTTAGTTTTCCTAACGTGTGCCAGATATTAAGGAGAGACAGTGAACTTTTCTTTAACGTGTCATTTGCAATAGAAATTAGTTTTTAAAAAATTACCTCCAAAAATTTTCTTTGTCTTTAACTGGGCACCTATAAGGGTTTCCTCGCAGATGAAAACAAGTTTAGATTTGTGTGATATTAGCAGTGGATTGTTCCCAGTATCAACCCTGACAAGAAATCAGCCTGGTGCAGGGTACTAGGGCTGAACCAGGGAGTTCCGACCAGCCTCCCCCTCCTATGACAGAAGCTGCAAAACGTCTCGTAGCAGTACTATTTAACCAGCCTACTTCACAGCTATCCCACATTTTGTTTTATGTAAATATGAGATTATGAGTTTTTAATTTGTCTCCAAATATGCATCAAAACACGTTCCTAAACTTAGTTTATGAGGATTATGAGATGATTATATAATATGTTGGTGATCAAATCCAGCTTGACCCGAAGTGATATATCACAAATATGTCAGATTATTCTATTTAAGCTACACAAGCTTTGTTTCAACTGAGTCATTCAGAGGACATGATCAGTTCTAAAACATTGTCTTGCTACAATTACATTTTGTGGCCTCTTGCTGAGAGCTTTTTGAGTTACTCAGACATTATAAATGAGTAAAAAAGAAAAAAACACTAACAAAAAGCTTGTAAGACCTGCATTTATTTACATTTATATACTGTAAATGGCAATTTTTACACAAATTGTCCCATTTTGAGAGGACAGCTGAATTTGTCTTTTAGAAAGGCAGACTCCCTCCTTTTCTCCTGCTGGTGTGTGGGACAGGGTCCAGCAGTACTTGAGCTTGAACAAACAGGCCATTCAAAGCAAACAGCAAAGGACTGCATGCTTGTCCGCCTGTTGCATTTTTAGTAGGGTAAGAAACACTGAATCACCACAACCTCGACAGTGCTCAGCTCTGAGTGTCGTCTCTAAACATCCTCTGCTACTCTAGTTTCTGCACCATTTTCCTAGAAGCACCCATAGAGGGACTCTCAGCACATCCTGTTTCACATAATCTGCATATGAACAAATATAACACCTATTTCATGGTTACAAAGGTTGTGTACTTGCATTAAGGGTTGAAAAATGAATATTGAGATGGTGTCTTGAATACGACCACCACTGATTTGTTGGTTACTGAGTTAGTTTGGTATTCAGTTTAATGACTTGACTAAGTTAAAGGTTCTCTTTAATAGTGGAAGAAATTTACTGCTGTTGCTCTTTTGTCTTCAGTATCTCTATACATTTACTGCTGTTGCTGTTCTATCTTCAATGTCTCTACAGAATATTGCAAAGCAATATTACCTTTAACTTGCTAATGAGTAGTTATACTTATTTTCTTCTTTTTGTGTCTCCTTTTACACAGCTGTAAGACCTTGTAACCAAAATACTGTGGTGTTTACACAATCTGTAAAATATACTGGGCATGGCTACCCACTGTGCAGAATGACATTCCTGTACATGTTTCTGTTGTAATTTATGATTGAACTATGATAAAGAGCAAAACATCCCATCTTGTGCTGTCCCGACTTTTCCTATCATTTTACCACTGCATATTTTCAAAACAGTTTGCATGCTGCAAGTAGTATTGTTCAGAGAAAATGAAGGAAATATTATCTTGCAGCTTTTGCTTTAAATTCGTTTCTTGTATGTTTCTCCACTGAACAAGGTCACATTTTTTCGTCATTGTGGGAAAACCAGGTGTGAAATTACAACATGAATCATCACACAAGTGTTGGACAAAAAAATATACATATTAAACAAATTTACGCAGAAAGAAAACGTTTTAAATTTCTGTTTTACGCGATAACTCAACGGCGCCCTTTGGAGACTATCGCACATGGCGTCGAATTTGCTACTATCTCGAATAATATTCTGGTTTAAGATGTGTTTATGTTTTCGTCAAAGGGCAACGTGACCACCCATATTATTGGCTGTCAACAAGAGCATCACGACTGTAAGCGAGTGCCCATTGGTTCGTTGCTTCAAGGGGCGGGGCTAAAGGTTGCTACATCACTACCTATTGTCGCTGTTCAGCAGATGCCTTTAAATTGGAAAGTCCCTGGTAGATAGGCACCAGGACGGCTAGCCGTGGCTAGCTTTTAGACTAGACACACACATTTCTTTTCTTTTTCGTTGCCTCCGCAGATATAACGACCTGAACGGCTGTCTGAGCCGTAGTTTTGATGCCAACTGTGTAGATGCTCCCCTCCTACTAGCTGCTGTTAGCAGGCTAGCCTTTTGTGTGGCTAGCTGCTAGCTGAGAGATGTTTTGTTGTTGTTGAACAGGGCAGCTCTCCCACCGTCTGGGAGAGGAGATTCGTCTGCTGCGAATGGAAAAACGCCCTCTCGACGCTTTCCCATCCATCAGCATCTCCAGTCACCGTGCGCCGTGACATTCTTCATTTGTAACGGGACACCGATAGCGAGGGGAGCTTGATTGAAGAGGTGGGAGATGGGAAACTGCCTCAAATCTCCGACCTCGGATGATATTTCTCTGCTACATGAATCCCAGTCGGACCGAGCCAGCTACGGAGACGGGGCTGACCCCGACCACGAGCCGCCGCCCCCCTATCAGGTAACTCCCCCAACCGTTCCGAACAGGCATACCCTGTCTATATCGTCTTATTGGAGTTCATGAATGTTGTGCTGTGTGCGCCGTTGACTGTGTTTTGGTTAGCCAGTCCCGCCGTTGCTTAACGGCGCGTGAGCCCGCACCAGACCCCCAGCAGCCCTGAGCCGGAGCCCGGCCCAACCCAGCGACCTCAGCCCCGCACGCCATTCAAACTAATCCGCTTTGTTATATCCCAAGGTCCTGTCTGGGAGTATTTCCCTTAAAGTCATACTCTATTTCCCCGATAACCACTTCGTGTAAACTCCCCGTGGTGTCGGTGGACACAAAGGGGAGATGACAGCAGCCACGCGCACATCTGGAACAGGCTTAGCCTGAAGCAAACCTAAAAAAAATGATTTAAAAAAAGAGTTTAGGCCTCTTTTTTTGGGGAAAAAATGACTTTCTCTATCAGCTCATCCGGCTCCGCTCAGCAACTTTGTTTGTTTGTGCGCTCTGCTTGTTTCCTGAGTTAGATCATCTTCAAATGTAGGCCATGTTGTAACTGTAAATATGATGCCTGGTGTCAACCATGTAATCTGTGCTTTTGGGTCTTGTGAGGCAGCTGGTATTTGTTATTTAAGTCATTGGCAGAGAGTTGGTCTGTTTCTGGGTCAAGCCAAGTCTTATCTGTGGGTTTAAGATAAGTATTGTTGAAGCTGGAGACTGTCAGCCCAGTCCATCATAAGCTCCCAGTGGGGAAAGCATCACCAGTCGGTCATTTACAGTCAAGGTAAGTCTACAAAGCATGGACACCACTGTTTATTATGATAAGCATGAAGGGGAAAGAAGTTGGACGTCACCTGTCATTATGCAACACTCAAAAACAAATGTTATGCCAGGGCTAAAAGTTTCTCAAGAGGTTTTGGCATTGCCATGAGCTTATTGATTGATCAGTTTTTTTTTCTTCATTAAACTGAATTTAGCACGGGTTTCGATCCCTAGTTATCTCTGTTGAAAGACGTTCACTGTCAATCCGACCCATCAAAGTTGTGTTGTAACAACCGGCTGATTCATCCGGTCCCCTACAGGTGTCTCTCCTTTCCAAACCCTTCTCCAGATCAGTCGCTCCTACAAGTCATCAGGTACATCAGAACAAATCAGCGTGTACACACAAGACATCTGTGTATACACTAATAACATTGAGGCATTGTTGACATATAGATAGAACAGCACTTTGTTGATAAGTGTTGGTGATTGCATTTGGACAGGCCATGTTTAGGTCTTTTTACGCTCTTTATTTAAACCGTTCTTTACAACTCAGCTAACAGAGATATGATACAAATAATGGCAAAGTAAAGTCCTGTATTTCAACTTCTTCCAGTTTTTTACGACACATAACAACCCTTTGTCTGGTTTAAAATAAACTTTTTTTCTTCCCTTTCTCTCGTAATAATCTATCAGGGAGTCTTAGTGATCCATGTTTTAATAGGACTTGCTCTTGTAGGGCTGCCCCAGTGCAAAGATGTCATGCGTTGTGTGTGTAATTAGGTCAACCAGCTGTGGTTACAGAGGACCGTTACCATGGAGGGGCTGAGACCGTGGTGTTGACAGTGTGTGTGCACTTTGGTTTATGCAATGCGTTTATGCTGACAAAGTTTGATAAGAGGGTTAACTAACTGGTTAAAGCCTACTTATAGGAAAAACAGCCTCTTTCTGCCCCTTAACAATCTCAAAGCCTGCCTGAGAACACGGCACAGGTTTTATTGGGCTCGGTTTTCCTATTAGACGCTGAAAAGCTGCTGCGTGCGCTGTGAGGGACTGGTTTCTGTGCTGGGGCCTGTTTGAAATGGCATTAGGAGCGTTCAGTAAAAGCTGCTGCATGCTGGCTGCAGCTCAGTCTCCAACTGGGGGGGGGGGACATTTGCCAGCCGTGGTGCAAAACCTGATGCTGGCAGTGGGCATCAGTGGAACTCTAAACAAAGATAACCTGAGCTCTGCTGTGTTGGCTGGGTCTCCTCTGGCCCGTGGAGCCAGTGTTGGCTGGATCTTTTCACTGATGAAATTAAAATGTCATATCTCTTAGCTTGCTGTGGAGTAAAAAGCATTTTCAAGCACTCAAAATCTTTAGCCCCATAGTAGGTCTAAATATAAGGTAATGAAGCAGAAGCCTCGTTTATTTTTTAAAGACTTTTAAAAAACAGATCATGTTTTGACTTGGTCAAGATTTTCCTAGATTAATTAATAATAGAGCATTGCTTAGATGAATTAGTATTAATGTGTAGTTCTGTATTTTGTCTGTGTATTGGGAGTTTAACCACTTCCTCTTTTGGGTGCTTAATAAATTAGGGGCTGAAATGTACAGATGTACCAGAGGCTGATGGCAACTTTAAGTCATTAAAGGCAGATCCAGATGTGGATGTTCTCGGTGTCTGACAATAAAACAATAGTTTGATAGCTGGTTGTTCTTTTTTTAATGGCATTCTTTATTATCTTTGCCTGAAGGGTTAAATCCTAGTGGTATATTTCCACTGTAAAAACATTTTCTTTTTCACATGATTCAGACACACTTTGCACTGGATGCGAGTGGATGGATGTTACACAGCAGGTGGATTCTATCAGTTGTCTGAGCAATCTGTTCTGGTTCGTTTGTCGTTTCATGTCCCTCAAAACGAGCTTTGTCGTATCAACTGGGAAGTGAACAAACCAATGTGTCGGTTTCCTGTGACGCAGAGATGGGCAGAGAAGAGAGATTCTCATTAAACGTGTCGTGTTTGGAACACTATTTATCCGCTGGTTGAAGCCTTTATAGGTGTGACTGTGATAAGGTGGACCTTCTCTCTCTTTCCTGCTGTTAACATTGAAGTGGACATGAGCTACAGAGGGTTTGAAAAGACACAGACCATATCAAGCAGGTGCTAGTCAGAGACCATTTCCAATGCAAAGGCTCAGCATCTTGCAGTTTGCAGATGCTCAGCTGGGTGATTTTGAAGGCTGGACTTCGGGCTGTCAGGACCAGAGGGACGGCTGACAGCAGCTCTTTTTAAGCCCAGACGCTCTGACCAGTGGAGGAGGAGGAGGAAATGGTTTGGCTGTAATTAGCTGTCAGAGCTGAGGTGAGAGCGGGAGGAGGGCGTCTGAAGAGTTGTGGCAGCAGTTTTAGAATAAGCTGAAACCCGCATGGCATCACAGGGTGTTTGAAGAATTCTTAGAAATGAAATACAAGATAAATCAATGAAGACATGAGGGATAGGCGCAGGCAGTCAGAGATGAAACACAGAGCGACTTCAGTTTCTATTCACGCGACTGGAGTATTGATTAGATTTCTCTTCCGGGTGGTGAAGTCACCTTGTTGATATGGTCTCCGGCCTTTGGCCTTATAAGGCAATCCCCTCAGGAAGCCCCTGGTCACACGTTACCCTCTGCACTGTCCCAATATGGCAACAAAAAGCTCTGCGAGAGGAAGGCAACGCCGACAAACAAGTCATTGTGCTGCGGGTCTGTGGTGCGGTCTGCCGGCGGGCGTGTGACACACACACACACACACACACACACACACACACGGTTTGGAGCCCTGGCTGCTGATCAGAAATACCACGGTGGATCGATAACCACGCTCGCAGATAACCGTCCACAACGTGTGGCACCGGCCTGATTGGCTCAGGCTGCTCTGACTTTAGCAGAAACATTTAAATGGATAAAAATGTGGGCATTTACTTCACAGCTTCTCCTTTTTGTGCGTCCGAGGTAAAGCTGGCCCGTCTTCCCAACCTGCTAAAGTAGTGTGATGCACACTTAACAGTGTCGTCACTCCCTCAGCTTATCCTGTTACCTCATCAGCCAACATATCCTGTGTTGTTAGTGTCTTTTCTTCCTGCTGCTATTGTCCTTGTAGCCCATGGAAATGCGGGTTTGTGTAGTGCGAAGATGCTGTCGGATGGTCTCTTTTTATTTAGTGCCTCTGTGCTCCTATCCGGAGAGCTTTAAAGTCTGCAAACGCCTCACATTTCAGGTGTTGCCTCCCCTTAAATCTGCTCTGTCAACTATTAGATCGCACAAAAGCATTTTGGAACTGTGAAGGTTTGAGGAGATCCGGATCCGTCTGGTATTTATTTATTTGGAGGGTTCACTGTTGTTTCAGCCTGTGCCTAAAACCGTTATTATGCCTGAAAACTCTGCCTGCAGCCCTTCAGCACACAGACGTGAGGCTGTAGTTGCTCTGGTATGTCAGCATCATGTTGGCACAGCTGAAAGCTTTCAATAGCAGCCCGGCCATTTCACTTTAACAGCCTCAGCTGTTAAGGAAACGCTGACTCACGGGTTCAGTAGCTGCAGCACTTAGAGGCCAACTGCTGGCTCACAGATTTCTCTGTTTTGTCTCTTGAAAAGTTTTCAGCCTGACAAAATGCCCTTTTCTAATAACTATGTTAAATGAGGTTAAATAAAACCAACTATTAGCCCAAAGCTAAACTAGTTTCCTAGTTAAATCTGTAAGTTTGGCCATATGGTTTCCAACTTATCTGACTTAATTTCTGAATTTGAGCAAATGCGACCTCAAACGATCTTTTGTTTGTGTGTTTCTACCCAATGAAGTGTTTCTACTCATCATTCAGTATTGAATAAAAGAAGGAAGTTGACAAAGCTCGTTGATTTATGCGCCCATGTTTGCAAACGGATAAAAAATGGCGAGTAATGGTCCAGATAGTTACTGTGGATAAGCTCGGCCTGCTGCTAAAGCCTCTTTGCCGCCCTGCTTCCTTCACATGTTGCATGCTCTGTGGCTAAAGGTCAGGGGCTGGACGTCCGGCGGGTAACGGAGGAGCTAAAGCAGACTTAGCCTAATCTCGGCCCTGCCTGCCGGCTCCGTGGGGCTGCATGACCTGCAGGTCTGGTGCAGGAGAGAAAAAGCCCGTCTGCGGGCTGAGGCGCTGGTTCGGGGAGGAAGAACAGGAAGCTGTGCACATACCGCAAGTGACTGCAGCGAGTGTGCACGAGTGTGTGAGGGAAACGGGAAAAAGACGATGAACAGACTGCAGAGACCAGACGGCGAAGTTAATGGAAAGTCGTTTACAGTGTGATAAAAGGGGCCTCCAGCCAAGGATTAGCTCATAGAGCAGATTCACTCACTGTCATCTCTTGGAAAGCTTTAATTTCCACCAGCACGTACTGCACTCTCTGTATGTAGGCCTTAATGGTCCTACTATTTCAAAATCCCAAGTAAAATCCTGTCTTTTGGCCCTGGAAGCAGCTGGTACGTCTGCAGGTGCTTCAGGGCTATTCAGCATCTTTCTGTGTTTTTGTATTGTGAAGATCATTACTAGCAATCATTTGAACATTTAATTTTAAAACAAGAAGTATACGTTCAAATTTCTCAAGTTATTTCTATTTTCCATTACTTCCAAGTGTTACAAAGGGATGCACAGCAAAGGTCCAATTCTTAATGTTTATTTTAATTTAAGTATATAAAGTATATAAATAACAATTATTTATATAGTTCCAGCAAATTGTTAAACTCTTATAAACACGGTAAGCGCACTCATCTGAATTGTAATTTTTCTTTGCGTTACTCATTTCATCGTTCCAATATAATCAAAGCCACTTTCAGTCTGCTTTCATCTCCTCCTTGTGGTTTTCTATGTGCTAAACCATGGCGACAGGCAAAATGAAAGACTCAGTTTTAGTTGTTCACCAAAGTGCTTCGGTTGCTTTGTAGTTTGAATGACACCAGCATCAAATCCCTCCACTTTTGAAGAATGCAGTCATAAGCTGGTTTAGATCGAGATAAAAAGTTTCTTTTTGTGTCTGTGTGTGTGTGAATATATATTAGAAGTAGGACAGCTCAAACAAGACACGGTTATTTGTTTTGTGGCCAACCAAGACTTCAGACTTTCCTTGGTTTAATGCTAACTCCCAAGTTAATCATTCAGTGTAATCTTAAGACCACTGAGGCCTGCCCTGTGGCTGTCCATTAAAGTGGAAGCCTGGTAGAAATACTCTAGATAGAAAGATCCGGGGTGTGAATATGAGGGTAGTTGCTTTTTCAGTTTTTTGCCTAACTGGCCTGTTGCTAAACCAGACGAAAGCATTTTGAGCTGTACTGGCTGTTGGGACACGCTGTGAGGAAACACTACCACCTACTGCCGACTATGAGCAGAGGACTTACTGGTTTTGATCATCTGTCGGAGATCTTTTTTCCATGGCTGGGGGAGAATACACACTAGGACAAAGAAGCTCTGTTGGGTTGGAAAGGTTTGAGCTGCATTAACCACTTTTGTCGTGATGCTATTTGTTTCAACCTCTTTGTATTGAATTAAATATTTGTCCCCCCTCTCTGTGTGCAGGAACAGATCCCGGTGCCCGTCTACCACCCCACGCCCAGCCAGGCCCGACTGGCCACGCAGCTGACGGAGGAGGAGCAGGTCCGCATCGCCCAGCGCATCGGGCTGATTCAGCACCTCCCCAAAGGCGTGTACGACCCGGGGCGGGACGGCTCCGAGAAGAAGATCAGAGAGTGAGTACTGGGCCGAGGAACTTAGAACGGGGACCGGGAAAGCCACAAAAACGGCCTTTTAGTTAGAGCCGAAAGGAGCAGGGGCTAAAACAAACAGTTTCTAGCTGAGGGTGGAGCAAGGAGTTGCTTTTAAGTCGACGATGAAAGGAAATCGAGGAGAGAAAATAGGCTTTAGAACTTTGCCGACGTATTCATGTGGACTAGCTGTTTGAGGGAGGAATGAGAACAGTCTCCACAAAGTCTTCATTAGGATGCATACGATGCTTTAATGTAGCACTGTGTTTGTGCCTCATTTCTGATCAGCAACAGAAATAATTCTGAACACATAAAAATGTATTTTTGGCTCTTTCCCGTCTTCACGAAGACCACAACGATGTCATTTCCTCTCTCCTTCAACCTTCAGCTCATTTCCCTCACTCAACGTGCAATAGGGTTTAAATTTGTGCCACAATTCCAACCGCTCACAGTCTCCAGGGAAGTAAAGCTGGCTGCTGGCTCTGGCTCTGTGCTGGGCTAACCCTGTATAAGCTAACCCTGTATAAGCTTACCCTGGATAAGCTAACCCTGTATAAGCTAACCCTGGATAAGATAACCCTGTATAAGCTAACCCTGGATAAGCTTACCCTGGATAAGCTAACCCTGGATAAGCTAACCCTGGATAAGCTAACCCTGGATAAGCTAACCCTGGATAAGCTAACCCTGTATAAGCTAACCCTGTATAAGCTAACCCTGGATAAGCTAACCCTGGATAAGCTAACCCTGTAAACGCAGCCAGCTGAGGCTTCTGCTCCGGCTTTACTCCTCTGGAGGTGCTGTCTGTGTGTGTGTGTGTGTGTCTGTCTGTGTGTGTGTCTGTGTGTGTGTGTGTGTGACGTCCAGGTGCTCAGGCTCTGTGTTGGCCCCCGCAGGTGCGTGATCTGCATGATGGACTTTGTTTACGGGGACCCCATCCGGTTCCTGCCCTGCATGCACATCTACCACATGGACTGCATAGACGACTGGCTGATGCGCTCCTTCACCTGCCCCTCCTGCATGGAGCCCGTGGACGCCGCGCTGCTCTCCTCCTACGAGACCAACTGACAAACCCGCTGACCACTCGAGATGCACACCGCGCAGAACCCGAGCAGAACCCGAGCAGAACCGGCACCCTGGATCAGTAAAGCGGGGATCTGAGGTGGAGATGACGTAAAGCTGCTGTGACTCATCCATGTGTGCACTAACAGATTTGCCTGGGTGTGACGCAGAGTGTTTTTCTGAACAAAAACCCTCGGCTGGCCTGCTGGACAGGACCTCATCTGAGAGGAATGTAGAGAAACCGGGGATTGTGGGAAGGACGAGGAAGACGATGCTGGTACAGGCGAAGGAGTCGGTGTGGAAGGGAAAGTCGGGGCGGGTGTGGGCTAACTCCTATTATTAACACACCGCTTTTCAATCTACTTTAAATAGTTCACTCAAACACACACACACAACCGTACACATTTCCCTTACTTCTTTCCCAACAATGGAAATAAGTGAGAGGGACCAGGAGGAGCATGGCCTCCATCTCTGGCTCTCTCTGGGCTTCTCCACCACTGGAACCCACAGACAGATCAGAAAACTGAGTCCTTCAGGAGTCACATTTGCTGCAAAAACCTGAAGCAGACCCGAGCACCACAGATGGACGTCGTCAGAATGTCTCCATCTGCCCACTGACCACAGGCGTCCTCAGATTTGCCTCCCTGTGCATACATCTCAGACAAACACTTCTTGATGGATACTGTCCTCTGACTTCATTAGATCTCTTTCTTTCTTTTTTTTTTTTTGTCAGTTCACATAAAGGGCTCTGTTGAACCAGTGTTTACCGCCAACAAGACTAAAGGAAACCAGAGTGCTGGTTTAGTGTTGCTTTTTAGAATCTGCCCTCTCATGATTTCTTCCTGTGAGTGAGACCAAAGCACAAGTTGACCAGTTGGAAAAAAATCCCTGGTGTGTGACAGTTGCACTACTCGATCATACTTGTGTCAAGAGGGTCACATGTCCATGTGAAGTCTTAATTCCCCCCCTGTTGGCATTGGTGTGTGTTGTTTTGTACAGGAGACTCAAACTGACGTCGTTCTGAGGTTCTCTCCCCCTTTTTCCTTTTATAGTTTAACACACAGACTGTCCACGTTGATCCTGTATGCATATAGAAAAGCGCCTCTACAAGCATCCAGCCGAACCAATGGCACAGTGGTGACCGAGAAGAACATTCTACCGGATGTGGAACATTTCTGACCCTTTTCAGATGTCCAGTCCCTCCAGGAGCTGGACTGAATGCAGCAGGATTCCCGGGATCTTAAAGACGTTCCACCTCTGGCCCGAAAGGCCTCTTCAGTTCCACACTGCATGCTGGGAATCGCCCCAGTCTCACACCGCAGCTCCTGGCCGGTCACTGTCTGTCCAGCTGAACGGTTCTGGGAGAGGCCGGTTCCTCCTCCTGTGCGTAACCCCGTGTGGACACCGTGGAGCCTGTGAGTGAAACTAGTCCCCTTTGTGCAGTTAGACAATCAACAGGTGAAAGTGACTCACAAAAACAGATGGTCAGTGACACGTGACTGTAATGCCTCTGATCTCTGACCCCACACACACACACACACACACTAAAGCCAAAAAACAAGTTGCTTAGAGCTGTCTTTGGGATGAGAGGTAGAACATTTCCCAGACCCAAAAAGAGGTCTGGTGTGCTAGGGATTCTGACTTCTGGTTCTTGGTTTCCATAATAAAATGCCTCCGTTTTGATAGTCTTGTTGCCACATTTAAAAATTCCTATCGGCCCCCCCCCCCCCAGTTTACCACTAAAGCACAAATAGCCCAGTTCCATTCTCGGTGAGGGAGGATACAGCATGAAATGATTCAACCCCCCCCCCCCCCCACCCTTAAATTGTGGGTATGATTGCCTTCCGTCTGAAGACCTGCCTTTAGTGTGTGTGTGTGTGTGTTGAAGGCTTTATGGCCCCTGTGTGTGTGTTTAGAGGCGGGTGGTTGGACAGGTGTGCGGCCGCTAGCAGCTCCACTTAACTGGACGTCTTTATGTTGCTCACTGTCCTCCATCAGGACCCCCACCCCCCCGACGAGCAGATGAAGTGTGTAACGGTGTGGCTCTGAACGCGTTCCACTCTCCACCTACACCCTCCTCTGCTCTTTCTGAACCGATTAAGGCCAAAATGTTCAGATAAAGAGTTAAACCTGTGTGTGTGTGTGTGTGTGTGTGTGTGTGTGTGTGTAGTTCTGCCTCACAAACGGAGTCGGTCTACTTGTCCCGGATTCACTGCATAATGGCAAAAAAGAAACTAAACCCTCATATGTCCGGAAATGACACACAGGCTTTTCTTTTCCCTCTTCTTTCTGGTTAAAAACCCACTCACAGGGCTCTGGCTCCACAGAGAGCGTTTTATTTCCAGTGACCTGGTCTCACCGGAGTGCTGAGTCAGAGGTTGTGTTCTTCTAAAGGAGCGATCAGTAGAGTTTCTCTGGCGTGAAGGGGGCATGTGTGTTGTGTGTTGGTTTATGGATGCTTGTGTAACCTTTCCTTGTTTGTAAGCATAATTATACATATGCTGTGTACTAAAGGCGTATAATAAACAGACATTGCAAAGGAGCACAGAATTCAGGGGTGTGTGATTTATTTCCTGTGTGAACAGTGAAAAGAGGAAGCCGTTGCTTCATTTCGCACGCAACAAGTGACCGTTCTTTTCACCACTGAAATTGAAAAACTGTTTTTTCTCTTCCCTCAGCTGCTAATTAGTCAGGAGAGGTGATCTGTTTTAACATGTAAAAATCAGTCCTGCGTCTGCTTCAGAGATGCAACAACAATTTACTCATTTTTTATTTATTTTCCCTTCAAGATACAAGGTCAAATGATATGTATATATATATATATATATCTTTATTTTTGTAGGCAGAGGCCCTAAACCCTGGAGGAGGTGGAAAATGAAAAATAAAATGTAGTCATCTCAGACTATCTTTCTTAGCATTACTCTGAAAGTATCACTGCTTTTCCTCTGTGCTTAAGTACTCATATTAAGGAGTGTAAAATGTGTTTCTAATACATTGAAATGATTCTAATGGTTTATATAGATTGGTTTGTGATAATAGGGACATTCTTCTGTGGATCAAAAAGGAAGTGACTGTTATAATAGATATTTTCTTCCTGTTCTGTCAGCTGGGAATAACTGATGTATGAATCAGTCATGAAATCATGGATTTAATCACCAGTTTATACAGAGAATTACACCCCCCCCCTACAGTCCACATAAGACTTTACATTGAGTAGTATTGGTCTTTAATTTATTCTGTGGTTTTCACATTCTAAAACAAGCAGCAAAAGAGTAACAATCAATTCATACAATTTTTCTTTTCATCATCAGGGTGACCAGAGCAGACAGGAAACCTTCAAATAATATAAATTGTTTTTACAAACAACAATGATTTAATGTTTCTGTGAATCTGTAAAACACTGCAGTTTTTATTGTAGTGTTAATGTATTTCACATTTAAGTACATCCATCAAGAAAACAATTGGAAATGTCCTTAGTTTCAGTTCAATAATATCACATTGAGACCAAATTCCAATGATTTTGATTCAAAATTCAAATAAAAGGAAAATCAGTCAGTTAAACTGAGCAGCACAAATCTAAATGTTTCTATTCTGCTTTTGAATGACACAATAAGTGGCCCTGCACTGGTCCCACAGTACAATGTTAGCTGATTGCTAATTACTGAGTTGATAGTTTAAATTAACCTTTTTTTTTGCATTCGTTTTCAAAAGCATAAAAATTAAACGTTGAATGTAGAACTATCCCATTTAAGAAGGAACTCTAAAATAATCAAACATGACTGAAAGCATCTCTGAAAGCTGAAATTATTAATAACAATGTGAAGCATTGTATAAATGTTTTAACCCTCCAGTTGTCTTCAGGCCAATTTGAACTTTGGTTTTCCTGCATACATTTGCCTGAACATGGCATAGATGGATTCATACTTTGACATATTAATTATCTAGATCTGTGCTATTGATCCCACCTATAGCAGGCTATCGATCATTCTGAATCCCTGCTGTTTTTCTCAATAAATATAGATATAATTTAACATGTATGAGGTCTATCACCCAGACATTAAACAAATGATTCCAAAGTGTGTTTTGATGTGTTTTATGCCTCATGATTTTTAAAACACTCAAAAAAGAACATCTCTATTTGGCCTGGAGGAGAATTGGACGTATAATAAATGTGAAGCCATGGAGAGTTCAGTATTAGCATTACAGTAGTTGCTGATTTAGTAATGTGTGATAATGTGTGTATTCTTCTTCAGGAATGACTACTGAGCTCACAAATGAGACTGAAACCGAAGCTCAGAAGCCTGACACGGTTTCAGTCAAAAGCTTCAAAACAAACTCCAACCTCTCGTCTTTATCCTCCTCTTCCTTAGTCTGAAAGACAAAGAGATAAAGAGATCATTCGTTTCTGCCACAGAGGTTTTTGTACATGTGGTAAAGTAGGACAGTCTTTAAAAGAATGAGGGGGGAAATGTAACATCACCTAAAGAGACCAGAACCACAAAAATTAAACAGAATTGTGATCCAAATCCTAAAAGAGTGAGGATTATGTTGCTTAGTAACGGGATGGTCCCGTTTCCCGTGTCAGGCCCGACCCGGCCTCCTCCCTCTCCAGCCAATCCCAGCCCCACGATGCCGGGTCACGTGATTCCAGACCTGAGGCCTTCTGCGCCCGAACCCCTCCTATTTCTTTTTTTTTTTCTAATAACGGATAGGTAGCCCATCTTCTTCAGAGAAAATGCCAGCTAACCCAATAACAAACTTCTGAGAAAAGCAAACCTCGGAGCCCACAGAGGCCTCGATAACATCACAACACAAAACGAGGTTCCCTGAGCTGGGAGGGAGCTCAGTGAGATTCTCAATATTTGATCGAGCTTCACTGCTTTTCTTTGCGTGCGTAGCTGGAGTTTGCGCACTTTGCGGTGACGCACACGCAGTCCCAAAACCATCCGCGTCTCCCAACTGTTCAGGCTCCAGAATGCATAATGATTGTGTTATAAACTCTATCTTAAGCATCTTACAATAAAACTGTTTTTTTTTATGATTATTTGGGAGGCCGGGAGGGCGGGGCCCGAGGCCGGGACCAGGATCGTGACGCGTTTTAAACTCCTTTAAGCTGCGTTTGTAGATTCGTTTTCATTAGGATTGCTATCATTTTCATAATTTATACTATTCTAACCGCATACTTTCAGATAAACCCGGACTGAGGACCCTGCTGAACCCTCAGAGCCACACAGGCTGCTCGGTGTGTGTCCGTTCCTCAGGACGCATTTTTATTTAGCCTATTCTATAACAGCACAATAAGCTGCACACACGAGCGTTCATTTGATGTTTTACTGGAAGGAAGAAGGGGAAAACGCGCACACGAACGCGTGCTGGTCTCGGGCACTTCTGGCGCGCGGCCTACGCGCACGGTGAGCTGTTGGGCTCCGACTTTCACTTTCGCTGAGCGCCGCTTCGATTTGAAGGAGGAGAAGCAGGCCGCGGCCTCTGCTCGTGGGGCTGCTTCTGTTAATGCACTGTGCTCAGTTTGTTCAAAAATACAGACGCTTTAAGTTATTAAAAAAACAAGTCAGGACCTTTCTGACTTGGTTTTTGCACAAACTGTTGTTTTTAACTTTGCGCATCGTTAAATAACAACATTTTGATTATTTACAAAAGCGCAAGTGCAGATTTAGATGCGGGGAGAGGAAAAAATGTAATGACATCTGTCTCTTTTTCTTTAAAACGGTTTAATTTGGACTTTTTCCTCTCAGACAGCGTCAACAACATCCCGTTTTTGTTGTTTATTTGCTGCTAAGGCTAAATGAAACTATTATTAACTACTGTTAAATAATAGTAATAGAAATGAATCAAACTGTTTGGGGCTGTACGGACTTCTCGTTTTTGCTTTTTGGGAAGCAGTTTGCAGGTTGACAACACAACACCAGGCCCAGAGCGGAGCCTAAACTCCCACATCTGCCACGAAAAGAACAAAAACACACAAACAAACAGACAAATAAACAAACAAACAAACAAACAAACAAAGGCCAGTTTTTTTCCAGAGGAACGCAGCACTCACCGGACTCCAGATGCTTCTGGAGGTATTCCGCCGCGCGCGCCCTCCCGAAGTCGCGCGCCAGCTGCCGCGCGCTGCGGCCCTGGCCGTTGGCCGCTCCGGGGTGCGCGGTGCGCGCGCCCAGCAGCTTCACCACCTCCAGGTGGCCCTCGCGCGCGGCCAGGTGCAGCGGCAGGTTCCCGTGGGCGTCCGGCAGGTTCACGTCCGCCCCGTGCTCCAGCAGCGCGCGCACGGACTCCGGGAAGCCCTCGCGGGCGGCGTCGTGCGTCGCCGTGAGGCGGAGGACCGGGTCGGGCCGGTTGGGGTCGGCCCCGGCCTCCAGCAGGTCCCGGACCAGCCGGCCGTGGCCCAGCTGCGCCACCTGCGCAAAAGCGGAGCGGAGCGCGTGAAAGGAGCCGGGCCTCGTGACCCCCCCCCCCCCCCCCAGCACCGGGCTGCTGCCCCCCAGCAGCACAAACCCCCACCAAGCCGCCTCATATCGAATTAAGGCCATGAAAATTATGAGGGTAGAAACATGGGCTAACGCGCCGTTTGGCACCGCTCCGCGGGGCAAAAAGGCCCCAAACGTCCCTGTGAGGGTAAAGAAAGAGTCTGATAAAAACACCCTGCTGGGATTTTAAATGTTAACGGAGTATTGTGCAGCTGAGGGGCATCTTTGGCCTTCTGGAGCCGCAACAGAGACGGAAGTTTGGACACTTGGAAATGCGTAAATACGAACAAGTGACATGTAGGCCCGCTTACACTTTTTCATTAGAAATACCGTCGGTGATGATTAGAAAAAGTTTTTAAAAAGTTGTTCGAGCCACAGAAGCATTTGTGGCTCCGTCACCTTAACAGTTTAGAAAAAGTACCAGGAACGCGAAGGATGTAAGAAACATTGTGGGTTGATCTGAGTTTCACTTTGCTTGAAAAATAATATCAAAAGTGTTTTATGAACGGGCAGGTTCCGATGGAGCTCAGCAAGCGTAAATCCCATTCCAGCCCCCCCCCCCCCTCTCTGCTGGACTGGTAATAACTCATGTTGGAAACAAAACGCTTTTTGTTCCACTACAAGATAAATTAAGATGTGTTTTTCTGCATTTTAACACAAACAGGAACTGCAGTGCATCTTCTTTTCTACAGCATTTAGCAGTCTTTTACTTTTGGATTTTATTGTGTGTGGCCCTACAGACCTTAGATATAGTCTTAATTATTCAGAATAAATAAAAAATCCCCCACATGTTTTAATCCCACATATACATTCAGGCTCTGGCCTGTAATTCTACCCTGCGCACAACTTCCTCATCAAAGCTCCTTTGTTCTAGAAAACCTTTACCTACTTAAAAAAAAGCAAATTCATTTGTTGCATGCACTTAATTTTCTTTATCACAATTATAACGTTTTTCTTCTTAATTGTATCCTTAAAATGTAAATGTATCATCTATTTTTACTCAAGATATGAGCTATAAGGTAGCTAAAGAAAGAAAAACATATAGTTTTTCATATTGACATAAAGAATTTCTGTATATTCATATGCAAAAAATATATAAATAACTAAAAACAGCAATCTAAAAAAGAGAGACTGTTAAACTATTCTTATTTTGAAGATTCAGACATACAGAGTGCAGACTCATGCTCATAAAGCACAACTGACTGGTTTAAAACACTATATCTCTTGTGTAACCCCTAGATTAATAATTAATGATTGATAATCTCTTAAAAATAACACCGATTCAAATAAAATGCTGAATGTCTTTGTTGATTAGACAAAAGCATTTATAGGCCTGATTATCTTCCTCAAGAATATAGCTTCTGAAAGTAGGAAGTCTTTTATTTAGTGCAGTCTGAAAAGTATAAATAACAGAAATACATTCCGCAAAAATAATTCAGACTTTAATCTGAGGTACTTTTCACCAACCTGAAGAGCAGTTCTTTGGAATTTATTAAGTCCATCCACATTTACTCCTTGTTGCAACATGTCCAGCACCTTGTCTCTTTCTCCCCGGGCTGCGGCCGTGCACAGCTCATCCCACTGAGACCCCGACATTCTGCTAAAAGCAAAGCAAAAGGCCAACACAGACGAGAGAAACACTGAGGACTCGGGCTCGCAGCTCTCTGGAGGAACATGAAGTTTTCAGGATGGTGGAGTTATCTTTATAAAATGGCTGTCTTAAGCACCTCCCTTTCCCTGGCTCAGGCTCCGGCCTTCACCTCTCACCACTGCAAAATGAGTGATTAACCCTTTTTAAATCATTGAAGAAAAATATTCAGGGAAATCAGAAAAATATATCATTTCTCGATTAAAAAGTATCCAAAGAAAAGCTTACATTATCCATTCCTTTCTGTCTCTCTTTCTCTCTTTCTGTCTGTCTTTCTTTCTTTCTTTCTTTCTTAGATCAATACTACATACTTATCGTTATGATATCACAAAAACCCAAAATATTAATTGTAATTACGATTGTTCTTACTGATCAATTTTAAAATATACACAGCTCCTTCCAAAAATATGCAGTTTTCCATGTAACTCTATCAGAAACGAATTTAATGACCTTACAAAAACTACTTAAATCCATTCCAATACTGATCCCATAAAATATGAGAATAAGTTATACTACAAAACCTGAAATATAGCTTCAGCTCAAAGCAAAAGTCCAAATTCAAATGCTTTCGTTTATAATAGCTGTTGATAGGATTTGGGCTGTATCATGACTGCAGTGAAGCTCGCAAATGCTTTCTTTCAGAGATATTGCAGGATCTATTGCTTTTTTCTTTCTTCCTTAGACGAACCGTTGGACATTACCTGCCTATTTTCTACAGGAACGAGATTAGATCGAACATCGAGCTTTGCTTGAGTATCTTTTCAGGCCATATTTGCCCAGACCGATGCAAGTAAGCATACGTGACCTTGAAGCTTAATTTCCCTGCCACACGCGCTTTGTGCTTCTATAATAACATCTGGAATCACAGCTTAACGACAGAGAGCAAAAACACAACCACACCACAAAAACAAACTTACTTTAAATGACAATTGAGCCGTAATAAAAGTCCTCCTCCATGTTGGTGGTTTGAGGTGTCCGCCTTTCTGTTATCGACTGAAAATCTGCATGTAAAAAAAAAAAAAGAAAGAAAAAATATCGTGTCGTTAATTTTATTTAATGACGAACGCGCTCTAACGCCGTTCCAGAGCACGCACGTGACGGCGTTACAGTCGCTTCCCGCTCATTTTCAAAATAGTGTGTTTCTAAACTCGGAAGGTTTCACTGTCACTGCTCACAGATGGAGGGGGGGGTGGGGGGGCGTCGCTCCTGAACCGTCCGGGCTCCGCAGACCGGGTCCGGGTCCCGCAGACCGGGTCCGGGGCCCCGGGGTACAGAGGCCGGGGGCTAACGGGTGGACGCAGTTTGAAATTCTGACCAAAATAAGCCCATAAAGCGTGATTGGATGCGGCAGAAATTGCCGCCGTGACGTGTCTGAGCGAACGCGGCGCGCAGAGAGGGGCTCGCGCAGGTGCGCGCGGCCGGTTCTGCGCCATCGGCGGGTTTGCATCGGGCCAGCCTCCTCTCCAGCTCACAGACAAGCCATCCCTATCGATTATGAAGAAAGAAAGATGCATGTACAGTTCCTGATCACGCGCCTCCGCTTGTTCTGCGTCGTGTCGCCATCTAGTGTCCGTTTCTTCCTCCACTGCACCAGACACACGCAGGTTCGGAGAGCCCAGGGCCCAAAGGTCACAGACACCTCAGAGTTAACCAAAAGCCTCTAAGAGAAGCAAAATAACCACTAAAGAAAATCAGACAAAACATCAATGGCTCCTCACTGAGAAGGAGTCCGCTCAAAAGTGTCTGAAGATGGAAAAGATGTTTCCTAAAAGTCTTTGTCTCTTAACTCCACATCCAAGTTATAGCTCAGGGTTTCAAAGCTAAGTGATTGAAACCTGGTTAGGGTAGTAATGATAAAGAATTGATTGCATGGATCTAAGGGTTGAAAGTATTTGATGGTCCATGGTTTACATAGTAAAGAATAAAGTTTTTTAAAAATTGAATTGGTCTTATTTTACTTCATCTTTACTCGGTAACACTAAAAAGCCCACTAAAAGATAAAAAATAACCAGTTTTTTTTAAAAGGCTTTTTTATTCAGTCAATTAATTAGACTTTTACTTTCTTCTACTCTGTAGAACTTCAGATTTTTCACTCTTTGTACATGTACATTGCTAATAAAATGTGTTGTTGTTATTGTTGGCAGTATGAGCATACAATCTTGGTACCACTTTGCCACCCTTCCAGCTACATACATACTGGTATATCATCACCTGTATTTACATGCATATCTCACTTCTGATTTAGTGAATAGACTACCAAAGACTTCAAGCTTATACAATGCAAAGTAAAATATGTTCCACAAGTCAGTTCAAAGAGCAGCTCCAACATTAACATGCTGCTTAATCACAGACAGATAACTAGGAATATGAAGTAATATCACTTCCAGATTCTATTGATATCTTAATGTATAATGTGTTATGATTGATAAGTACCAACTAACTACTTTTTTTTGGCTGCCAAAATGTAATACATCCTATCCTTGGCATTCTTCTGAGAAACAATTTAAGCACACATTAGATTTAAATACTCAAAAGACTATTTGAATATTATAACATAGATACTTTGTAAGTGATATGCATGGTTTATTATTGTTATTATTGTCATGTATGCCTATGTTTGTTAATCATATGTTGTGATTTATCTTTAGACACCTGAGCCCAGGGGGTGTTATTTATTAATGTATTCATTTTAAAATGTTTCTATAGTGCTATCTGAATGAACAAGAATGGATCAGATCAGAATTTGACCTGAAAAGGAATTTTCCGCTTTCAGCTTTAAGGTACACGCTCTGGTGTTTTACGGCATCCAGGCTCACTTTACGTTAGTCGTAAAGCAATGGGCTAGCTTGGAATAATGATATGAGATAACTGAAGAGTGTAACGTTACTTTACAGAACTTTGTCCGTCTCAAGCTGTTAAACCACGATTTACCTAAATATTTCAAATTAGCCAACATATTACCCGCCACCTCCTCTCAGTGAATAGTTTTCTTTATACCCGGTGTCCTTCTGAGAGGCGAAAACAGCGACGGGAGACTGTGAGGTGGAATTGCATTTAGCCAGTCATTGCCATGGCCTCCGAAAGCGGCGACAGCAGCATGGATAGAGAAATGATCCTGGCCGACTTTCAGGTGTGTCTCCTTTTAATGTCTGGTGTATTTAGTTAACTCAGTGGTGTTCGGTCTGCCTTTTTGAGGGAGCTTTGCCTGCTGTCAACAACCGTACACATCACGTCGTAAACAGCAGAGCGGAGCTCTTCTCTCCGGGGTTAGCACTCCGAGCTAACTAACTGACAGCTCGCTAACTGCTCCAACACAATTATTAACCACAATTATTAACCGTCACCTCGTAACATCTCCCCATAGCAATGCATGCGAACTATTGGATAATGTGTAGTTGTGGTAGCTTTTTAGCTTGTTTGTTTAATTAGCCAACAACTCGACGCAAAGCAGAGCTGCGCCGCTCACAGCTTGTTTACATACGGAAACTATTACGTCTTCACAGACAGTTGTTTTTCTGCCAAAGCTTAAGGGCAATCTTGTCCAAGTTTATGCTTGCTTAGCATCTTGTTTCACAGGTAATGGCATATTAAACACCCAACGCCCCGAAAAACTAAATGTAGACCTAATTTGTGAAGGGCCTCCCTCGAGTTAAAGGTAGCCTTGAGTTATAAATAATCAGACTCGATTTTTGGAAACTGATTTAACCAGAGGTACAGTTCCACAATGATTGAACCAGGGACTGAGAGTATGTTTTTAATATGGTTTGTGTGTGTGTTTAATATATATATACAGTGGGGGAAATAAGTATTTGACCCCTTGCTGATTTTGCAGGTTTGCCCACTTACAAAGAATGCCTTTTTTTCCTCATCAGATGGTATCAATTTTTATAAATTCATATGATGTGATTTTCTGGAATCTTCTTTGGGATTCTGTCTTTCACTGTTAGAATGTACATATGATTAAAGTTGTAGATCGTTGCATTCTTTGTAAGTGGGCAAACCTGCAAAATCAGCAAGGGGTCAAATACTTATTTCCCCCACTGTATATATATGAGATGTGAAAAAATACAGGTATCAGGAAATTACCATAACAAAAACCATAAGGAATAACAACTGATTTAGATTGTACTAACCATGTCACCCCATGGTGTGGTTACATCTATAACAGCTGAGAACACAATCCCTTTTTTAATGACTGTAATCCTGTCTGAGGCCAAAACACATAATGTAGAATCTTTTAAGGAAAATCTTATTATTATCTTATTATTTCTGCATGAGAGATAACACCTATGTATAAGTAGTTACATCAAAGCCTGAGTTTGTTGTCAAATGTGTGACTATACATTTAAAAATGTGGTTTAATTCTCTTCGTTAGAGGGACCAAACCATTAAAGTGGATAACATTGCAGTTTCTGCATCCTGATCTATGTTTCAGTATAATAAAAAAGAATACTATGATAAACATACTTTATATTATTTGTTGTCAAAGCTACATGTATCCTGGCTTTATTTCAGCGTCTAAAACTGCTGCATGCTAAAACTAGTCCATAATTTGGTTTAAATAATCTGAAAGGTCTCTTTATGGGACCTCCTGTTGATTTAAAAAAGTTTGGTTTTGAATGTATTTTCCCATGTAACAGTGGAGCTGACTTCTCTGTGCTGCTCTGGCAGAATCTCATGCAAAGTCCACGTCTTTACTGTAATACTGTGTTTCTGTCTCCTCACAGGCTTGCACAGGAATTGACAACATCGCAGAGGCTATCACTCTGTTAGAACTTAATAACTGGGATTTAGTGGTAAGTTCATTATTTGGGGCTTATACAGCCTTTGTCCATTTAGAATACAAGAGGGCACTTCAAATTCTGTAGTAAACACTGACATTTAGTAAGGGCCAGCTCCTGTCCTCATTTGAGCCTCTTGTTTCTGATAAGCAGGCCTCGTCTCGACAGGGAGGTCACGGTGAGATAATATTTGTCCCAGGAGGTGCGGTACTTTGCCAGAGACACTGTAAAAGATTATGTCCTGTCAAGTTTGCATTAATTCATGATGTCCCTCTTGTATCAAAGTGCATATGGGAAGGGGTCAGTCTATAATTAGATGCACACTGGCAGGAGCTCATAGCAGGCAGAAGCAGGACAGAACCAGGGGGCTGGACCGCTGCAGCTGCAAACCTGATGACTTGCAGTTTTCCTGCAGTTGGTGTGGTTTTTTCCCCCTAATTTTCTTATGGGTGTGTGTGGATGACAGATAAGTGTACGTGTGTGCATTTTAAGGAAGAATAAAAACAAAACAACTGTTGAAATGCTCAGCAGCTTTTCCATCAGGAAATTATTCATTGCAACAGAAAAGGTTCAAATTGCCCATTTACCGATGCCCCTTATCTGTGATAGATTTGATTCCAACAACAGATAGCAATTTATTTAATCACAGAAGTTGCAGGATTTCTGTGAGTGCCGATTCCAGAAAACTTAGGAAGTCATTTTAAAGCAATTCAAACTTTTGTTTCAAGAGCTGAGCTACTGCTTTGCTTTGTTCAAATGTTTGCGTACGCAGGGGCAGTGATGGCAAGTCAGTATGTACAAAACCTGAACCAGCAACTCAAACAACCAGTTTAATCTTTTCAACACATTCCTGTCTGGTTAGAATTCTGGCCAGGGAGGTTTCTGTATGTGTGGGTTGTCTCCAGGCACACCAGCATCCTTCTGCCAATCAAAAACATGCATGTCACGTTAACAGGAGATTCAGTTAACCTGACAGTGTTCGTAAGAGTGTGTGTGTGTGTGTTTCATTCATCTCTGAGTGGCTGTTAAGGACTGCTGACCTGTCCAGTGTGTACCCTGCCTCTTGCCCAATGACAGCTGGGATAGCTTCCAGCCCTCGCTAACGTGACTATACTAGAATGCTATGCTATCTACAACAGTGTACATTTAAAAAACCAAGCTACTATGAATAAATCAGGGAAAAGAAACTAAATGACTATAAAACATATAAATAAATAAACTATACAACTAGAATCAAAAGGGCTGTTCCCAGTGTTATTCAGACATAGAATCTCATTTAGTTCAGCAAAAACCTTAATTGATTTCAGCACATCCTAATGTTTCTGCAACATTTACTCTTCAGTCCAAATAATGGCATCTTAACAGGTGAATGCAGATTGCAGCTGTCGACTCTGCAACATGGTGGCTGCATATATGCATATAATGTGTTCCCTTTCCTTCCACTTCTCTGGCCTGATGAGATATAGTATTGAATAGTACCATGACTTTCTGCTAAAACATTCACATGATGCAACGCACATGGATATGGTTATGGCAGCAAATGCCCCACAACATTAGGTTGTTTGTTTAACATTGTGGAATAGTGAGTGTTCAAGAGACATCCAAACAATTGTCCATGGAAACAAAAGCCCTCTGCACAGCCGACAGAGCTGATGTTTGTCCTTTCAGTTGCATTTGTTCAGCTCACTCCTCCTTGAATATTCCACATTTTGACACAGATTGTTTGGAAAGTTGACACCCAGCAAATGTAGCTTTCTCGCTTTGGTTTCAGGCAACGTAACTTAAAGTTGGCAGGTTATTGAGTCCCGCTGACCGTGTTCAGGAAATCAGCCTGTTCACTCAAAAGAGCAGAAAACAAATTCTAATTAAGACAACTGATGTAGATTTTGATTGAGATTTTTTTCATTAGCTGAATCTTTTATCAAGCTAGCTGTTATTTAAAATTTTTTTTTGGGTGGTTTAAAACGCTTGAACTTAAAGAATTTTAGGTAAAATGTTCAACATAAAACACCAATGTCTTTTGTTTCTTTGCAGGCAGCCATAAACGGAGTGATACCGCAGGAAAATGGGATCTTACAGAGGTAAAAACTCTCCTGTCATACATTTACCTGAAATCAGTAAAAATATCAATAATCTGAAGACTTGCATGAGGTAAAATGCAGTTTAGATGTCTTGTTCAGTCCTGTTTCTCAAAAGTGCATCTGCAGTGCAGATTAGGGAAAGCAACTTTCTGAGAATAAAATAAATCTATACATTGATTTCTAACGTTATCTATAACCTTTCAGTTGGACAGAGGTGATCTGGGAAGTTTATTTTTTTATTACCAGCCCACGGTTGTTATAATTTCAGGTTCTTTCATACATCCGTCTGTATTTATGGCAGCAAATGTGGAGGCCGCTGCCCCGGAAAGCGCCTGTATCCTGCTGATAATAGAATGTCTGCCACTGCAAGGAAACTTTGACCAAAACTCCAGCTGTTTCTTTCACATTCTCCATGCCTCTCGCTTTCTTCTCAACAGCTGATTGACCTTTCTAAACACAATTCGCTGATCTAACCTGGAGCCTTTCTGTCACAGCGTTTCCTTTAGTATCTGCACGTGTGTGCATGTGCCATACGGGGGCTCTGGTCCCGGGGCCAGGACAATATGGCTGGTGTCTCTGGTGGGCACAGATTGCCATGAATAGAAGCCGACTGGCAGTGTGACCTCACCGCCAGCCAGCACCATTACAAAGTGGCTGGCTTTGGTGCGAGCGGCCGATCGCTGCCCAGTAAACAGACCAGTGACGTGACCTGAGCGGGGGCCAGGTGGCCGGCTTGCCAACGCTTCTGCCTAAAAAAGCTGCCCCCCCTCCGCTTTGCCTTTTCAAAAGGCATTTTGAGAGGAAGCTTTCTTGTTGGTTAGAGTATCAAAAATGGGTGAAAAAATCCTCAGATGGAATCTTGTAGTTAAATAAGTGGCTGGCGGTGGACTCCAAACGGTAGGGTTCATTTCCTCCCTATTGTCCAGGACACTGACCTCACCACCAGTATGAGCTAAATAAAATGAAACCCTTGCACTCCGTTCATTCATGACAGTTGCTGGTTACATTACAAGGAAAAAGGAGCTCTTTGTTCATGGTGAAGAGAATAAAGACATTGTTTATGGTGTTGTGTGAAATGTAAGTCCTATGATGAAAAGGAAAAAGGCATCTTAGAGTAAGCCAGTGTGAGAAAGAATGTTGGCGAAAGGCAGATTTCTTCTGTTTATTTTTCATTTTCATCTTTTGTGGCAGTTTTTTATTAATTTGATTTTGTTTCACAAAATGTGCTCAAAAAGAAAAACCTTCCACAATGAGACCTTTTCTTCCCCTCACAGTGAATATTCCAGCGAGGGGAGCCAGGCCACCATGTACGGACCCCCGAGCCAGTCAGAAGCAAACGAAGCAGCAGCTGCAAGTGCCGTTCCTCCCCCTTCTTCATCGTCTGCATCCTCCTCTCCCCCGTCATCCTCGGCATCAGCTTTCTGCCCCGTCAACCCCAACTCCCGACACATCGTAGAGCGCCAGCCGCGGATGCTCAACTTCAGGGTAGAGTACCGGCAGTGCTCTGTGGAGCTGGTGCTTGAGGAGGGCAGCACAGTTGGTGAGCTCAATGCAAATGCAGCTGATTTTTCCCCTTGTTTTAAATTGTTATTTCAGTTGACTTTGCCTCTGTCACTTCTGTCTATAAGCTGCAAAAACACTTCTCCCAGATCTCCTGATTATAATAAAACGAAAGGTGTAAAGTGTCATCAAACACATCCTAAAACTTGTAATGGAAATTAAACGTCCTGGTATATGCCTTTGGCCTCAGGGAAAATAAGGCAGAAAAACCTATATAAATCTGTTTATTTGGGTAGTCAGCTCACCCAGCGAAACCACCCCAGATGATTTGGATGGTTGAATTTAAGTGATCCACTTTATTTAAGAACTGTTTTCAGGCATTGTAATTTTTTCTATATATTCATATCTCACATGTGTATGTGCATTTCAACTGCAGCTGATTCAGTTTCTAATTCAACTCACAGGTGAAATGAAACAGATCCTGGAGACAGAGCTTGCTGTTCCAGTGTCCAAGATGCAGTTGAGGGGATGGAAGAGTGGAGAAGTGTCTGATAGTGTGAGTAAATGCAAATTAACTCTAGTAAAACTCTGAGCTAAAACACATTTGAAACCGTATTAAAACCTAAACATATGTAACCTACCCACCAATCGGAGCTATTTAACTTAAGAAAACCCCATCATTTTTTATTCTAGCCCAGAACATCAAAGTACACACCTCCTTTTAGAATATTTGCAAGTTGTTGCTTTTTTTTTTTACTTTAAGGCTTAATTGTTTTTTGATAAAGACATTGCCTCTGCAGCTTTCAGGGCTTTACAGTTAGTAGAACTTCATTGAAAGTATGTGTATATGTCCGTGTGTACAAACAGACGGTGCTGAAAAGTCTACACCTGCCGAAGAACAACAGCCTGTACGTCCTGACCCCCGACATCGCCCCAACAGCAAGCACCAGCAAAAACAGGTACTCAGACTTCCACTTTCTCCCTCTAATTCTTCATTTGAAAGCTCACAGCAGAACCTCCTGTTCCATTCACCATCATGCTGGGAGAGGAGCAGGAACTCTGTGGTTTGAGTGCAGTGCTCACTAGCCAACACCAGGGGGAGTCCTGCATCCACCTGTAAAGTAGAAGCCTTCATGGTCCACCCAGTAAATGCCACTATCATTGATTTATTAAGTTACATTTGACCCACTGCTGAACACTAATTTTCTTACATCCATTGTGACATTTTGAAAGATGAGTCTCCTGCCACAGTCTTTCCTTTGTAAATAATCATTCCCGTCCCCCTATTTGTATTTTTCACTACAAAATTGTTACCTATTGAACACATACTTTACATCTAACTCTCAAGAGGTTACATGTCCACATATCTATTGTTTACCCCATTTTCAAAAATCTAACCGGCTGCTAGTTTTACAATAGTTTCCATTTGCAGAGACGGCTTCATATATCCAGCCAGTTCCTGCCATTGGCGGCTCTTTTTGAGAGCATGAACAAATTATTCTGTTTGAAAGGTCAGCCATGGAAGTGCAAAGTCCCTGCAGAAATCCAATCATAGTCAGCAGATGGATGTTTGACTAACCCTCATCAGAGAAATATATATGGTAGAAATAATATTTGATATATTATGATATTTATCTTTTCATTTCAACGGGTTATTGTGAGATGATCAATATTATTATTGTTTCTACTGTCACAGTTGTACATAATTGATTGACTGGAAGGTTTTATATATGTGTGTATATATATATGTATAACATTTTGGCAGAGGTAATTACAGTATATTGCTTTAGAGTTTCAAATATATATGATTTGTTTGAGTTTTTAGCAGCCTACCCCTGTCTGTTTGTTGTTTGGAGCCATTGGACAATTTAACCTGCCCCGTAAATATAAGAAAGCATATCTTGTACAAGAAGAAGCCTGCATTTCAGAGACTGATTTACAGAAAAAGAGGTTAAATGTGCTGTTTTTTAGATTTATTTCTTATTCTATCAAAATCCTTTTATTGGTGGCCGGTTGTTGTTAAATCCTGGATGGACAAATTTTTTTGCTATACCACTTTTTTAGTGCACTTATTTATTTCAGTGCTACATGCAACACACCTTTTAAACACAAGTGCAAAGTTACTTAAAATTTTTATTTTACTGATAAGGAAAATGAAAATAGGATAGACTCATTCTATTCATGCTCCTCATAGATGCACTATCTTCTATTTGAGAGAGCATGATATGTATTGCATGCAATATCCCTCGTTTGTCAAAAAAGGATTAAAGTAAAAATTGTACCCAAAGCAAGCATGCACACGTCAGCATAACTCAACAAACTGCCAAGAAGTCATTTGGCAGTTTGCCTCTTTGCCTGCTAGTTAGGCTAAGTGGTAGTTATATTGTGTTGGCAGCTAATAGCTCTCTTCTCCCCAGTCATCCCTCCCCTGCTTTCTCCTCATCTTCTCACTCCCCCACTAACTGCTGTGTCTTTTTAACAGCGCCGTTGCCGTTTCTCAGAGTGTTATCGATATCATTTTGGGTGTCAGGAGCTCATTATTCTGCATCAGCTATTTTAGTGGCGGACAGTTGGGCCTGAGAGGGTGGGTGGCCTCCCGTGTGTCTGTGCGTTCATGTACGAGTGTGGATGGTTATATGGGAGTGCGGTGACCCTGCTGTCACACTGAGAAAGGATAGGTGACAGATCACAGAATATGGGGGGAGCAGTCTCCCGTAGTGAGACCAAACAAGCTGTTAGCTTCCAGCAAAAATAAACTGTGGTCACACCATATATCCGCAGCACGCACAATTAGGCTGCAGCATCTGCATATGTATCTCCGTAGACAGCGCTCTCTGTCAGACTAATAGTGTTCGTAGGCTGAAAGATGCACAGTAGTGGTGCTGCACCAGCGTCTCAACCTGCCTAACCCGGTGGGTGTTATGCCAAATCCAATGATCTGAGCTCCGACTATTTTATCAGTCCAGTTTGCTGGCTCAAGCTAAAATCAGCTTTGAATTAAATAACATCTTAGCGGTTTAATATTACAGCATTTAGAATCTTGTTAGGTGAAATCAGTTGCATATAACTTATAGTCTTCTCATAAAAAATAAAAAAAACCATGGGTACCCAGCTCTGGGAACTTTACTGGGCCACACAGTGGGATGTCATTTCCGCAGCAACACAGGTAAAGACTATGCATTTGTAGCCGTGGCAACAAATTCTTTTCCTCTTTTAACAAGTAAAACACAACCTGCAACGCTGCACAGGTGCTCATTAGGTCCAACACCTGTTTTACTTCTCTCATCTGCCCGCCTTTATGCTTTCCCTCCCTCCACCGAAAGATTATCATTTAATCAATCACAATTAAGCTAAATTAGAAATAAAATGGTGTAAAATCATCCACCTTTCCACGGATTATTGTTGTGTTAGACTCAATGTTCTGAAAATATGTCTGAAAATTGTCTTGGGAGGGGAAAAAAATGTAGGCAAAAAAAAAAGTATTATATGCTATATTTCCTTAAAGTTGATCATTTCTACCAGAATGTTAATAAAGTGGAAAATAGAAAAATGTTTTTTTCAACAATAGAATGATAAAAAAATCAAATATCAAAATAATAAGATAAAATCTTGCTTTGTTTATTAATGCTATTATTTCTTATTGAGCAGCACGCTACTTGTTTGATTACATGTTTCATGAACATTTTATCGTCTTACAATTCAAATTTGCCAGTTTGTAGTTGTAGATTTAAAAGACTGTTATCCACCCAAATTTCATTTAACTGTGCTTATTTGCTCAAAATTGTTGCTGTGTAAAAATGCAAATGTCCCACAAATGGTAATATCCCTGGCAATTACTTTGTAGAGCTTGGCTCATGCTGTACACACACCTAAACCAAACCGGCTGATTAAATAGTGCCTGCTCTGTCATTATGGGTGCGCTGTGCAAACTCTTCTTGGTTGCCTTGTTTGATTAGAAATAAATCTTGAGGCTTTGGGAGATTTTCTTCTGAGCAATAATCCATCTCAGGTAGTTATTTAGTTAGTGATGTGATGTGAAGGTAGTACTGCAGCATGAGCGTCTGGTCCGAAGGAGGCCACGTGAATACAAGAGAGTGTTGAGGAGGAGCTAATCTCCTGCATAAATGATGAAGGCCTGATGAATATTTCAATGGAGCCTGTTTCCTTTCTTGTTTATTCTTTGCTCCAGCTCCCAGCAAGCATGTTTGCCAATGAAAGGTTGTTTTAATTTAAACTCTCAAAGAAGTTTGAAATGGCCAAAAAATGGATTCATTATGTATTCGCTGCGTGTGTTTTTCTTCTTCCATCAGCTACAGACATACAGAGGCTGTAGAGAGATAGCTAGCTGGTTAGCTAAACAACCTCGATGGGAAGGATCCAACAGTTAGCATGCTAATTATCTTTTGGACAACATGGCAGACCAAAACAGAGCAGAGCCTGAGTGGTTTCGTATTTTCCTGCTTTGTTGTGGATGCAAAATGTGGAGGAGGTAAGAAGACCTTATGAGAGTTCCATTACCTCCTCTCTAGAGGAAAGACGCATTCTCCTGCTCTGTGTACTTGGGCTAACCCTGTGAGAAGCCAGGGAAAATCGTTCATAGGACAGTATGTGTATATGGGTATTTGTGGTTTCCGGGCACATGTCACTTTGTGTGCATGCATGTGCATATCTGTGTCTGGCAATACTAGTTTAATAAGGTCTGGAGTCTGCTCTGTGCCATGGGGACTCGCAGCTTAGGCGATGGGCTTACCTCAGAATGAAACCAATCTGTTTAGCCTGCTCTTCTACCCCTGCAGAATGCTTTGCTTTTGCACTCCATAAAGTTAAATGACATTCTCTCCCTGGTTCCCTTTATGCCATGTCAAGTGCCTCTAGAGATGTTGCAGGCCGACCTGGATGTCACCTGCTATGTGTGCTCAGTGAGAAAGACACCTCTGATGGCGGAGGCAAACATGGAGACATCCGTATTTCAACCCTGTGCTGCTTGAGAGGCCTACTTATGTCAGAAGATGGCAGCTTTGAGAAGATCAGTAGTGAAAGCAGTCCAGACTAACGGATCTAGTACTTGAAACATGCTTGTTGTGTTTATATATGTACCAGCAGGTCTCTTTTGACAGATGGCAAATGACAAGGAATTGACTCATAATGAATGACTTTTTTTCCCCCCACAGGATGCATTTGATATTTTAAGTAGCTATATTTGTACTTTAGAGCAAAATAAGTGATCTGATGTTTTTTTCCTAAGTAATCTTGAACAGAACTGTTCTTGTGCACACACCAAATGTCTTGTCGGCCTGCCATAAATGACTTATAAGATGTTCCTTCTTTGCTTGGAAGGACAGAGTAACACTTCCACTCAGTTTACCCTCTATCTGTGCCTGTTTAGGAGCCTAGCTGCCTGCCAGCAGCAGCTCGGGACTGTGTCCAAACATAATCATGATATTAGCTAGATCCTTATTTATGTGTCCCTACTCCTTCCATTTCTCCTCTCTTTCTCAAACACACACAAGCACACCCATCCCTCTCATCCTTCTGCTCAGCCCTATTACATATGCATCCATCCTTCCCACACCACACATTTCCAATCTCTTCCAGTTAGCTACAACAAACATTACATTTACATATTGATTTCGTAGTTTTAGTCAATGTAAATATGCTGTCATTACAGTAAATTTGAGCTTCTGTTAACATAAGCTCGTCCAGATCTGCACAGATTAAGGGTGTGATTGCATAATTAATGTGTGTGCTACATATTAATTCCCTCATCCCTCTCTTTCTCTCAACTCTTCGTTCTCTTCTTGGTTTCTGAGCCCTGATTAAGTGCCTGTTTTGGCCTTTAAGCCTCCCATTGCTATTCACCCTCACAGACCCAGCGTTAGCTCAAAACGCTACTTAACCTCACAGCTTATTGTAAATGAAGCCTCCAAAAGTTGATTCCCCCCCACCTTCTCTTTTGAAGCACCGCATCTCTGACTCTGCTTGTAAATGACCGAATAAGCTATTGGTGCCAGTTCAGAAATAACAAGAAACAAACCAGTTACCTGTTTGCATCCCGTTCCACGTTTGTAACAAAGTGTCCAGGAGGGAGATATTGATGGATATTGTACCTTTCTCATTCTGCATTCAGCCGGGTGTGTCGTGTTGAAAATCCAATAACCTTACAAAACTTCCAATACGATGTCAGTCCTCCATATGAACAGCTATTGATCAAGAAACTTCTACCACAGATGAGAAGCGAAAACAAAAGTTGATCCTTTAATCGTGACAAATCAAATAATCTCAGTCTTAGTTTAGATTATCCATTGTTTACATTTTTATTGTAAATGAAACGAATTAAGTAACTATGCAATTGTTAATATTCCGCTAAACCTTCATGAAAAGATGATTATTGTGTACTACTATGTTAATCGTTACAGTAAAATTAGCGTTTTAGGCCTTGATAGTTTTTTTTCAAAACGCTTCAGAGTTGTTCTGGTAATTGCCTCTGACTCTATGTAAGCGATTAGGCAGATGGATGGGCTCCATGCTGATGCTGTGCTGATGGTCATAGCTGCGACAGCCTGCTGTGCTGAGCACAGCTCTGGTCAGGCTTGTTAAGACACAACCACTGAAGTGGGCGATGAGCCCCCTGAGGAGGCACCTACCTCACAGTGGGCCAGCAGGCTGCTGCTAGCTGGCAAGTTTCAGCTTGCCCAGTCTTTGACTCAGTGATTTATTTTTTCTTTGCATACATACTTTCACCTCTTAGAAATCATTTTGAATTCTCCGTTGCTTTTTGTGTTATTTTTTTAAATTTCTGAATGTTGTTGCCCCTCTTTCTAACCCCCCCCCCCCCCTCCCTCTTCCTTATTTAGTGCTCTTCAAGAGTCATTAAACCAGAACTTCCTACTGGTCATTAGTCACCGTGAGGCTCAGAGAGACTACAACCTCAACTTCCCAGGCTCCAGAACCATACAGGAGGTAAGAAACAGTCACAACAAACACCACACAGACACACAAAACTCCCCCACTTATTCCCAGACACACACAGAAGCATACCTGATTCTCATTTCCTCATAACACAGCTTTTCCTCCATTTGCCAAACATTGCTAGTCTATCTCAGCCACCAATTCATTATTCATAACAAATAATCACATTTCAGAGCACATAATTACTCTCACAGCTGTGGTCTCGTACACCCCCTCTTCTCTTCCCACTTCCAGAAGCATGCGTGTCTCCCCCTCTCCCTGCCTCTCTGCAGACTGCTGAGGGAGTCGTTTAAATGACTGAACACTGTTTGATCTAGCCAAGCAGGAACAGTAAAAAAAAGTCTGTTCGTTTTCTTCACAGAAAACTAAATGGTGGATTTGACTGCGTCTGAAATATTAATAGTGACTCCCCCAGAACCCGGCGCGAAGGCAGTGCACCTTTCCCTCTGCTGGTATTGCTTCCCATCTGAAAATAGATGAAAGGTTAAGCGGCCTGCCTATGCAGATGACAGGCGTGTGTGTGTGTGTCAGTGTTTATGAATCCAGACCGGAGCTTTTGGTCACACAGGAGCATGCATCACTGTACGGGTCTAATCCACTAGCGCAGAGGGCGACCTGAGTAGGCGTCATATATAATTCACCATGTGTAGCCCGCTGTCTCATTTTAGGAAATGAACTCCCCAAAGATGGATGAGATAGGATGGCACAGTTCTACTGTCAATGGTGCCCGACGGAAAATGAGGAAGTTTCATTTTCTCTGTCAGTTCTTGGTCATACATGTGTATTGTTCCCTTAACTCCTTGTGCTCCCCCAAACAACACATGGTTTAGTTTTCAGTGCTTATGTGCTTTTTTGGTGTTCATGTTTTACATTCAAACCAATTATTTAGTCTTCCTGTGATCCTCTTTAGAGTCTCTGTGGTCAATTCAAGGAAATGCAGTCGGGGTGAAGATTACACTAATAATAATCAGGCTGCTTGCAGGGTTCATAATGGTGCTAATTGAACAAATTAGTTGAACCAGCATCTAAACCGGAGGAAGCCTGCATCCCTTGGACATCCACCTCTCCTCTTTCACTTTCTCTTTTCTCTCTTCTCTCCATCATCTCCCAGTTTTTTTCACTCTCATCTCAGGCAGATGGTTTTGATGAGCACCCACTGTGAACCTTAAGTGTTTCTGCTGGGATTACAAACACTGGGGAGGGGCCCCTGCGGTGTGGGAGGGGGGGAATGGTGGCCACAGAAGAGGCGAAGGACTGTTAGCTTGGTGGGGGTGCTGTAAGAGGCCATAGGGGATGGAGAAGGGACAATGCAGGCTTAAACAGGCCTCTATGTCACAGTCTTTGCCTTACACATGCTTGTCTTTAGGCATCTCACGGCCCCCTGCTGTGAAAATGAGATCCACAACTTTAACCTGCATATGTCAAATGTATAGAAGTACTGTTGCCATCTATGGGTGTAAGAATGATTATTAGAGGAAGTTGACACGAGGGAAGTTATGGGTGGTTGATCCGCCCATTTTGAAGAGGAAGAAAAATTATAAAAAAGGGTGAAAAAAGAATGCAACAATGAAGAAACATCCTATTCAGACTAACTGGGCTTTCTGCTCAGTGTCCACTGACGCATATGGACTCCACCAGAAGACACCTTTCTCTTTCCATTCTCATTTTTTGTCTTAGCTGGAAAATAGCCCATGGGCCCTGCTTGCGCATATCAATTGTGTGTGTCTTGTCTTCTTGTTTGTCTTTGCCGTGGGCCCGGGCTTTGCCTTGTGGCTCTCAGAGAACTGCCCGAACCCCTCCCTCTCTCTTTCTTCATTCTTCATCTCTCTCCCAGCGTCTCTTCTTCACCTTCTTTCTTCTCCATCTCTAGAACTCCAGGCTGTGTAGACTCTGATTGGCATTACCAGACAAGGGTGTGGGGGTAAGTTGCTGGCTAGCTTCTGAGCTAAGCTGGAGAGCAAATGTTTGCCAGGGAAGTAGAGGGTAGAATAGGGGTAGCCGCTGGGTCTCGAGTTGTCCGTGACCAGACCAGTTGTCCCGGGGATTTCCCCCGTCTACTGCCCCCACCCTTAGGGCTGGGCCTGGGCCCCATCCCCTCTCCGCAGCTGGGAGACGCATAAGAACCAAATACAGACAGGGCCTACGGAGCTGAGAAAAAGGAAACTGGATGGAGAAGGGAATTAAAAGGAAGGCATCTGGTGCCTTGAGGAGATGAAGAAAGAGAGCAGGAGAAAGAGAGCTTGTGACTGTTTAACGGAAACCTTTCCCTCTCTTTGATTTGCTTCCAGCCAGGGATTACAGGCAATTGGCATTTACAATGATTGGATCATTAATTTTGCCGTGAGGCGTATTGCCCAGCAGCTCACCACCACAGCCAGCCTCCTTAATGTCATCTTTAACTGGCTCGCACCCCCCCGATACCTCATATCAGAATGAATGGCTATGCACTAATCAGTTCCACTGATATATTAGCCTTTAATGTCAATTCTGTTAACTCCTGTTAAAGAAGTTTTCGTCACGTTATTGCTTCTGTATTCAGGTTGATGGATACATTTCCTAAATCACTGTTTGTCTGTGTTTGTCAGTGTCATGTGATGGGCAGTCCAACTATACGAACAAGTAGGCTTTTGCATTGTAAATGTACTCAGATAATTGTGGTTTAAAATACGGCATTTAAAGCATTAAATGTAATTCATTTGTTGCCTTCTGACTGATTAGTGACATAGCCATTGTGGTAGACAGGGGGCAGCATTAGACAATATTGCCGTTTGCCATATTGCTAAAACAAAAGATCAGCTACCTGGAAAAGTAAACGCAGTGCGCTTCGGTCGACTTCATCTCGCCTTGCCTTGTAGTCTAATTCTTCCATTTTTAAGAAACAAATATCCGGTAATATAGTGTCAGATCTCAGGTCTTAGATCATTATAATTTCAGCAAATGTTTCTTGCATTTAGATGGCGCCCAAAGACTGCCTGCATATCCTAGTGATGCCGTTTCAGGCTGGCAGGCCTTATTTTTAGCTGTTTTCCCTTTCTGTGATGGGTCAGATTGTCTTCTGCCAGGTGTCTTTTGGTGGCCGTCTCCACTCTCCTTCCCCCTCCATCCTCTCCCTGTGGTGGGCGTTAGTTTGTTGTTTCTCTGATGCTGCTTTAACCTCTGACTGCAGCCTCTTCATTACTAGTGTTTATGCCTCTCCTTTCCTCACTTCTCCCCTCTATTCATCGGCCGGCCAGCCGGTCAGTCAAATCCCTGTAGTCTGGCTGGTCAAACATAGATATTACACTCTGTAATAACACTGGCCACCCGCTCTGACCTCAGCCTGCTATGCTGGCCATAGCTTCTCTTCATAAGGATCGGCAGAGTGCTGCAACGTGGGATTTACAATAGAGAGACAAAGGATCGACTGTGCCACTCATTTATCATTGTTCTTTTTTCATCAGGTTTTTTTTTCCATCTGCTTGTTTGCTCGGTGAATTGCTTTGTTCTTTGAGGCCCAGCACAAATATAATGTAATATAATTTCTCTCGGATATTGATGAATGTATTTACTTGTCTCTGTAAATGATTTCTTCTACATACAGTACATGTTTATCCAAAGTACAAGCACCCAGGCAAAGTTTGTTCCCAAAGTCATTCCGCTCCGGTGTTTTGCTGATTCTTCCCAGCTCTGCTTGAGATGAGGATTGACTTTGACTTTGTAGCATTCTTTAAATTTCCACCTCCATGAACAGAAGCCCGCAAGCATGCCCAAGGATCCATCACTCCTCAGTGCTTTTTACAAAGACAGGATTTGCCGCGTGTATGGAGGGATCTCTGCTCCACAATGGATAGTTTTCTCAGCATCAGTGTCCAGCCCCGAGGGCCCGAACGGCCGAATTCTGTCCAACACATGCACGAGAATCCAGGCCGGTCAGGTGCTCAGACACCGACGCGGCTTTGATCAGGCTTGACCGTCGCACATCAGGCTGGCGTTGGGGCTTTAAAACAACAGAGCAGTGGAGGGTGTAACGCGGCGCTTGGTGGGACTGATGCTGCCGCCTGCTAACTGTTTAAAAGCGAGGAATGTTATTAAGTGATGCAGATACAACGTCCGCGCATGAATGGGAGAAGAGAAATACTGTTCATTTCAGAGCGTGGTGCTGTTGTTGCTGGGACTTAGCTGTGGCATCCAAGGAATGCTGATAACACCGCCTGTCTTTTTTTGGGGTTTTGTTTTTCTCGCCCTCTTTTCTTTAGGCCCCGTCCTATTTTTTCTCAAGCCTTTGAAAAGACCATTAACACGAAATTCACCCCGTTAAGGCAAAGACGGGAATATTTGTTAGTCAAATATGATACTTAATGTCTTCATTTAGACAGGTTTTTAAAGACATATAGAAATATGCCCGATGTTTCTTCGCTTATGTTTCTGTTATTGATAGATTTAACTTTCCTCTTTTTTGCAGGTGAAAAGGAACGTTTCAGACTTGACCAACATCCCAGTCCGGCATCAGCAGTGGGAGGGGTGGCCTGCATCAGCATCCGACGACTCCGTAAGTAGTCCAGTCCCGGGAACACTGAAAAATTCATATGAATTATCACAGCTTAACAACTATGTCTGCATTTAGAATACTGTGGACACAATAAATTAATAGTAAGATCATTTAGAAAAAAAGCAGGTATGAATATAGAAACCGTTCCACACTGAATGTCCTACCCGAACAGTCTGTCAGAAGCGCAAGAGTAAGATGTTAAGACTAATTAAGATGTCAAAGACTATTCCCATCCCATGTCCTCTGTCTGTGGACATTAAAGCTCACATCATTGAGTCCTGCTGACCTTTTCGTCCAAGGCTCGCCATTCATCCCAGCCATTCACCCCGCACACAGTCAAACTGATCAGAGGCCGCCCTCATACAGAACCCAGAGGAACCTCTGACCCCTTTTGTCTCACCTCGTCTTTGACAGCATATGTGTTCCCATGCTAATTGTTTGGGATGGTTTATCATGCCAGATTGTGAAGCTGCTAGGTACACATTCCTGTGTTAACCCCTAGCTAACATTTTCCTTTTAGATCTGTGTGGTCAGTATTTGGTCAGGAATATTAGTGCTGACTTTGTTTCTTTTAAGCATTTATTTATTTTTGAATCCACACATTGTCACTTGTGACCTTTGCCAGTGCACATTTGTGATTAATATGAATGAAAGCCTTGATCCACACAGCATTTTGGTGTAAAGAGTCCATTCTGTGTTTCCCATTATTCATTTCTCCGAAAGTTTTAAGAATGACATTAAAGGCAAACCCATTTTAGTGCATATGCAGACAAAGATTGGAGCATATCTCTATCCGTTTACTGTACAGTAAATCGGTTTTATTTAGCTCCAAAACAGAACAGAGAACAAAAAATAAAACATCGTATTGCTGCAATGCAAATTTTATCGTGTGGCAGTTAGGTTTGTAGGCTCGCAGGTACATGATGAGCATCCAGGGACATCTGCAGACATGTAAATCTTTTTGGGAATAATAAAACAGGTTTTGGTCATTCAATTGAAACAACTGATCCCAGTTTGAATAAACTTAACGGAATGATTTTGGTAATTCTTTCAGCCTTGTAACCGCAATATGCAGGTTTCTCTCTCATTTTAGTATTTATACTAAATGTAAAACTTTGATAAAAAAAGTGAGTGCAGCCTGTTTGGTGCACCTTGTGTGTTGTCGTAGACACAGTTTTCTCACAAAAGCTTTAGGAAACATCTCTAAAAACAAGTAACACATGCTTGAACTTGAATCCAATCACCAGTGGGATAAGATAAGATATTTAGTCGTGCTTATCTTAATGTCTTGGTTTTTCAAATTTTATTTCATCACTGAACTTCACCACAAAGCTGTGGATATAATCGGCAAAGATCGCTCTTAAATTGTGACATTATAGGCCCAGTCAATCCCCCGCTGACAAACATCAGCAGTGTCTGTTTTTCCTCTATGAGGAGATATTAAAAAAGAAGAGAGACAGAGAGAGAACGAGAGAAGAGTAATAATGGCCCCTGCACTAGCCATAGCCCTCTTATTGAAACGTCTGAAGGTATTAACAGAGAAAGCCCAGGGCTTGGCTGGCCTAGGCGATGGGTAGGGAGCCAGTGTTAGTGTCTAGCTCATTAGCCCAGTCTCATCTCTCGGGGTTTGGGCCAATAAACATGGCAGCCACAGGCCTCAGATTACTTTTGGCTCCGCACACTATCCCACTTACAGTTGAATCGATGATGACTTAACTCTGCTTTTCCTCCAAGTGTGCGATATCACCGTGGTTACCTATTTATGGCTTTATCCACATTTGTGTATTTGTAAAACTTCCCCTCACAGAGGGCCCACTCTATGTGACCCTAACCCTATCTATCCACTGTGTCTGTGACACCGACTTTTAAAACTTTTAAAAGTTTGCATCTGCCTTCCTGAACTTCTTGAGCTGGCTTTAAAATGTCTGCCAGATTTTTTTCTAAAGAATTACTGAATGAGCGCACAAGTGCATCCATTTTAGTATTTATTTATATATGCATTTTAAAAGACAGCATATGTTTTAAGTACAGCGAACCCTGTATGGTGGGCTCATGATTTATTTATTTATTTAAAAAGCACTCCTTAGATATGGAGAAAGGAAAAATTTGCTAAATTTCTTCCACTTTTATTTCTGACTTGCTTCGTCACAGTCTTTGTGGTTTGTAACTATACATGTGCAGTCACACGGAGCCCTTTTTTGTATCTCCATTCATCAGTTAGCTCATAGTATGAGTTTCTTCTGTCAGTTATTCTCATGTTCTGAGAAAGTTTTTCGTAGTCGCTGTAATATTGGTTTAATTATGTCATGTATTATCCAAGTGAAAGACAACACTGTCAGAAAAAAAATCTCAGCTTTCAGAGAAACCGGTCGTTACACTGCATCACCCCTTCCGATGCGGGTCCAGAGCCTTTCGTTGTTTATTGTGCTTTGAATTATTCAATGTGTGGAACACTGAAATTGGATCCGATTGTGTAATGATCAAATGGCAAGGAACAACAGAGGAGTTTATTGAGTGTGCTCTTGTTGTAGGGGTTGTTAGAGTGAGAGAGTAATAAAGGCAAGTGAATGCAGCAGCAGTGTCTGGTGATGCTCATTTGAAGCATATTATGTGGACCTGAAACAGCCCAAAAAAAAAAAAAGACGAAAAAAGATTAGGGGCAGAAAAAGTCGTGCAAAAGTACATGATGTAATTATTTGTTTTTATGCATTTGTGAAATGTCTTAAAATCTATGTAATGTTTTTTCCAAAGCACACATTACAACGCAGCTGTGTGTTTATGGACAAGCTTTTTTCTTTCGTTTGGGAGAATATTTTTAGGTTCCATTCCAATCTTCCCTGCTTTCTGGATTCACCAGAAGACAGTTTGTAATATATTCTAGAGAAGCCAAATAGGGGATCACGACAGAAAGCTTGGTGTCCTTGTGTGACTGTTTGTTTAAGCATTTGTTTTTCATTTTCTCTGGGTTTACGGCATCACAACAGTCTTCTTAGGACTGGAAAAAAGTTCCCAGTCAGATGAAAGTATGTTGGACTTTGCAATAGTTAAAACTTGGTGGAATTCATTTTACTCCAAGTAGATTAAAACAAATACTCTGGCATTATTTGCAAACACCATGATGTAGCTCTGCCTTCAAATTCCTCTTGATTCTTCTGGCTTTGGCAAAGCTGCTCTGAACAGAGCTGAGGATGAGAACAGAGGTCTTTGCAGCAGCTGATTTCCGAGGCCAGTGGGACAGCAGCATCCTCTGCCTTTGGAAACCCACTGATTGCCATCTTCTCCTGACTCTGTCTACTTTGCCCAAGCAATTCAACCTGGAGAGATTTCCAAACAGGCTCCTTCTCGTTGGAGGTGTTTTGATAGGCAGCGCTTCCTCCACACCTGTTGGGGTGATTGACAGCCGGTGGGACATCCTTATTGCAGCCGCTCTACCTTTCACCCGTCCTAGCCAGTAATTGCTGACATTTATGCAGTGTTTCATGGTGTTTGCTAATGTATTAATGCCGAGCAGCTTCAGAGATGCATTGTCTTGTAGGGCAGCGCCTCCCTCCATATCCCAGTTGGCATTAATGGAATCTTTCTCTACCCGATAGGGGCCTATGAAACCAAGGGTTTATTGAGGAGGGCCTGGTGGTTTCCTTAGCAACAAGGCTCAGGCGTAAGCTCAGACAGACTGCCCCCTCCCTCATGTAGCTGCCCTCCTCCAGGTGACATTCAGAACTGAGGTAGCTTGTCTGAAAAATGTTCTAGCTCCTCTAATTTGCTTTCGCCAGGAAGTTTCTCCCCTTGTATGTTCAACCAGGCACAAAGTATCCTCAAACCTACGCCAAACAAAGTTATATCTCATTCTAACCGTCTTTTTTTTTTAAGGGTGTCCCTCTTAAGTCTTATCGCAAACATGTTTAAAACTCTTTCTTGGCCATATTGTGCCCCCCCCTCCCTTGCCCCCCTCCTATCCCACTGTTCTCCTGCTCCATAAATTACATAGCAGAGTAAGGTGGTTTAATGTGGCTGTGGTTGCTTTGGGTGCACCTGTCAGTGGTAATTATCTCACACTCACAGCCAGACACCTAATCCAAACACTGCCTACAGGAGAAAAGAAAAATGAAACACAGATAGAATGGTGGGAGAGAAAAGAAGGAAAAAGTGGGAAAAGGGGTTGAAGAAGAGACGGACAGGAGGGTTGGAGTAAAAGAGAGAAAATTCTTTCCCTGTATCAGCCCCTGAATGCTTAGTGTCTCAATGCAAGTGTTAATTAAAAGAATCCAAAAAAGAGGAGCCAGTTCCTTTTGTGTGAAGATGTGGGAGAGGGTCATCGGGGGGGTTAACCTCATCCCCCCAGACCTCGTGCCCTGCGGCGCTTCAACCTTGTTTCCACGTTTTACCACTGAGCTGCCAAGCTGCACTTGTGTACCTCAACACTGGTAGAAGCCGTTGGGTCAAAGCGAGGAAGAGGAGTGAGAGGCACTCAGCTCATTTTTCCCCTCCTTTTCACCTCTTCTCCATGCATCAATGTCAGCCCAAACCCTTCAGGCTGTCTTTAAGAGGGAAGTGATCAACTTTATTTATACACTTATTAGGTCCACAGACAAGAGCCTCTCATTGTGAGTGGTGGGGGTAAAGGGTTTTGTTGGAATCCTCTCAGTGGTTGCTGTTAGGATTCTCACGTTTGATTGCCACTCGATTAGAAGGACTTTGAGCCACTGCTTCTCTTCTTTGAGGTTCAGACCTTATATGTCTGTCTTTAGCTCAATAACGACAAGTGTTTGGTTATTCAGCTCTCTAGCAAAAGCTTTCTTTTTCTCATTAAGACCTGCGGCAGCAGGAGTCTGCCCGTATGTACGCATAGAGGGCGCTTTAAGCCTGGCTGAGTTTGGTTGCCTCTGGAAATCAGAATCTATTACCAACCTTTTTTGTTGAACATTAGAAAAATAATGTTTCTCATCCATTTCTTTAGCAAAGCTCTGATTTTCTGTTATGAATGGCACACACTAATTCTATAAACGTTTCTGCCGTACTAAGCTAGTTAGAGTTACGTTACATGAGCAAAGACGAAGCAATCCAGTTAAGTGTTCTTCGTAGGTGTTCCTGGGTGCCCAGCCGTCCTCGCTGTGAGACTCTTATGCTACTCTTTTTTGAGAAAACACTTGCCACTAATCAGTGACACCTAAGACATACAATCTGTTTCTTCTATAATCGTTGCATGTGCATGTCTGTGTCTGGCAGCGGCTCAATACAAAAGGTACTCTTGCAGTAAGACGTGAGAAAGTCTTGCAAAGAAAGCCCGTGTGTCCATTTGGATGTGTCCTTTCAGTGGTGATGTCATTCTTGGTTTGTGTAGTTTCAATATTTCAAAGCAGACTAGCCATTTTGCTTAAGACAACACGGAGGAGGAACACTCATTAAGATATTATTCTTTCTCGAATGTCATGGGAGATTCTGGGTTTCTCATATATCCTGCCTTTGTTGCGGGGCTGGTGGGAATTTGAAACACAGCGGTCAATATTAGAGGCAGTTTCTGTATATCCGCCATCCGAAGGCTTCAATATATGATTGTTTGCCTTCCTCGGATCATTGCGACGGATCTAATTTTCTCAGTTTAAAAGAAAAACAATATATAAACAACAATATGAATAACTATTGGAAAGTGATGCAGATTATGGTTGCAATAGATTTTGGCTGTCAACTTTATAGTATCTTTATAGGCATTATGTGTTTGTCTCTTTCACTGGAAAAACAGCGTGTTGAATTGTTTTTGGAGGTAATAATTAGAAAAGTGTGTCCATTTCTGGCTGATCTTATCCAGCATTTCTGAATAGGCATGCAGCAAAACACTCCTTTTGATCTGTAAAAATGCCCACCGTATAGAAACATAGAGTGTAAATGAAAGACCTGTTGCACTACAGGCAGTAAAGCAACATCTTACAAAGTAGACACATTCATATGATCTTGGGTTAAATATTGTGACACTGTCCTACCTCGTTGCACCTACATGTATACAGCTAGGACACCATTGTGCAAATATTTCTACATGTTTAGATCTTTTGGTTTCGTCTAACTTACTTTCTAATGCTCAGAAGATAAAGGGAGCGTGACAGACATATAATGAGGGATACTTTGCCTGATATATGGTTCTTATCAGTGCCAAGTGGACCGCAGAGCGTTTGAGTCCATGTTGCTGACAAGCTCTGGTGGTTACACTGTTCTGTCCTGCCGCAGAAGCCTAGGCCAGAGCAGGGAATGCCTATTCTAGAGAGAAGCACCCTTCAGTCTGTGCAGCTCTTTTCAGATTCAGTTGGCGTTGCATGTAATCGTCTCTTGATTCAGCCCCGTCCAGCTGCTCTTTGTGCGCCGCGGTACCTGACAAAAAAGCAGATAACAGGACCTCTGCAGGGGGACGAGCAGCTTCTCTGCCTCTTATCACACCCAGCTTGCCTGCCTCCCCTTTGTTGTTTAGAAGTGCACTCTCCCAGAAAAGTCTTTGCATCTGGGCTTTCTGATGGACTCTTAACAATTAGTCGGTCAGTGAATATATTGTTGCCTTATTCTGAAGTATCAATACATCGAGGCAGACGTGAATAGAGGATGACCAGCCCTGCTTTTAGGAGTCATTGTTGGTGGCAACAAAAAAAAAAGTCCTCATTGTCAAGAAAAGTTGACATTTAGATATTTTAAATTGTTTTCCAAGTTGCAATAAGGTTTCTACAGTCTCTTCCTCCACCCTGAAACAGCCTTTACTCATATTGTTGATGTTCCCCGGGGTCTGAGCCAGGAGACACTCGCTGTAATGAGTCCCTGCTGAACGCCGACTTTTTCAGTCCTGGCTTTGGATTTGAGAGCTCATTAGTGGGGTTCTCTTTAAGTACAACTACAACCACACTGGTGGCAACTGCAGGTGTGCAGAAACCACATTCCCCCCCTCCCCCACAAAACAAGCCTTTGTTTTAAAACCATAAATTATGTCATAACAGTCTTTTAGAATGAAACTTTATGTTTTGACTCATGGTACACTTGTTCAATTCAAATTGGGGGTCAAATGATGTGAAAAGCTTATCTGCCTAATAGACAATACTTATTGTTTCTTTGATCTTTTCCCCCCCACACATTCCTGTTTTTCAGATGACGTTGGCACTCTCTGGGATCAGCTATCCCTGCCACCACCTCAGTGTTTGTCGAAGGTCCTCACCAGCCAACGCCCAGGAGCCCACAGAAGAGGTACAGAGGACATAATGAAGCCATCGGGCCTGTGTAATACCTTCCCCGTTGGCACCGTGTGAATAATGAATGTTTACAGTGTGCAGATGTCCATATGATCAGTGACAGCGAGGGGGATGAGTTTGAAGATGCGTCAGAATTTGGCGTGGACGACTCTGAGATGTTTGGGACGAGCTCCACAGGCTGTCGGAAGTCACCTATGAGTATGCAACAAATAAAGGAGTTTAAAAAAAAATTAAGGTCTATCTGTAGAGATGCAGTCCAGAAACACACATCCAACTTTGTCCATGTTGTACTTGTTCCTCTCACAGTGCCCGAGAATAGTGAGAATGAAGCGGATGCCTTACTTCACTTTACTGCCGAATTTTCCTCAAGGTAAACATTATGGGATGCATAATTTCAGATGATATTGTTGGACTGCAACAATATGTTGAAGATCTTGACTAAGTTTTGTTTGCGTTTGTTTGTGTGTGTCTGTTCTGTAGGTATGGAGAGACCCACCCAATGTTCTTCATTGGATCTTTGGAGGCAGCATCTCAAGAAGCCTTTTATGGCAAAGCCAGAGATGTAAGTGGGATATTTAAGCTGGGAAACAGTAATGGCTTAGTCATATAGACCTGTGTGTGACTTTTAAACATCTTTAGTGTTTTACGCTGTAAAGACAAATAACATTATTGGACTGTTAGTCCGTGATGACATCATCCCTGCTTCATCCAGTCCAGTCTCTTCTTTGCTGGACTGTTTTCTTAGCTTAAGATAACATAGAGAAGGAATGCAAACTGAACAGGATGTTATTCATTCTTCATGTTTCAAGGCAGGCACAGCAATGGTCACATATGTTCTTTTCATTTCTGAGCTGTTGGGAATAGTCTGTATTTAACACATTTAATTAAAAGGCTAGTTTGTAGGCCATAACACATATAAACGCATATAAGTCTAAATACCCTAAAAAAAAAAAACTTTATTTGAATTGTTACACAAACCTTTCCTTAGAGAGAGGATGAAGAAAAAACTAGAGATTTTTTTCTCATAGTCTTTAGTTAATAAATCTCATAATTCAGTCAAGCTTTAGAATTTAAGATTAAGCTTTACTATTTACTACGTCTTAAAATTGGAGGTTCAGTTGGTCACCTGACATGATTTCTCTGAAAACCTTTTCTGCCATTAGAATATATATTTATATAATGTAATATCGACTTTAGAAAATCTGACATATTGTTTTAATTGTTTTTAATCAATGACAGGCCTTTAGTGTTTAGCTAATTGTTGCTTTTTTATTATTGTGTATTTTTACAGCATCCCACATTTATTTTAATGTGGCCATAGGCTAAATGCCAGGTGGATCTAAAATGTATTTAAAAATCAGTGGAAACCTGATGATTTGTAAAAAACTTGAATGATGGATTTTTAAGGATAAAAGTAGAAATTCCTCCACACACATTTGATATCATTTGTGATTATTATAAATAAAGAGATAAGGCTTTGTAGCACATTGACATCATTTCTCAGTTTTCACCCTGACAGCTGATACTTTATTTTTAGCTATCCACTTTACCCTCTTGTTTTCTAGCTTTTGTCCTTTTAAGGATGCTTGTATCAACTGACAGCTTGTGTGGATTACAGCCTTATTAGACAGTGAGGACACACACACACACACGAAGAGGGAGCGTGATGGAGATGACAGGGCACGTTTTGAGGAGAATTAAGAATTATGAAATAAGACGGAGCAAAAATGAGGCCGTGTGAGTTTGTGGGAAAAGTGCAGTAAATGGAAAGAGTGCGAGATAAATATATTACATATAAAAACTAAAAAACACCAAAGAGGAGCTTGGCATCCTGCCCGTTTTTCAACTGATCTCTTCTTCTAAGCCAGCAATATGGCTGTTGTCTCTCTTGTGCTCACTGGCTCTAAACTGTACCACCGTTCAGCCAGAAAAGAGGTGTTTGGTTTGATTCGGTTAAAATTGCTTTTGGGGGGCTTTCATAAAAAACAGAAGTTTTGTGTTACTCATATTTAGTCATAGACGACCAACAACAGGCCCAAAATTGGCTTCCTTGATGCTTTTGTGACAGTTGCGTACGTGTTATAATTACATCTACATATCCATCCATTCATCCATCTCACCCTTTTACTTTTTAATTGAATGAGAAAAGTAATGTAGTTTGTGTGTCTTTATGGTAGCGAAAGCCCACTTCATTTGGCTGGAGGATGACAACTTCATGGTTTTGTAAACAGAAGAATCAGTCTCATTCTCTCATAGCCTGAGAGAGGATAATCACTAAGCAAAACACTACATTTGATGAAGTGTTTCTGAAGGTGTGTGTTGGGGCACTGTTGAGATAGACTCAATCCATCCTTAATGAAACCGCTTTGGGCTGCAGAGCTGAGCTGAGCTGAACTCTCTTGGGGATCATTGGTTAGTCAGAGCATTCTGAGAGATAGGCCACCCATCACTAACCACTATCCTCACTAAATCCCCATCAACGCTGTGGTTAATCACTCTAACCCCTCTCTCCTTTGCTCTCCACTCCTCTCTCCTGTCTGCCACACACAAAGACACATCAAAATTCATAGCCTTGCTGGAGTGGGGAGTTCAGGGATTTATTACTGCCAAGTATCCACTTTAAATCCCGGCAATAGCCCTGGAGAGTCCAAAGAAAAGAGCAGCAGTCAGTCACCGTGGCATATGGTGCTCAGATGCACTTAAAGCCATCAGATCCAGAACCGTAAATTACTTACAACATTCATAAGTTATTGGAGTTGGTTCAGTGTAGAATATAGGTCAAATGCCCCCCAAAAAGTTAAAGATCTTCCTAGATTGGCATCATATAACTTATCTTAATGTGTAAAGCATCATTACAGCATCTTGGATTCAACAGGTAAAAGATGGTGTCTGTTCTACTCTTTTTCATTTGTGGAAAAAACAACTGGGAGTCCTTGAAGCTTTTGTGAAAAGGGATCAGTTAAGCTCTGTGATAGCAGCTCTTTCAAAGGGAAAAAAAGACTGCTGCTGACGTTGTGGCATTGATTAAGATGGTTTGAGATGCAGTTTTTTTGTTTTCTCACGTTCAACCATGCATATAAATTAGACTTGCAGTTTCAGCCCAGGTGGTTTAAGCTGCCTGCGGCTGCCAGAAAGGTCAGGCGGACTTTAACAAAGGACACAAGCACTAACGTACGGCGGTGTTTATGGATAACACACTTCGGGAAATTGTACAACCAAAGCTTTTTAACAACATAAAGTCTGATTATGTAGTTTTGATTTGTGAGCAAGGTCACAATTTATTTTTAAAGCGTTTGCTTTTCTAGTCTTTGCTCTTTGTTACCCTTTGTCTTAGTCTTTCCGTGCATGTCCTATTAGTTGGCCTCCCCTGACTCCGTTAGACATACTGTATTTGTGATTAGCACCAATTTGGATCACAAAAAAGTAATTTCAGGAAATAATTGCTGTCTATTAGGAAACTGGTTCCACTGAAGTCCCTTGTGATTTCTTGATTTGAAACTGCATGTAAGTGTCTCAGTCATATAATTTATTTGTTTTTACTGTTGCTTTAAATTAGTGCTGGGAAAGAATAATAGAATTATTTGGAAACATGAGGCACAACACTCAGAAAATGTTCTTTGGACTCTGCAGAATGCCTAAACAACATCCTCTGATGTTTTGGTTTTATTAGTATGATCAGTTAGGACTTTATGTTGAGTGGCATGCTGTGTTTAAATGTGTGGAAAGCATTAGTTTGGTTGCACTGTGGTTTCATTACGTCCTTTTTAGATGTAAGTAGCCTCCTGTGTTAGACGATATATTATCATGCCATTTTGAAGAGGGCACCGAAAGAGCATGTTAATAAAGGGATGAAAGTCAGCATAAGACACAAGCAGTAAATCTGAAGAGATTTCTGTACCGTTCTATATAAAAGCAAGTCCACAAAACTACTGCAAATCCTCTTAACCATCATAGGTTTGTGTTATAAAACTTTAGACATTTAAACATTTAAACGGGATGTATCCATTCAGTTGATATAATTTTATTATATCATCCATTAATTATTAGCAATTTTGCAGGGGTGTAAATGTGAGCCTCACAAGTGGATACGTATTTGATTGGCTGCAGATTTTTTTTTTTCCTACATCTTTCAGTTAATATTAAGGGACTTTGTATTTAAGGAGTGGAGATGTAAACCAGAAATACCAGTATTTTTTGGAAATTTCCTTTAAACAGGTAGCACCCACAGATGGTATACTTGTCTCTGTTTAAATTGTATCGGCTTAACTCTTATTCTGACTTTAATTTGAGGTAAGGCCAAGCTTTCTTCTTCAACACAGCGCAAGGCAGATGTTTGAGCTTCAAGTAAAGTATTTCTTTTAAAATGTCACACTTACTCAAACCCGTGGTGATGTGCATTGTTAGTATAGACATCGATTATACTGATGAGCTTGTGCAGTTGCTCAAGCGCTCCTCTGCTATGGGAAATCTTAAGTCTTTCACGTGCACAATGCAAGCTCAGATTTGGTGAACAGGTGTGGCGAAGGGCTATGGGGTCACTATCTACCTCAGGTTGGACCTAGTAATTTAGTTGAACGAGGGATTTGCTCCTCCCCGCTAAGACAGGCAATACAAAAGATCTCACTTGAAAGCAGAGAGGCAATAGAGGGGTACGGACAGTTTAACTAAGATGAAGGAGTTCAGTTGGCCAAAATGCCTACTTTGATTAGTCTTTACACTTGCTCTAATTGAGCATGCATGTGTGTGACTCTAAATCCTTCACTAGTGGGTTCATAGTTAAGTTTGTGCATGTGTGTTGGGACGCCAGTGTTCAAGTGTGTGCCATTGTTTTGTTTTGGGTTTTTTGGTCTTGTAAAAATCTCACTATCCTCACATTCATTCCTCCCTCAAGACTGAATTTGCTTGTCTTCTCAGCATGAGTGTTTAATCTTTTCAGGCTGTTGAATCGGCCCAGTGAATGAGTCCCCAGCTCCTTCTCTCTAGGAGCCCTGGAGATTATTCTAAAGCACTAATCGTTGAGCAAACACAGCAGTGCTCTCCCATTCCCTTTCTACACAGGCCACAGTATAGCACAACTTCTTCTTTCACTTCCCTTCACATTTTACACCCTGTGTGGATTTTTTGCTTTTTGGCGTACGTAGCCTAGATTACTGTTCCTGAGAAACGGACCCCTCAGCTCCCCCCATCCCAGCCGTAGTTAAAATGAACCAAGCGGAGACGGAGAAATTCAAGCGTTTGTTCTTTTATATAAAGAGAAGTGACATGTAATTTAAAGAGCATTATTTCCAACATTGTCCCCTGGAACCCTTCATGTTTGCGGGTGTGTTTGTTTTTTAATTAGTTTGTCAGTAGGGAAAATCTAGCGGGCTTATATGATGGTGTCAATATCCTTGGATTTGGAGCTTCGTCAATATTGTCTGGCCTTGCTGCTACTAACCTGAACAGGCTGCTGGCATTTGGTATAAAATAAATAGAGTGATTTGTCTGTTTTGTTTTCTCCATATCTTCGTCGCCTCCAAAAGAAGTTTTATTTACTCCGCTTGATTTTGTTTGATATTTGCTTTTTAGTAAGTTGTGGCCTTGCTGTGCTCTGTTAGGAGTTCTGCAAGCCCTTCCCTCAACTGTCTGTCACTTCATGTAAAGTGGCAAAGTTTGATCTGAAAACGCATCATTCAGATTTAGATGTAGCGATTTAAAAAGATGCGTGGTGTGTTTAAGTTTTGCTAATCTTTAAACCTGAAACTCGTACATTTAATCTGTGTTTTTCCTCATAATTAACACAGGTTTTCACACCACATCCATTTGGCTGTTTGTTGTTTAGCTTCATATAACAATTAATCATCTTCCAATTGACAAATAACATCAGGTCTAAATGCCGAAAATGTCCTGAGGGAATTATCTGCTCTCTCTGCATTTCCACAGAGAAAGCTGCTTGCTATCTACCTCCACAACGATGACAGTGTTCTCAGCAACGTCTTCTGCTCCCAAATGATGTGTGCCGACTCCATTGTCTCCTACCTGAGCCAGAACTTCATCACGTGGGCCTGGGACGTCACTAAAGAAGCTAACAAAGCCAGGTACAGCACCAGTGTGATAACCCCCATACACATTCTTTGTTTGCATATTTCATATTTAATTTAGCATAACAGAACTGCCTTAAGATACTACCTCTGCTACTCACAATTTAACCTTTTGTAGAGTTGGTTCCAAACTATTGTGAATTTAACACCAAATATGGTTTAAAAACCTTTTTTTTTTTACAGCTTATGAAATGTTTGCATTCAGGATTCAGTCTCAAAATATTGGACTTAAAAGACAAAAATTGGGTATTTTACCACGCTATTCCTGTGTATACAGTGTGCATTTAGAAAGCAATTGAAAAATGCCAGTGTACAGAACCTATTTTCACACATGGACAATGTTTTAAAACCCATTTGACATGTCCTTAATTGCCGGCATTCAGCTCTCAGTCTACTGCTCACACCCTGTATCTGTCTTCTCATTCTCTCCTCAGCTTCATTCTCTTTTTGAAGCTTGGAGGTTGCATACTAACAAAAGGCGTTGTGTTTGCATGGTGAGGCCCCTGATTGGGCAATCTTGACTAAGCTGTCTGAATAGAGGGCCAGTGGGAGATGAAGGACTCCCTTGGAGCCCAAACATCTCTATCTCTCTATTTATCCCAAAAGTCTGAGCATAGCTTCGCTCTCTGTAAATGACCGGTCTGCGCAACACCTGTTTGTTTTTATAGTGTGGCATCCTCCACTGATTTAGCATGTTTGAAGGTGAATTTGGAAATAGGTTGTGATTTCTGGTTGAGGTGTTGATATCAATCAACATACTTTGCTCAATTCCACCTTACATTTATTTCATGTCTTTGCTTACTTTACTGATTCTCTTTTACTTCTCAGCTGTTTATTTCCCCACCGTAACTTTCTCACTACCAGAGTTAAACATGCCCACTGTTAGCAGTCATTTAAGAGAAACTCGTACCCTGACCTCGCCCCTCCATTATTTCTTTTAAGGAAATTCCCTCCTTCCTTTATTGCACGCTCTTTTCTCTCCTATTGGCCTCATTTGCTTTTTGCCCCAGCTGGGTCCTTTTTGAAAATGTGCATTAAAAGAGAGGCAACATCTGGAGCTTTTCATCGCACACAGCTAGCCGCAGCTTTGTTGCTAACGCATGCATGCACATGTGCACGCTAGCTCGCTCCCACAGAAGCCGCTGCGCTGCATTCTCACGCTCTCGCCTGATCCAAACTGACTGGTGATTGGCATCAGTCACACAGGCTGTTAGAAAGGTATCCTAATGGTGTGTGTGTGTGTGTGTCAGAGATAAACCTGCTGATACTGGAATGTGTTATTCTCACAGGCCTGCCTTTTAATGATTAATTATGCATAAAAGCAGAACTGATTGGATGCCAGTGTAATTGTCACTTGTGGGAAATTCATCTGAAATATTGTACAAGCAACATACTGCCATTGCGCATAGCAAATATTGACCCTATCAGTGAGTAAACACATTGAGAGAAGATTGTTTGTGTTTCCTCTGTCTCTTTAGATTTATCACACGCAGCACTCATCTCTTCAGCATTACTAATTAAGTCGTTTTTGGCCTTAAAGCATAAACCGAAGTCTTAACAGCTCAAGGCAGAAACAGACCAGTGCGCAAACCTGCTCGCTCCACTCCACTTCACCCCCTGACATTTTCCGACCTGACAACATAACTGGTTTTGAGGGAGGACAAAATGTCACTTTCAGATCAAAACACGTCCATGTTCACTCTGAAACAAAGTGTGTCTGACACAGTGAGCCGTTGCAACATCCGGTTCCCATACTGCGCCCGTACAGGTGGCGGGCAGAAATGTTCCCCGCAGTGCTACTGTACAGGCCTGACTCATCAGCTGCTCATCGGAGCACACGGCAGGTCTTACGAGTCAGCTCGCATCCAAACGCGCCTCTCAGATGTGATGAAATGCAAGCTGACATGACAGGGAAACATTAACTATTTTAGCTGTTTGGATCTGCCTGCAGAAATGGAGATGGCATGGGTGACAAATTAGAAGCTATCCGTCACATTAGCCGATGAAGCAGAGCCCTGAACACGTTGGTTCCTAGCAGGTGTTGCTTTCATGTTTAGTTACCCTCACGGGCTTTTAAAGCCTTCGGGTCAAGTATAAACTCAATGGCATTCTTTACCCTGTTATATTATGCCTGGATGAGACTCCTCCAAGTTCCCGGGGTGGCTCAACCTCCTCCTGGCCTCAGAGCTTTGCCCTTACATGTTCTACAGGTGAATATAGCTCTTCATATCCTGACTGATGCTTCCATCTTATTCTGAGTCACAGTTGATACATGGTAGAAAAAAAGACTGAGCATTTATTTTCTCTAAATGAAGCGTCTTTGTAGGTTTTGAGGTGGAAATCATAGCAGGTTGGCATGGCTGGATGTGAGATTTAGGATAAGGTTACCCTTGGAGTTAGTTTCCTTTGTCCTCCGGCCTTTCATTAGGGTGTAGGGTTTCCCTGTTTACTATTGTGATGGTCTCCCTGGGTTGAGGGCTAAATGGAGACAAATGTCAGATCAAAATGATCTATAAGATTAAGGGTTCCCAATAATTTCATTGCAAGTTGAGGGTCATTCAGAGTTCATCAGCTGGGAAAGTTTTAGTATAAAACACAATCCAAACTCAATTTTAAAACACCTCCAGTCTGGACTGAGTGATTATTGCTACAATAGTGAGCTCTGTACACAGTTTGAAAGTTCTGCTAGTAGCTCCCAGAGCTTTGACTTCATTTTTAATGAGTCACACCCCCCCTCCCAGGCAGCTTCACTTCCATCCGTCGTCTTTCTCTGACCCAGTGTCCCCCCATCCACTCCATTACTTCCCTATTTTACCACCCTGTTATTAAAGTAGATCTTATTAAAAGGCATGAGAAAAAGCTAATCTATATTTGCATTCAGTCTATAGCAATTCATTAATATTATGACATTTACAGGGAGCTTGACGGGGCCCCGGCTGCCTGCTACCCTTTTCCCTCTTTGAAATGTTAATTTAAAAAGTTCTGTCTTTGTAATGGAATAAGAAATCCTCTCTTGCCCTATCAATTCTGGGCATCTGGTGAGGAATACTAATTCATCTACGGTTCCAATTGAGATAGCATGTCACTCTGATGGAATAAGAGAATGCAGAATTGGTTTTAAAGTCCTTAATGCCATGAGTTGTGCGTATTTCCCCTCTCGGCGGCAGTCCAAGGAAAGGGGGACATTTCCGTTTCTGGTGAGAACGTGCGCGCATACTTGTGTGTAGCTCTTTGTTTCGTGTGTATTTAAGTTTCTGCATTGCAGGTCTATATATGATTTCAAGCGATAAACAGTGGAAAAGCAAGTTTTGAAAAGAGCACTCATTAAAAACACAGAGGCTAAAATGTATAGAATGAACTTCTTTGTCTTCCAGACTACTCACCATGTGCACGAGGCACTTTGGGAGCGTGGTCACACAGACTATACGGACATACAAGACAGACCAATTCCCCCTGCTCCTCATAGTTATGGGAAAACGCACATCCAACGAAGTTCTAAATGTTATTCAAGGTAACTGCTATTTTCATGAATGTTCTGATGGAGTGTTGTCTTTGATACGCGGTGTTTTTATTTCCTCATGTAACCCTTCATTCTGTCTGTAGGTAATACGACGGTGGATGAGCTGATGATGAGGTTAATGGGAGCGATGGAGATTTTCACAGCACAACAGTTAGAGGACATCAAAGATGAGGTATGGTTTAAGTGGAATCAGGAATGTCCATCTCCAATTCTATTTGGATAATTCCAGTTTTCTATCCTTAATGTTGGTGATTTTGTTACCAGAGGTATAACACTGACTTGTTTTAATTTAGTACAGCTGGAGGACAGAACGAAATGATATGCAACCTACCTCATTGACAAATGTTGACTTTTTTAAAAAACTCCTTTTCACTATCAATTGTTAAATGTTTTTTTTTTTTTTAGGTCTTTGCATCTTTTGTAGCGACAAAAGACGTTTAATTGCTTTGCTTCTTACAGGTCAGCTATACAACTCATCTCAGTCTTTACTCAATCTTACCTTTCTTTCGCAGTCTTCCAGTACTGATGATAATGATGGAAAAATAGAATAAAATGGGGACATTGCACATTATATTACAGTTTGGTCTTTGTAAACAAAGTCGTAGTATCAGTTATGGCAGAGTTTCTCCACTTTCTATTCGGGTTGTAACTCATTTGTTAAAAAAGACACAAATGCTGCTTAACCAAAGGTGAGTTTGCTGTTAATATTCTAAAAGTGTCTTTTTCACGAATGTTTTCGGCCATCACAGTCATGCAATGAAAACCTGGCATAGTAACGTTCATATTAGCCACAGTCAGTGCAGATTTACTCTGACTTCTGAGTTACTTCCTGCTTGGAGCTAAACTGCAGCGAATTGGAACAAATCAGAATTCATTGTTAGTGTGAGAAACACCTAGTGACCATTTAACCATTTCATTGTCCTTTGTAGATGAAATGGCACTAATAGTGTATGTGCCTATAGGGCCGGTCTTTAGCTCTTCTAGGATTGAAACACCTGGAAAACTGGTGCTTTCCTTTAATGTCATGGACAGGATTCCGGCACATTGTGACAAGAAGGCTTTGTCCTTCTTAAGAAACACAATCCTCTTAAGCATCTGAAATGTATCCTCTGTGACACTAAAAAAGAAAAGTAAAGAATTGTTTTTATGATTGTTGGTTTTTGTTAAAGTAAACCTAGTAGGAATTCTTCTTTATTTGATTTTAGTTCTTTAGTAATTAGTTACGGTAATAAAATTCCTATTCTTATTGAATATTTCTGTACTAACTAGAATGTTAAGAAAGGCATGTGTTTGATTTAAAAAAAAAAAATCCTCTTCACTTTTGCTCAGTACTTGAAGAACACACAATCATTCAGTTTTTATGTGTCTGAAAAGATGCATTATTTCTATGATGTATCCTGTTTGCTCATATTTTTTTAATGTTGAACCTTCTAACTTTAACAAATATGTCATGTCTATTTTTCAACTACTGTAGCTATTTATGACAGGTGACACTCTTAATTATTTGCTGAGCAGTTAAAGAGTCAGTCAGGCAAAAGCAAAAATTCTAACAATGCATTTGTGAGAGTCATAACATTTCTTTTATGGGAGTGTTGGGCAAAGGATTCATCTTTTCTCACACACGCACAGGGACACATACTGAAGCCCATACATGCTCAAATGAGTTCCTTACAACTGAGTCAGCTTTCTTTCTGGATTTAACTCTCTTGGAAGTGTTTTTAATAATGAATACACACAGGATATGAGCATTCTGATTCAGGATATGTACAGAATGTATTTATGTGCTCATAATTGGTATCTTAAGAATTTAGCTGAGAAATGATAATTTCATTGTAAACATAAATACAAGTAAATATTTTTTTAATCATTACATGCCTTAAAAATAAACTTTTATTTACATTTTACTTGTAAATAATAATATGCTGACATTTGGGAACCAGCCCTATTCACTTGACAAGGCAAAGTTTACATTGACCAAATGAATGATATTAAGATCATGGTCAAGTTTTTCTGGGTAGACATCAAAGTGCAATGTACTAGACATTTTCTGTAAACTAGATTTACACACAGTATCACTTTGTGTCCAAGGAACTATTGAGATTGCGATGAATAAGTCAAACTTCTGTTCTTAGTCTTGCCATTAACCTCAGGACTTTAGCTAATCCAGTGGATGACAGCACCTGTTACATCCCTTGAGTGAACTCAACCTTGACTTCCCTGTAGCAGCTTTTATGTTCTGGGCTCCCTTTTTTCCTCCTTAATATCTGTTCTCCTCCTTTTTTCCCTTTGCCTGGCTAAGGCAAACTCAGACATGAGCATAGACAAGAACCCACCCAACCCAGACATTCCTTTTTGACAGCGACTTTGTCTCTGTCTGGAACTGAGGCAGCTGGACAGCCACTGTGTGACTTCAACCAACCTCACTGACACCAGTCATTCCTATGGTTGTCTGTGTTTGAGCTCAGTAGTTACTAATCAAATGACTACCCACCTACTTTTTCTGGTTTGCATCTGTCAGCACAGGGTTTTTTCAGGTTACATTCAGGTCATCTGACATGCTTTACATGAAGTAAAAGGTGATAGGGTGATGTATTTCAGAAGTAAAATCAAACATCCCTTTATGAGGGTAGGCCAAAAGGTTAATGACTAAATAGGATGCTTTATATTGTAGATCAACAGCCAAACTCACATGATGAGACATTTTGTGCTCCTTTAAAAGTTCCGCCCTCCAAATGCAAACAATATAATATAAAGTGCCATCACACTAAAATAAACCAAGACAGTTCTCATGTTTATCTCTTTTTTTTTAATGATGGGTAAAACATCCATCCATCCATCCATCCATCCATTCTCCTCCGCTTATCCGGGGTCGGGTCGCGGGGGCAGCAGCCGGAGCAGGGAAACCCAGACTTCCCTCTCCCCGGCCACTTCAGCCAGCTCCTCCGGGGGGATCCCGAGGCGTTCCCAGGCCAGCCGGGACACATAGTCCCTCCAGCGGGTCCTGGGTCTTCCTCTGGGCCTTCTCCCGGTGGGACGAGCCCGGAACACCTCCCCAGGGAGGCGACCAGGAGGCATCCTGATCAGATGCCCGAGCCACCTCAGCTGGCTCCTCTCCACGTGGAGGAGCAGCGGCTCTACTCTGAGCCCCTCCCGGATGGCCGAGCTTCTCACCCTATCTCTAAGGGAGAGCCCAGCCACCCTGCGGAGGAAACTCATTTCGGCCGCTTGTATCCGCGATCTCGTTCTTTCGGTCACTACCCAAAGCTCGTGACCATAGACGAGGGTGGGAACGTAGATCGACCGATAAATTGAGAGCTTCGCCTTTAGGCTCAGCTCTCTCTTCATCACGACAGACCGGTACAGCGCCCGCATTACTGCAGACGCCGCACCGATCCGCCTATCGATCTCACGCTCCCTACCCCCATTCGCAAACAAGACCCCGAGATACTTGAACTCCTCCACTTGGGGAAGGACGTCCGCTCCGACCCGGAGAAGGCACTCTACCCTTTTCCGGTGAGAGACCATGGTCTCGGACTTGGAGGCACTGATCCTCATCCCAGCCGCTTCGCACTCGGCTGCGAACCGCTCCAGCGAGAGCTGTAGGTCCCGACTTGATGGAGCCAACAGGACCACATCATCTGCAAAAAGCAGAGATGCGATCCTAAGGCCACCAAGACTGACACCCTCAACACCTCGGCTGCGCCTAGAAATCCTGTCCATAAAAGTTATGAACAGGACCGGAGACATAGGGCAACCTTGGCGGAGTCCAACTCCCACTGGAAACGAGTCCGACTTACTACCGGCAATGCGAACCAAACTCTGACTCCGGTCGTACAGGGACCGAACAGCCCGTAACAAAGGGCCAGGTACCCCATACTCCCGGAGCACCCCCCACAGGATACCCCGAGGGACACGGTCGAACGCCTTCTCCAAGTCCACAAAACACATGTGGACTGGTTGAGCGAACTCCCATGCACCCTCTAGGACCCCGCTGAGGGTATAGAGCTGGTCCAGCGTTCCACGGCCAGGACGAAAACCACCCTGCTCCTCCTCGATCCGGGGCTCGACTATCCGACGGACCCTCCTCTCCAGAACCGCTGAATAGACCTTCCCAGGGAGGCTTAAGAGTGTGATCCCCCTATAGTTGGGTAAAACATTTATAAACAAAAGTAATACACACCAATCCAGCTCACATATCTCAGAACTGGACGACTCTTGATGAAATAGGAGGTGTTGTAGTACGAACAGTCCCAGCTCTGAAAATGGGCTGCTGGGAGAAAATTCAAAATTAGCATAAATTTTTCTAGCACAAACATTCAAATTTCTCCTTTCATATTTAGAGTTTGAATTATGTATAAATCAATGTGTTCTTTTTTTTATTTTTTGCATTTTGCACTGTGCGCCAGCTCTTTTGGAAATGAGGACTGAGCCACGAGCCACTTGGTCCTAAAATTAAACGGCAAATTAAAAAGACCCATTTCCTCTCCTCTTTATGATTTGTTAGCAAACATTAAATGTGCGACAGATTGATTTTTCCCCAACACTAAGTGTATCATCAGAGCTATAAGACGGCCCACACCGTGCCAACTTGAACAGTAGCCATAAATGAGTTTTGGAAAATCTGTTTCTTTTTTCCTCCAAAGTTAAGGCTCCTAAAATCACATGGTGTTTGTGCAGATACGTGCCAGATAAAGAATTTCACTTGATGTTTATTCACATACGGCTATTCAGTGCATTTAAAAACATTGAACAATGGCTGGAGTAAGTATCGTACATTCATTGCTCTGTGACCTGTTTGCATGACTCTGGGTCAGCCTATTGACAGCGGGTACTTTTGATGCTTTTGTCCCTGTCTGCCATTCTTTTACAGTTTCCTTTCAGTGCTCCTCTATTATGTCAGCCAAAAGCGCAAATGTATCTTTGCATTTTCCGATTCAATGCAACAATACGCAGTGTCATTTTGCTTAGCAAATGCCTAGTTGCACAGTAGCCCTGTGATCATCACAATAAGCGTACTTTGCCGTATCCGGGGTAGCACACAGCATGGGCCTTCAGAAAATAGAAAACTAATGGCTGTGCAATGTTAACACAATGGACACTCGTATTTAGACTCAGTCTTTATAAAACACTTTGTAGCCACAGCAGGTAGAAAGAGAAAGGCTGTCTGTCCCCTTCCCTCTGTACAAACAGGAAGAGAGAGGCAGAGTGAATGAAAGAGAAAGGGAGGGTGAAAGTGAGATGAGGAAACATAAAAGGGGCTTCAGATCTGGCAAATGACAGCCCGGTCACAATGAATTCCCCTCTAGTGCTACTCTTTCATACCTGATGTTTGTATGCAACCACACTTGACATGCTGCATTTTCATTCGCTTGGCTCTTCCTGGCCGCTATAACCGGCACCTCAGCTTAGATGTTTTGTTCTCGTGTATCGGTTATTATGCTGTTTGTTAAATGGACCTAACTTTCTTTCTGCCTCTACCCAGGACGAGCGTGAGGCGAGAGAGATGGTGAAGAGAGAACAGGATGAAGCCTATCGTTTGTCATTAGAGGCTGATCGCAAGAAGGTATTTTTAAGAATAAAACATTTTGCAGTCATTTGTCCATGGCATATATTAATTTCTCAGGGGCTCTGCTCTTGTTATTATGCAATGTTTAGTTAGTGTTTTGTTTACAAAGCAGTGCAGATACACAGTATCGGGAACCTTTAGCTGACCAGCACATAAGCAGTGGTTGAATATGTTTTCTTTTAGATATGCAAGCCTCTTCACTTCTTAAAAGTTTCCATGGAGAGGCGGTTTAAATCACATGCTCGCTGTTGATTCTGTCGTAGATGATACTGTTCTGACTGTCGTAATTTGATTTATGAGGACTAGATTAAGAGCTTGTGCCCAGAAAAACAGATTGTCTGGATCACTTAATGAAGCCTCATTATGTATTCATCAAGGCAGCGTGACACAGTGTTGGAATCGTGCAATAATCGACATAGCGCACTGTCAGGTGTTTAGTTTCTGAGCTTTTTCACATCATGAACGCCCTTCCCTTTCAGAGAGAAGCTCAAGAGAGAGAAGAGGCAGAACAGGTGCGCCTGGAACAGATGAGGAAGGAGCAGGAGGAAGAGAAGGAGGTGAGATCAACAGCCATGTCAAGCACATCTTCCTAATATGACTCAAAAGACTAATAATGTCTCATCCTCATCCATCCAAGGCCAAACAGTATTGTTTTATTCCAATAATAGTGTGACCTTGCTGTCATATTTTTCAGCATCCTCCGCGGTGACTGCATTAGATCACGGTTTTGGTGAAACCAGCCCGTCAGTGAAGCCTTCGAAGCGTGGGTTCACAGACAAATAACCATTTTAGAAAGAAAAGAATATGGCAATTACAGCCAGTGCTCGTGAACATCACCTTCCACACACACGGTCATTGTTCTGTTTAACTGCCCTCCACTGGTAAAGCACACAAACTCACATTCAAAGCTAATTGAACAAAAGGCTGCCGCAAGTCATATAAATAGGCCTTTGCACAAACACACACACCACTTAAGCAAACACGCATATTCGCTGGAAAACTATTATTGTCGGCGAAAACGGGGCAAATGCACACAGGCAGACACAATGTCACGCATACAGAAAACAATAATACTCGGCACCAATGTTGTAATATAGTCCAGAGTAATACAGTGTAGTCCCGGCTGATTTTTGTTTACACAGTGGCAGAGCTTTTGGACAGTGAGAGGTATTAGGTGACCCGGCTCGCTCAGGCGATTTGTCACTGAAGTTAAACAAATGACAACAAAAGAGCCCCGGATTTGTCCATCTTACTTATTTCACTGTAGTCCACAGACCAATCGATGTGCACACGCACCAACTGTAATCATTATTTAAACTTTCCCCATACCCCTACTTTAATTAATTTTACTCCAGCTGAAAGGTTTAAATGGATTCTTTTCTGTGGTGAATGGAAATGAGAACCAACAGGAGCTGCTGGACAGTGGTGACGTAACTTCCCCATTGTGTTACAATAGAAATTAGATGGCTGGTTTTTACTACAATGCAGCAGCATACTCCGCTTTCATGTGTAGATTTACATATGCTTTTTAATAATCTGTCAGTCCACTTATGGATTTCTCTTTTTGCACAAATATTCAGGAAATTCTTGGGATCAAAGAAAAATAGAAAATGTCTTTTGCCCTTTTAGACCCGCTTAAAGATGAATTTAAATTACACCGAAGTGTAAACATAGAAAAAATAAAAGTCTAAATATATCAGGGGAACAGGTTTGAAAATGGGTTCCAGTGAATCAAGACCTGCTTGAATTTGAATTCAGTGAACAAGACAAGCCTGTCACGTGGCAACTCACTTGGATTCTGGTATTTCCATCACAGATGCTGCTCTTAATCTCAGAACTTAAAAGCACTAACTGCTTTTAACCATTCCTCCCTCACTGCATCAGAGCCAGATATCTTTCTGTTAGAGAGAAGTGCTGGATATAAATGGTCCTACTTTTTTGATTCGGTGCTCTACTTTTCTACTTTAAAATGAAAAGGACCATGAGTTTGCCATCTAAGGTGTTGTGATTGAGACTTTGCAATTTTTCCTGTTTGCTTGTTGTACAGTTTTCAGAGCAGTCTTATGAGGTGGTGACCCAGCACTGTGTGTCAGAGAAGCTGCAGACACAACAAAAAAAAAACCCGGTAGCCACCAGAGAGAGGACAATGCAGAGGGGAATGCCTCCTCTGTGATTTTGCACCTTTGTGCAAAGAAAAGGGAGATGAAAGTGGGAGTCTTTGAATGGGGGGTTGGGGTGGACCGTGTATATGAGCTGACATTATTATTTACCTCCGTCATGGGGTCTTAGCATACAGTTGTGTTGCTGTCAGGTGCCCGTCTTTCCTTTGCCTGTCATCTGTTTGCTTTCTGTGGTGAGCCGAGGCAGATGAATGGCCGGAAAGATGCTCCTGATTATTTGTGCGGAGCTGCTCGGGCCCCCAGGCCCGACCAGATGTGTGTCCTGTGGTTTCTTTGGGGACGCTGCCTGTTACTTGCGTGGGTGTGTATGCTTGCGTTTGTGGTTGGCACTTTGCATTTGTGCGTCCACCACCTTGCACGCTCCTGTGTGCTTTGTGTGTGTGTGAGTGTGTCCCCGGGGGCCCCTTTAACTCAAGTCAGCATCAGCTCATGTACCTGGGGGAGCTGATGGCGGAGCGGCACGCGCCCTACCCTGCCCACCCAACACCAGAAGCTGCTAATGAGCTACTGTTGTACACTCTTATGAAATATAATTGCATTATGGTGTGTAAATAAAGCCGGGGCGTGTTGTCACAGCATATGCTCCCCGGCTGGCCAAACAGGAACAACAAGCAGGGGGAGGGGGTGGAGAGGGGGCAGAAGCAGAAAGAGGTGGAGGGCCCGCGGGAGCAGCTGAAGCATGTTTTTTTGGAACTCAAGAGAATTGATTATCTTTGCCAAGAAAGATGACAGTTGATGTTTGTCTCTGAGCACTCTTTATGCCAACCTGAATCTGTGATGAAGGCAGTATTATGACGTTTACTGTTAAAGAGAAAAGAGAAGCTGCCTCCAACAGCCTTTAACTGTGTCTTTTTGGCACTGAAATGTTTCCCTGGGTCCCTCTCTGCTGTATTATCATTAGGAACGGAGCATGTTAGCAAACTGGACTCTTTTTTAACGTACTGATATGCTCCTTGGCAACCTTCTGAGCTACACAAGGCTTCAGGGAACAGGGTGAGACACAGGGCAACTAATTTAATAACATTCTTAGGACATGAGCATTGTTTCATTAATGCTCGCCGTAGTCAGACTGTGCGTGTTCAGATTGTGTTGCAATGCCTGTCCGTTAGTGTGTCAGCCCAGAATCTATCTTGTTCTAAGATTTCTTTAAAGACAAGATTGTGAGACCTTTTCACATTTAGTTTTCTTATATCAAGTTTGAATGTACAGGTTTAGATGTCAAATATGAATATAAGTGTGGATCGTTTGTGGTGTTTTGTTTTAGGAACTGACTTGACTTAAATTACAGGTCTGCAAATGTTGACCTTTCTGTCTTACTGAAACCAGCAAAACAAAGCCAACTGTAAAGCCCCTGAAGACAGCTGGATCTTATCAACACCTGTATGCAGAAGCATCGATGCAGCGCATAAACAAAAGTCTTTCTTGTCCTTCCAGGCGATCCGTTTGTCACTGGAGCAGGCCCTACCTCCAGAACCCGACGAAGAGTCAGGAGAGCAGATCAGCAAACTGAGAATTCGGACACCAAGCGGAGAGTTTTTGGAACGGCGTTTCCTTGGGAGCTGTAAGCTCCAAGTCCTCTTTGACTTTGTGGCCTCTAAGGGATACCCCTTCGAAGAATTCAAGATCCTTACAACCTTCCCTCGTAGAAATGTAAGTAGAAAAAGCACACAAGATTTTTTACCGGGAGGGAGATCATATTTAGCTGCTCGTCTCCAGTCCATTACCACAGTTCTACGTAAATGCTCTTTTCTGTACAGCAGGAGAGAAGCAGCAGGTTGGGGTGGATTGTCAGCCTTAGCTAACATCTCTGCTGGATCCTTAGCTGTAATTGGCTCTTCCGGCTGGACCAGAGCTGAACCTCAGGCAGCAGCTGTGAATTGAGCACAGTGGGGGCAAAAATTAGGATAATCTGTACTGACTTCTAAACATTTTCTTGCTTCTCGATCGTATTTCCCTAATCTGAGTTTTGCTGCTTCCCTCCCTTTGTTTACTGGCACCTGTTTTGGAGAAAGTTAAATCACCTGTTTATCCGTCCACCTGTGCGTGTGTATTACTCAGTGAATATTAATTAGTATCACTCCATACCCCCTGTGTTAGGATACAGTTGTCAGCACTAACAGGAGTATTCTCTGTGGCTCTTGCAGCACTTAGCTAGCTACAGACAGCCGTTAGAAGGCTTGGTCACCAGGCTCGATGGTATCATGCTAATGAGCACTGTTTTAACTACCAGTTTAATTATCCATGCTGCTAGATTTCCATTAATCAAGACAAGGATGCATGTGGATAGGTAGTAGTGATTGCATATGAGTGTGTGCATGTGTGTGTGTGTAGGCTTGCCCAGGCAGCATGCCATGGCAGTCTGCAGAGACCGCCAGGGCACAAACACCTCCAAGTAACACACACATTAACGCGTACCTCACACTCCGTTTCGTCACAATCACACAATTCGACAAATACACAAATATTTTCAAGCAAACACATGCCCTGCTCACAACTTTGTCACTTAAAGGATTCACAGTTGTCTCTTTGTAATCAAGAGTAAACATGTGTTTGAGACAGAGATAAAGATGTGTCTGCATCGCAGATGAAATTCCAGCAAAAACAGGATGGGGGGATTAGCAGGGAGAAAAGCAAGAGCAGAGCCACTGTGGAGCTAATGAGAAAGAGAAGGGGGGAGACAAAAGTGTGAACAAAGAAGAATTAATCAGGAAAAACAGTCTGAAGAGGAAAAGGATAGAGAAGACAAGTGGTGAAGATATTAAAAAGTAGAAGATGGGAGCTCCTTCCAGAAATCAGAGAGGCGAGAGATTTGTGGAAAAAGAGGAGGGAAGCAGTTCGGAGGTAGTGCCAGTACGAGGCTGTGAACACAGGCCCCGTCTAATCCTGCAGCTCTGTGTTGTAATTAAATGAGAGAGAGCATAGAAAGCCTCCATCCCGTCCAGACGCTCTCACTGTTGCTCTGCCAGGATCAGAGGATAGAGGATAGACCACTATTGCATTTGTAATTCTGCACAACTGTTGAAACCTTTTTTTTTTTTTTTTGCCTTTTTCTATTTCTTACCAGCTTTGTGCAGTGTCACTCTTTCTTTTGCTCTAGCCCTCCTCTTTGGCTTTTGTCATTTCCATTCCGTCGGCTTCAGCTCAAATTAATGTATGCTCGCCATCCAACTCTGGATAATCGGGCAAAGCTGGAGTTTGTCTCCCACAGCGTTCGTCAACAGGAGAAAAAGCAACGGGATGGTGTTTAGTGTGTGTCGTATTCAAATAGGTCAACTTTAGTTTGAGCCACGTGGAAGTTCAGCTGCGTCCGATTGGTGCTTTTTCACCTTCCTTGTAGCTTCGCCAGCAAACGTCTATTAGTCTTCCATTTTTTGGACCGGGTCTCCTCCTCAGCAGTTGGTATCAGTGGCTTATCTCCTCAGCACTACAGCAGGCCTTACACTGGCATCATTTGTACCAGGCTTAGCCGTGCTCAGGAAACTAACCCTTCTCCATTCCTGTGACAGTCAGCGAGTTTCAGGAGGAGGAGGAGAGGGGGGGACTTTCAGTGTTTCAGTTTTCAGCTCCTCATTGAAGAATTCCCCCATTTTTTTCCCTTTGATACATGTCGAATGCAAATCTTGGCTAAAAGGCCTGAGGTCTTCTTCCTTCAACATGTGGCGAATGTGTTTAGACTGCAGCCCAAATGATTTACAAAAGCCTCTTCCTGCCCCGCCGCTCACAGATACCCAAACAATGTCAAACACGTGTATTAGTTTTCTCACTGATACTGTACTTCATTCTACCCTCCCTTAATCCTTCTCCCAGCTCCAGCTGTGAATGCGCCAGAATGGTTATTACACAAAACCTGAGATGCCGAAAAAATAAACAAGAGTATAGGAGATCAGTGCTCTGTAACGGAATAGATTTGACATCTGTTATAGCGCTGCCTTTTGTTTTTCTTGTCCTGTTATCTGAATAGGTCACAGGAACACTCACAGGAAGTTGAGCAGCAGTTTATTTTAAAATCAGTTTCATTACGAATTGCTTCTCTGGTTTGCTATGAATATTATTTCCACCTAACACAAACCACGGCCTCCGAGAGTCTTGCAGAGCTACAATAATGTGGAGGCTTGAGTCCAGTTCTTCCTTACGACCTTTAAAGGTTTCAGCTACTGAGATATTGTCCCATTATTTTCTGCTAAAGTTAAATATAAGATAATTGTTCTGCATCAGAACAGGAACCGAACAAGCACCCAGCGTCGTAAACTAATGCACTTCAGCCCCAACAAGGAGTTGGGAGTCCTGCACCAGATGGTATGACCCCCCCCCCCCCCCCCCACAGAGCTGCCACGTCCACGTCGGGGAGTCGCTCTGTGATCACACGATGAGACACAGGGCTGTGAGGCCTCCTTAATCCTAAACTGTGGCCAGTTCCCCAACAACCAAACAGCTAAACAGTCTCTTGGAAAATTCAGCTAGAGAACTAGTGGCCACACAGTCACGTTCTTCTCTGTTCACGCTCTCTGAGGATCAGAAAAGCTGCTAGCTGCATCAGGTTGGACGGACTCCCAGACTCTGTGTTTATACTGTGGTCTGGATTGAAACAATTTTTTAGTTAGCAGATTCTTAAGATTTTCAAGAATTTTTCAAGGTTATTAAACAATTTCATTAAAGCACACTATCCATTTATGCATTTAGCAGATGCTTTTATCCAAAGCAGCTTACAAAAAGAAAGTTTAGCATTCAACTACAACACTAGTTACACACTTACCTTACCTTGAGTGCAATATGCTTGAAGAGGATTTAACATTAAGGATTTAACATATAACTATCCATATGTCACAGCTCTTTAGACTCATTTCAGGACTTTTGAAATGACACGTCAGCCCCTCCTCACCTTCAATTTTCTCCTCCTGTTCTTGCTTTCAGCTTTCCCTCCTTCTGTCTCCCTTTTCCCTCCTCTACCTTCACTCCCGAGGCTCAATCAGTGCCCACCGTTTGGAATCATACTTTTTTCTGCCCAGGCTTCATATTTTCATTTACTCTTAATAGAATAGAATGACTAGATTTTGAGTTTGAAAAAAAAAAAAGAAAAACTGCGCGGCTCTCTCTTCCCCCTATTCGTTTTCTAGCAATCTCTGTTTTTCTTTTTCTTTTCTTTTTGCCCCTCAGCCCTCCCCCTCCCCGTCCAGTCTGTGCAGTGTCTTTTTCCTTTGAAGTGCCGAACTCTTTTCTGTTCTTTTCTGTTCACGCCCCAGCACTACATGCTGTCAACGCTCCTGGCAGCAGATAATGATCTCCCACTGCTTTTGTAATTGGCCAAATAAACACTTGACAACACTAGTTTAAAACAGACAAGTTATTTGGTTTTAATTAACATAGCAGGGCCTGTAATGGCTTCATTAAAAATGCGTTATTTCAGCTGCACGTTTGATTATGTTGGAAGCGGACATCTTGAGGGCCTGTGCTTATTTTCCCTTTCTTCTCTTTCACAGCTGAGCTTTGCTAAGTGTCGCCTCCTCTGTTATCAGTGTGTTTTTATTCATTTGAGTCCAGTGACTCACAATCGCGGTGTTTATTTTAAACTTCACATTAATAGCTAATTATGAGGTTTTAACTGTTTTGAGATTTGCTGTTTTGTGACAAATGTGGGGGGCTATTTTTTTTTCTTTTTTTTTTTAGCAGAATATTCTCTTATAAGTAGAGATAAGATTTCAGAGATTAGCTTAAACAGCCATCTGTTTTTTGTTTGCATCCAGTTTGAACATTTTGTTTACACTGAGTTCAGAATGCAAAGTCCCAAAGTTATTATATTATCTATTGAAAACTGCTTTCAGGTTTATTGAGGGTTAATTTAATTAATATTTCTATCCTTTATGTAATTGTTTGGTACTGCAAGATGTTAATTTGTTTAAGATTTCTGTTGTGGAAAATCTTCAGAAAGAAACGTAATCCTTTTAAACACTTAACTTCTCGTGTTAATAATTAGTGTTGTTTATTGGGAAATATGTTGACCTTAGGTTGGAAACACACGACAGAGCAGAGCTGGATTGTGCCTGTTTTATGTATGCATGCATGTATATAGGCATAGCCGTGTAGACAGAGAGGAGAGAATATGGCTTAGAGAGAGCAGAGGAAAAACAACAGCTTTGTTTGTTGACAGATGCCTCCATGCTTATGGTCTGTTAATTGGATAACAATGTAAACAATCACCGATGGTGCCCGTCTCCTGTGTCAGTGTGGCATCTTGTTTCCCTACTTTCTTTTTTAGAGTCAAATGCTGCTCCTCTCCCCGTTGTCGCTCCCTGGTGCGCTTACACGCTCAAACCCTCATCCCGGTTTTACTACACACGCACACACACACTCTTATTTTGTCCACAGACACACGTCTTCACCAACACCTGCTCCACCCAAAGCCTCATTTACTCCTACCTGATGCTGTGGTGTCACAACAGCCTGTCGGGTTCATTAGCATGGCAGCCATTTGTGACGCGCCGCTCCTGAGGTGGGAACAGGAACCCAGCAGCCCTGTTGGTCGCTCTCCCGCCGTTGGGATGGAATAAGATGCAACGACTGCACACGCGCACGCACCCCCCCCCCCCCCCCCCCCCCCCCCCCCCCCC